CACTGTCCAACAGCTCTTACTGTCAGGAAGTTCTTCCTAATGTTTAGGTGGAATCTTCTTTCTTGTAGTTTGGATCCATTGCTCCGTGTTTCTCTGGAGCAGCAGAAAACAACCTTTCTCCCTCCTCTATGTGACATCCTTTTATATATTTGAACATGGCTATCATATCACCCCTTAACCCCCTCTTCTCCAGGCTAAACATGCCCAGCTCCCTTAGCCGTTCCTCATAAGGCATCGTTTCCAGGCCTTTGACCATTTTGGTTGCCCTCCTCTGAACACGTTCCAGTTTGTCAGTGTCCTTCTTGAACTGTGGTCAAGAAGTGAACTGTGGTCAACGAATCTCTCTGCCCCTTCTATCAGTGCAGATTTGACAGAAGGGGCAGAGAGATTCATTGGACCCTGGAGGCACCGGGGCTGCCCCACCCCTCAGCTCTCTTTCCCCACAAATCTCCTTCCTCCTACCTGATCTACTTCCACAGCTGCTGATTCCTCTCCACCACCAGGAAAAGATGGAGGAGGAGGTCTTGCTGGCACCTTTCTGGCACCTGCGAGAGACAAAGGGAAGTGGGGAGACAGGAGTGCAGGATGCTTCTCTCAGGGGTGGAGCAGTGCTTCTCTAATCATAGATGGGCCTCCTGCTGAGTGCATTTTTGTGTTTCTACCCATTTCATATTTTAGTTGACCCCAAGTGTGTTTCTCAAAAGATAAAATGAACACATGGAATAATTTCAAAATAAACAGAACGTGACCAAATGGAGAAAGAACTCCTTCTTCCTTACCTACTCTGGCGACCAACGGAGTCTTCTCTGCCTCAGGACCAATTTCTGCAAAAGTATAATTTCCCTGCAAGAGCAACAAAGATTCAAAACAGAGAATAGGAAGAACTATTAGAAAAGAAATTCCAGACCGACAGTTATTAGAGCATTTGGGTTTGTTCTCCCTCCTGTTTGGAGCCCCTTGGGAGCATCCAGAGGAAAGTCTCTCTCACCTGCTTCCTCTCCTCCACCTGACTCAGGAGGAAACCTTCGGCCAGGGCCACTGCCTGGGAACTGGTCTCCGCTCCGCATTCCCTCACCCAGCTCTCCATCTCCGGAGGAAGGACAGCCAGGAACTGCTCCAAGATCACCAGGTCCAGCATCTCAGCTTTCGTGTGCCTTTCTGGCTTCAGCCACTGGTGGCAAAGGTGGTGGAGTTGGTTGCAAACTTCTCGGGGTCCTTTGGCCTCCTGGGAGCAGAACTGCCTGAACTGCTGGCTCTGCGCCTCTGAGCGAAGGGTGTCCTCCTCTCCCAGGATCTTCTGCCCAGAGCTTTCCCAGAATCCCCCACTGCTCCCAGTTTCCATAGCATGGCCTCTTCCTGCTTCAGGGCCAGCTGAGTTTTGCTCATCCATTTGTGCTCTCAGGAAACCTTCAAAAGATCAGAAGGAAACTTTTTCTTCTGTCATTTTCTGTCTCTCAAATTATAGGTGCTAGAAAATCCTACAATGCAAATAAAAATGTTCTGTTATAAAATCGCCACAAGGGCAGGATAAGAAATATGTTCCCTGAAGAAGCATGGGTGAGCCTTGCCAGGGCTGGACTGCACCGCTGGCCAATCTTTGAGTTTGTTTAAGGAAAACAGGAAGGAGAAGGAAGCCTCTAGCCCTCCTAGAAGGAAAGTGACCAGGCCAAATGTACAGGCAACTGCAGGGATGTCTGTAGAAATGTATCAGGCTTGCTGCGCCTGCCTTTCAGTGCTTAAAACTGTCTCCCTCCCTCCCTTTCGCGGTCCCGGTGCTGGACCCGGCTGGCGAAATGCCAGGCGGGGGCCGCCCTGGAGAATCCCTCCTGGAGGAGGACGGGATCCGCGCAGTGGGCTGGAGGCCTGGAGCATTTGCTTCCTCGGCAAGGCATACCCACCCACCCAGGGGAGGCAGCGGCAGGCAAGCGAGCTCCATCCCCTCCGCCTCCCTCCCTCCCTCCTGCTGCCCCCCCATCCCCGGCCTCCACGCCAGCCCCTCCCCGGATGCCCTCTGCTTGCAGTGTCCAGGGGCCTGATCCTGTCCAGGGTGGGCGGCTGGGCTGGCCCTCGGGTGGACCCCAGACAGACCTCTGCCTCGACCACCCACGAGAGTGACAGCTAAGATGAGAGAGACCAGGGGATGGAATGCAATGCATGGAGCGGGAGCGGCGCTCTCCAAAAGCCCAGGCACAACCTGCAGGCACCCTGGGAGCCCCGCCAGGAGGAAGGGGCAGGGGGCAAATTGGGGGCTTCCCCGCTCTGAAGCCCCGCCACACAGTCCGACTGCAGGGCCCCCCCGGCAAAGACACCCTCCTCTTCCTCCTCCTCCTCCTCCTCCTCCTCCTCCGGGGCGAGAGGATGACAGGGACGAGAAAGAGGCAGGCAGCCCATCCCACTCCGGCCCCGCCACTCACTCGCCCCAAAAGCCTCTCGCGCCCCCTGCCAGCCCGACTTTTCGGGATCCGAGGAAGCAGCTGGCTCTCCAAGCAGAAAACGCGCATGCGCAGCTGGGCTCGGCGCGCTCCCGACTCCGCCGCGTCCATGGCAGAACAGCCCCCGCCTCCGTAGGGGAACCCTGGGAGCCCCGCGCAGGCGGGGAGAGAGACCGACAGACATCCCTCCGCATCCCGGAGGAGGAAGGGCAAAGGCTCGGGCAGGATACGTCCCTCTGCACTGGCGCAACTTTGCGCTCAGAACTGCCGGAGAGCCTGGATCTCACAGCTGGCACTGCGAGGCATCCTGGCCACTAGCCAGCGAAAGCCTCTGTCTCTGCCAGGAATTGGTCCCATCCTCTATGAAAGCCACCCGAGTGGGAGCAAGTGATGTTCTTGGACCTAAGAGCATCAGGTCAGGAGAACATCAGGTCCAGCATCTTGTGCTCACAGTGGAGGACTGCAAAGCAGCAGAAACCCCAATGTGTGTAGAATTTCAGAAGGTTTCAGAGACAGCAAAGCATTTGCAGACACTCAGAAGTGCGGGAGTGTGAGAGGAAGTCTGGGAAGGCCACAATCCAAGTTCCACGGTATGTTAAACACATCATTGGGTGCTGCAGTGATTTCTATTATGACTGTTCTTTAAATAAATCAAATAGCTCCTGCAAAGCTTCGACCTTGCGTTCCTGTACTTTGTTGTTGTTGTTGTTGTTTAGTCGTTTAGCCGTGTCCGACTCTTCGTGACCCCATGGACCAGAACACGCCAGGCATTCCTGTCTTCCACTGTCTTCTTTGTAACCCACTGCACTTTGTAACCCAAGAGTTTTACTATGCATTTTCTTCTTGCTGCCGCGTGGAACAGCACGTGAACCAGACATTTGGAATTTGTAAGTAAGCTGGATGTGGGGGATTCCCTGGTCCTGACTGGGTAACTGTGCCCCTGAAGGACCAGGAGCACATCCAGGGAATCATTTTGGACTCACAGCTGTCCATGGAGGCGTAGGTCAAGTCTGTGTCCAGGGCAGCTGTCTCCCAGCTCCATCTGGTACGCAGGCTGACTGGCCAGAGTGGTGCATGCTCTGGTTATCTCCGTCTTGGACTACTGCCATGCGCTCTATGTGGGGCTACCTTTGAAGGTGACCCAGAAACTACAGCTAATCCAGAATGTGGCAGCTAGACTGGTGACTGGGAGTGGCCGCCAAGACCACATAAGACCGGTCTTGAAAGACCTACATTGTCTCCCAGTATGTTTCTGAGCACAATCCGACGTGTCGGTGCTGCCCCTGAAAGCCCTAAACGGCCCAGTATACCTGAAGCAGCGTCTCCACCCCCATCGTTCTACCCGGACGCTGAGGTCCAGCGCTGAGGGACTTCTGGCGGTTCCTTCACTGCGAGAAGCAAAGCTACAGGGAACCAGGCAGAGGGCCTTCTCGGTGGTGGCACCCACCCTGTGGAACGCCCTCCCAGCAGATGTCAAGGAGATAAAGAACTACACAACTTTTAGAAGGCAGCCCTCTATGGGGAAGTTTTTAATGTTTGATGTTTTATTTACAGGTAGGTAGTCATGTTGGTCTGCCGTAGTCGAAACAAAAAATAAATAAATGAAATTCCTTCCAGTAACACCTTAGAGACCAACTACCGTATTTTTCGCTCTATAACACGCACCAGACCATAACACGCACGTAGTTTTTAGAGGAGGAAAACAAGAAAAAAAATATTCTAAACGAAATAGTGGATATATGATTTTTGTGGTTCATGCTGTGGCCACAGACATGTGATCTGACAGTGAGTTTGGAGTAGCCCAATGCAAAATCCTGAGGATCCATGTGGATCCATTTTTGTAACCACGGAGGAGGGAAGGAAGGGGAACCATGGATCCTCTACTCACGACTGCAGCAGATCACCACCACCACCCACAGGCATTCGCTCCATAACACGCACAGACATTTCCCTTTACTTTCTAGGAGGAAAAAAGTGAGTGTTATGGTGCAAAAAATACGGTAAGTTTGTTATTGGTATGAGTTTTCATGTGCATGCACACGTCTTCAGATACCTGATGTTTTATCATGTTTTATATATGCTGTAAGCCACCCAAAGTGACGGAGGAAACCCAACCAAATGTGCAGAGTATAATAATAGTAACAATAACAATAAAAAATAATAAAAATCCTTCTTTTTTTTATTTTGTTTCGACTATGGCAGACCAACACGGCTACCTACCTGTAACAATAACAACAACAGAAGTTGGCTTTCCTCCAGTCTTCTGGCAGTGAGGCGGCAAGGACGTCCCTCCCTCCCTCCCCTCTGTCTTCTTTCATTCTGCGTTTATTGCTGCTTGAGCCCCGGCACCTCTCTCATGGGGGCACAGGTCCATGATTCCTGGAGGGCATGACCACTTTGCAACCCTCCCCTGACACATTGGCAGGGAGGGGGTTAAACTGAGCCAGAGCAGCAGGGATTGGCCCGGTCAGGCATGTTCACACTCTCTTCCTGCAGCTGAGGAAACTGAGCTTGTGGGACTTGAACTCAGCTCTCCCTTCTTTCGCAGTGACCTCAGCGCCTCACAGAATGCTGGCAGCTCCAAGAGAGCCATGTGTGCTCCAGTCTAGTGCTAGGCTGGGGGAGGTGGAGCTAAGGGGCCTCGGTTCTGCACCTGTGACATCATTAGCTGGCCTTCTATGACATCACAGGGCTCAGCCTGAGACCCCTCCCACACTCAAGATTGGAAGCCAGTGACTTCTGGGAGAACCTATGGACCATCTGTTGGTGTGTGGCTTGCTGTTGATGCTTCAGGGACAGGCCATTTGGGGACAAGGTACCGGGTGCAAGGAAAGGGAGTGGGGCGCTGCCATGGGGTGAAGGCAGGGCTGGAGGCGCTTTGGCTCCTTCCCTCGGAGGCCCTTGGCAGACCCCAAAAAACAACAACCCCACCTTCTGATGGCCAATCTTCCAAGAACCCCTCCCCCTGGCTGCTCCGTTTCCTGTGACATCACAGGAATGATGTGACATCATCACCTCTTGGAGTGGGGAGGGTGGGGAGGCCGAGGGGGTTTGGGGCCTCCTCCTGGCGACCAGCCCCAATGCCCATGCTCTGTCTCCACGGCTGGAGGCAGCAGTTTCTGGAAACCACAGGAGGGGAGAGTGGCTGTTGCTTGGATCCTGCCCCCAGGCTTCCCTTTGGGGCATCTGTTTGGCCACTGTGAGAAGAGGAGGCAGGACTGGGTGGGCAACGGGCCTGATCCAGCAGGGCTCTTATTACAAAGGGCTCTTGTGCCAGCAAAACCTCCATGGCTGGGGGCAGTCTACCCCTGAATATCACAGGTATGAGGAAGGACAACCCGAGAGTGCTCTTGCAGTCTGGCCCTGGTCGCAGGTTTCCCATGAAGGGCATCCAGTGGGCCTGCAAGGGCCTGATCCTGCATCCAGACTCTTTATGTCCTTAGGGAGCCTCCACGGCCAGGCTCCTGGGTTCTTCGGGGCACCAGGGCGGGATGGTGGAGTGTGGCAGGGGCCCGGGGCCCTTCTGACGTGCGCTTGCCTCCGCCCGCCCCTCTCCTCCAGGCTGCGGCTTCCGGCCAGAGTTCGACGGGCCCCACGCCTCCCCCGTGGCCGGCGCGCGCATTGTGGGGGCTCGAAATCCCTCCCCGGGAAGTGGCCCTGGGTGGTCAGCATACAGACCAGCACCTACCACTTCTGCGGGGGGTCCATCGTGCACCCGTGGTGGGTCCTCTCCGCCGCCCACTGCTTCGCAGAGAGAAGGTGAGGAAGGAGGGGGGAGGGGGCAGAGGGCCGGCTGCCGGTGGGGGGGGGACCGTCAGGCGGGGTCCCGGCCTGGCTGCCAGGAACCTCCTCCGGAGGCTGTGCGCGCGCCCTCTCCTGCCCGCCAAGCCACGCCCTGCGGAGCCAAGGGGGAGGCTGGCTCTGGGTGCAGCCGCGTGTGTCTGAACCGGCATGCGGACACGGGTTAAGCGCCCGTTTACCACCAGACTCTTCTCTTGCAAACAAAGATTGCTTTCTTGATCTCTGCTTCCCTTATTTTGATTCGGCTGCTTAATGAAGGGTGCCTCCTCCATGTGACCTTCTGGAGAACCAGCCTTCTCTGTGGTGGCTCCCCGTTTGTGGACTGCTCGCCCCGGGGAGTCTCGCCTGGCGCCTTCATTATGTCTGTTTAGGCACCAGGCGGAAACTTCCAATTAATGCTCTACAGCCTTTCAAATGTGTTCGTGGGAAGGGGGTTATTGTTTCGTATTTTGTGCTTTTATGCTGTATTTTTTATCTTGGGAACCGCCCTGAGAGCTTGTGGCGAAGGGCGAAATATAAATTCAAATAATGAAATTAAATAAGTAAATAATCCGGCCCTGGATTACTGCATCGCAGCGGGCTGGACTAGATGGCCGCTGGGGGACCCCTCCCAACTCTACAGTTCTATGACTTCAGGGAGACCCTGTTTGGAGGCGAAAGTGTGTGTGAATTCTGACTAAACCCAGAGCCCCCCCCCTCTCTTTCCTTCAGCGACAAGGTCAGGGTGGCCGCGGGGAGCAACCTCCTGGGGAGGCACAACGTCACCCGCTGGGTGCGCAAGATCCATCTGCACCCCGCGTACAGCACCCGCACCTACGACAACGACCTGGCGCTCCTGCTGCTGGACAAGCCCATCCCCTACAGCTTCTACCACAGCCCCCTCTGCCTCCCCGACCACAGCATCGTCCCCGACGACAACATGTGGGAGAGCTGCACCGTGGCCGGGTGGGGGCTGACGAAGGCCGGTGAGCCCCGAAGGCGCCGCTGCCTCTTCCGCGCTTCCTTTCCCTGGACGAAATCCCGCGTCCCTCCAAAGACAGACCCGGGGCTGAGGGAGAGCGGAGTCGGACCGGGAGTGCCGGCTTGGGCTCGCGACTGTGGGTGCCCCGGGGTCGTGGGTGCCACGCAGCGTGCACGACCCTGCCACGCACCGGTGCCCGGACCCTTCAGGGGGAATTTTGTGGGTGCTTGGGTACCCAGGGCCCCAGGGAGTTGGCACCCGTGAGCCGGGCCATTGCGCGTGTGGACCCCTGTTTGAACAGAGGGGGGTTACCTGGGTGGGCAAGAAAGATGGGGGGGGGGGACACGCCCCATGCTGACTCAGGATTTGGTCCTGGGCAGCTGCCACCCTGCTCTACCTCCCTTCCTCAGTTCTTCCACCTGTAAAATCTCTCTTCTCTTTGGCGATCACTTGTAGCTGAGTAAGATTGTCTTCCGTAAACACGGTCTTAACAATGAGTCCGTAAGAGAGGCCAATTCTGGATCCACCCGTCCTTCCACAGCGGGGACATTGGTTTCCGGGCGGGAGTTGATCCCGGTGTGGATTTGCCAAGCGTGCCTTCCCCTTCGCACGTTTCTCCCTTCTGTCCTGAGTTCGAGTGTCTTCAAAGCCCATGACACCTTTGGTCAAGGCTGTTCTCCAACTGTCTTTCCCTGTAAAATGGGAAGATGGTTACGGATGCCGGACTCGAGCCTTGCCTGCGTTGTTGGCGCAGCGGTGTGGGATGGATTGGGGGCGGGGGGAGGAAAGAAGCCCGGTCCTCCCAAAAACCCCTCTGCCTCAAGATGTGGCCGCCAGGGCAGAGAAATGGGACGGGGCAAATGCATGGAGAAGAGGCGGCGCCGGAGGAGCCCCGCCGTCAGGCGCAGTCTACCTCTGCGGGGAAGAGGCAGCGGAAGGGAACGGACCTGCTGGTGGACCTGATCCAATTCCAGGGGGTCTTTGGAAGCCCGTGGGGTGCCCATGGGGAAATGGGTCTCGGGGCTTGCGCGCCGGCACCCGCGAAGGAGGTCACGGGCTGACCCCTCCTCCAGCCAGCCCGCGCGGCTTGTCTCCCTTCCTCCTCTCTCCGTCCAGGAAGCGGCCAGGGATCCTACAGTTTGCTGGACGTGCAGGTGGGGATGGTCGACTGGATGCTGTGCCTCCGCTGGCTGCGCTCCCTCACCAAAAACATGATCTGCGCCGGGTTTGAGGAGGGCGGCCGCGACGCCTGCCAGGTGGGAGACGCCCCCCTCGCCTCCTGCCCCCCGTCTTCCTTCTGGGCGTAGAAGGGGGCCCAGCCAGGGCGCTCCGAGTGGGCAAGGGGGGCGCAGGGTGGGGCAGCGAAGGGGTGGGAGGGGAAGGCTTGCAGCTGGGGCTCCCGGGGGCTTCGGACTACAACTCCCACCCTCCCGCCTCTCCAGGGGGACAGCGGAGGACCCCTCATGTGCCGCCCCCCGGGCCGCGGAGGACCCCACCAGCGCTGGTACGCGGTCGGCGTGGTGAGCTGGGGGCGCAGCTGCGCGGCCCGCCACAGCCCCGGCGTCTACACCAGGGTGGCCAACTTCCACGCGTGGCTGGAGATGACCTCGGCCCACGAAAGCCACCCTTTCCACGTGCCGCAGACCGCGGAGGGCCACACCGCCGCCCCCGCCGCCGAGGCGGCGCATGTGACCAGGCAGGAGCTCGACATGTGGGCCGGAGTGGAGGCGGCCATCGCCGCCAGAGCCGCTCCTGGGCAGCGCCCGGCCCTCGCGTGGCTCCTGGGGGCCGCCTGCTGGGCCCTGCGCTGGGCAGAAGAGATGGAATAAATGATAATTTATTTATCTGTATTTGCTTATGAAATCTGTACGTCGCCTTTCTCCCGAAGATCGCAGGGCGAGCACAGGGAGGGCGCAAAATGCAAGACGAAACAAGAGCGAAACCAAGGACCCCGCGAACATTTTCAAGGTCCCGGGAAGCTATGTGCCCGAAGGCTTTAGACTCTAGGGGTCAGCAAACTTTTCCAGCAGGGGGTCGGTCCACTGTCCCTCAGACCTTGGGGGGGGGGCGGACTATATTTTTTTGGGGGGAATGAACGAATTCCTTTGCCCCACAAATAACCCAGAGATGCATTTTAAATAAAAGGACACATTCTACTCATGTAAAAACACGCTGATTCCGGACCGTCCGGGGCCGGATTTAGAAGGCGACTGGGCCGGATCCGGCCCCCGGGCCTTAGTTTGCCTACCCCTGCTTTAGAGGAAAGTTTTTCCCGGTGCTTGTGCGCCTGGACAAGGCTTGGCTCGCCTCCTCGGGATGCTCAGGAGATCGGCCGGATTTGGCCTCGGTCTTCCGCGCGCGAGCAGTTTTTCCGGCTTCCGACGGCGTGGAAATGCTTTTGGGTCGTGGAATCGTAGCACAGCATAGTTGGAAGGGAACCTGAGGGACTTTAGTCCAACCCCCGGCAACGGAGGAGTCCTGATCTTTTCCACACACCCTGCACATATTTTAATTTTTTTTGCCGGTTCTCCTTTTTATCTGTAAGCTGCGTGGGGAAAAGGCGGGGTGGAAATAAACAAACAAAACAACGAGTCTCTTTTATTGCCCTTTTAACTTTCCATATGTTTGTGTTTTCTTTTTAGTGGTGCTTAAATTGTTATTTTATGTTCGTTTATATCCTGCCTTTTACCCGGGCGGGGATTTGGGACGGCTTACGGATAAAACTGCAAATGAAAGGGGGGGAGCAGGAAACGTTGCCTGCCCCCCCAATCTCTGGGTGGTGTGACTTTCCAGGGGTCCCAAGCACTGAAGGCAGCATTCGTGTTTCCTTTGAGGCTCACAGGAGACGGGTGTCTTTGGGTGATATGGGGTTATTTGCCCATATATACAACCTGAGCCTATAACGGAGGGGCTCACAGCATCAGCACCTCAAGAGGGTCTTTCTTCTCCCATAACCTAGCCTTGGATCACTGCATCAGATACATCTAATAATAATAATAATAATAATAATAATAATTTTATTATTTGTATCCCGCCCATCTGACTGGGTTTCCCATCAAAGGGGATGAAAAGCAGCAGCCACCACAAAAGAGATCCATTAAGTCATTTCCATTTTTCTTAGACTAGTTCAGCAGTTTCCTCTTAACAGATTCCATCCACACGCAGGAATACAGGCTAGGAGGGGTCCCCAGGGGCCATCCAGACTGTCCCCACAACCTGGAACAATATCAGCTGAACCTGAAGGTCTTGGGGGATGTTAACAACATCAAAGGCCTGTCAGCATGGGCAGATCTCCTTATTTTCACCTTTTTTTAAATTATAAAAAATATATTCTTTGCATATTAATGGAAAAAATATGGATCAAATGCATAGAAAGGGGTGAAAAGCCACAGCTGCTACAAATAGAAAACATTAAATCGTTTCATTTTTTTAAAGTTTCAGTCGCAGCACTTAAACATTTTACCATATCCACTCCTTCCTCCCCTCTGTGGGATCCCGGTCCCTCTTGTTGTCTCTGTCTGCCATGTGAGAATGTTGTAAATAGTAGGAGAGGATATCTTGATTAAATATGAAATGAAATGAAGTTAATTACGATCCCAGATCAGATTAAATATTACCCTTCCTCACTCTCGCTAGGGAGTCAAGTAGCAGAACACGTTCCCCTTAGACAGCAGGAAGCTAGTTTGCAGATTCGTGTGAATCTCTTTCGTTAAGCAATCCAGTCTGGCTTGCCCAGATTGGATTTATTCGTGGTAAGTCCCCTTTGATCCCGCTCAAAAGAATAAAGACACAGCCGTCTTTCCTTAAAAGTAGCAAGAAGTTTACTTACATTCAGTTCACAGTATGCTCCCTGAAGGCAGGCTTTGGCTTGTAGTTACAGTTACAGAGAGAGGTTGGGATTGATCCCATGTGCTGCTGGCTGAGAGCCAGCAGTGCAGTCCAAGAGAAGAAAAGCAGAAGAAGAAAAAGAGAGCTGCGTGACTGGACCTTTTGTTGGGTCTGCAAGCTTCACGCCCACCTACCTGGTCACATGCAGGGGGAGGATGCTCCAGACCAGGTGGAACAGAAAGTTATTGTGGGATGTGATCCATGAGAGGCAGTCAAGTACAACATTCCTTGTAATGCTAGAGAAGACATGTGGGGGAATGTTTGGTCCAGCCAGTCAAAACTTCCTGTTCCTCCTGGCTGGAGCATCCTTCCTTTGCATGTGACTAGAGGTGGGCGTGACCTCACCTGTCCAGGTAACAAAAGGACGAGTCACGCAGCACTCTCCCTCTTTTTGACTTCCTTCTTAATTTGACCAGCTTTTAGCTAGGACTGCTCTGCTAGCTTCCAGCTAGCAGAAGCACTGGGTTATTATCCAATATGGGGTAGATCCACATGTACATATTTGTAACTAAGTCTACCTTCAGGAATCCAACTGTGAACTGATGTGAGTAAAGTTATTTTATTGACTTTGAATAAGATTGTCGTGTCTTGATTCTTTTAAGAGGGATTCAAGGGAACTTACCAGGAACGTACAATTCAATCTGAGACAGACTGAATTGTATAATAGTGAGAGGCTCACACGAGCCTGCAACCAGCTATCTGCTATGCATGTAAGAAAGGGGAATGGAACTCGGCTACATCTATCTCCCTGTCTGTGTCCACTCTAGGAAAACAAGGAATATTGTACTTGACTGCTCCAATGGATTACATCCCACATGCCAGCCAGGCCCTTCACGCAGGAGATGCTTTCTCCAGCTGTGGCGCCCCAGAGTAATGGAGCTGAAGGGAGAGTCTCTCTCAGAACAGGGCCTTGAAAATAGGCCCTGTTCTGAAATATTTTCAAGGCCCTCCCACCCCCACTAAGAACGGGGGGGGGGCGCAAGATGGCTTCCCCTCCCCCTGACCCTCTCCGGAGGCTCCAGTTCTCTGTGGAGGTACAAAGCGGCTTTCCTCTGGCTCTCCTGTGGAGGCCTTTGCTTCTTTGCAACCACTTGCATTCCACCCGTGGCCCTTTGAAGACCCCTTTGAAGGCCCTTTGAAGACCCGTCTGCACCCGGGTGGCCTTTGGGGGTGGCAGGGAGAATGAGGTGCCCCCTCCATGCCAGCACGTTGGGTTCTTGCCCCACATGCTCTAGTAGTGAAGGCTCAACAATATGGGGTTTATTTAGGATTTATTTTGTGCATTTCTACCTAAGCTTTATCACATCTTTTTTGTTTTCGTAAACCACCCTGGATCCTTGCTGCTCCCCCGCTTTTTTAAAAGAGGGGGGGGGGATTGAAATAAGAGAGTCTGGAGAAGGGGATAACCAGAGGGAGGGGATATGACTAAAAAAGGCTGATTATTTGAGGGGGGGGAACAAAGGGGTTTGCAGAGGAAGTATGTAGCCACCCCCCCCCCCGCCTGAGATTTCAAAAAGTGGGATTTGGTCCACTTGGAATGGAATTTATTTATTTTCTGCATTTGCAGCCCAACTTTCCCTCCAGGAACCTCAAGGTGGGGCACATGGTTCTCCTCCCACCTCCTCATTGAATCCCCACAACAACAACCTTGTAAGGTAGGTCAGGCCAAGAGAAAGCAGTGACCGCCCCCCCACAAGGTCATCTTCAGCAAGCTTTACAGCCACTGGGTGGGGGATTCGAACCCCGGTCTCTCCCAGATCCTAGTCCTCATTGAAGCCCCACAACAACCCTGTGAGGTCGGTTAGGCGGAGCGGCAGTGCCTGCCCCACAAAGTCACCCAGCGCCCTTTTTGTCCTAGTGGGGATCCGAACCCTGGTCTTGCTCCTAGTCCTCATGGAGTCCCCACAGCAGCCCTGTGAGGCAGGTCAGGCCGACAGAAGGAGGCCGACACTCCCCTGAGCTCACACCCAGCAACCTTCATGGCTGGCTGGGGGCATTCGAACCCTGGTCTTCCCTGGGTCCTAGCCTGGCACTCTAACCACTACACCGCCGCTGCCTCTTTTTACACCCCGACATCTTTTCCTGACCTTCAGGGTCAGCACAGCCTTCCTGGACCACAGCGATGGCCTTCTGCAGGGAGTTCCCTTTCCGCTGCCCATGGCAGCGATGGGACCCAGGTGTCCGAGGGGGCATCAGAGGAGGAGGCTGCTGGCCACCCCTCCGTCTGTTGGCCTGGCCAGGATTCCAGATTCCTCTGATGTCGCAGCAGAACAGAGGGACCCCCCCATCCAACGACTGACCTCCAAAGCGGTCAGGTAGGTGGGAGGCCTAGGTGGGCCCTAGGTGGGGGGCAGGACCCTATGCCAGGGGGTGGGCAGGGCTGGTGGGGGCACAGCTGCCCTCTAGGGAGCCCGTCTCTATGACCGGGGGGGGGGGGGCTCACCTGACTGTTGGTGGCAGTTGGGACTCACCTGAATGGAGGCCACTGAATGGAGGCCACTTTCCCCCCCAAAGACGACCCCCTTTGTAGATGAGAGAAGCAGGGGACAGAGAGAGACGGGGGAAACACTTTCATTTCATTTCATTTATTTAATAATAATAATAATAATAATAATAATAATAATAATTTTAAACAGCGCTGAAAATAAACAATATAGAATAAAAATTAAAAGTGAGAACATGGAAAGGAAGGTATAATATATCAATACAAGAATTAAGAATTACAATTCCATATAAAGTTATCTAATATATAGATATTATTATAATCCAAATACACACACACAAAACCCCCAGTATATTTTGTATAAATGGGTTCCAAATTTCATTACACTTTTATCTTATTTCGAGTATTCGCAGGCCCAACCTGTCGGATTTTCACCTTTCAAATTCCAAAAATGAGGAAGCCTCAAGATATTTTGGTTAGAATACTATAATATAATTTAGTTTTGCTTGGTAAATAAAATGTGTGTAAATTTGTGTAGAAATCATGGGAAATGACTGGCAGATACTTGCAGTTATATACGGTACTATGTATTCATATTAATATATTATACATATCTTATATGACCTGTCAATTTCAAATTAATTTTCTTCGGTTTTCTGAGAGTAGTTTATTTGCTTCTTTATCAAACCTAGCAAGCTAAATGTTGTCCAGTCACAAAAATAGTAGATTTAAATTCCTCACACCCAAAACTGTTTTTAAGGCCCCTCACTGAAGAAAAGTGCAAAAATTAAGTTTCACCCCCTAAAATGACACACCCTGCAGGAATTAACCTCTCCTTAGAAATCTCCAAGGAATCATAGTATTGAGAGTTGGAAGGGGCTCATGGGTCATCTAGTCCAACCCCCAACCATCCAGGAATTGCCTGTTTCATAGAAACTTAGAACTGTCGATTTGGGTGGGACTCCAAAAGGCCATCCATTCCAACCCGCTGCAAGGCAGGTAGATGCATGGGAGTTTGTCAGGGGTTGAGGGAGACACACTCTGCACATGCTCAGAGGCTCCCTCGGTGTCCTGGGGGCGCTTGGGGGGTTTTCCCTGCATGGCTGATGGAGGCCTGGCCCCACTGCTCTCCTCACAGGCATGGAGTTTGTCACTGGCTACCGGGCCGAGATCCTGGACTTTGCGGAGCTGCTCTTCAGCTGGTACCGGCGCTTCCTGTTGGACTCGGCCTGCCGGCGAGGCAGCGAGCGCCGCAAGCGCCAGGAGGGCTCCATCCGGCGACTGCCCCCGGATCCGGCCCTCTGGGTGCTGCACGCCTTGCCCAACCGGGCGCTGGCCTTCACCGTGGCCGACCCGGGGCAGCAGGTGGGCGGCCGTTTCTACAGCGAGGAGGCGCTGGCCCTGGGGGACCTGGAGCGCTTCATCACCTTCGTGGGCGCCGGCGAGGAGGATGACGAGGAGGCCACACCTGAGACAGGTGAGGGGCGCCGGAGGTTGCAGGGCTTGGGGCAGGTAGCCACAGCATCCCCGGAAGGGCAGCCAGGGCTCTGCTCTGTGTGGGATGTGATACCTAAGTAGCAGTCAATACAACATTCCTTGTTTTCCTAGAGTGGACATGCAAGGGGATGTTTGGTCCAGCCAGTCAAAAACTTCCTGTTTCCTCCTCGCTGGGCTATCCTTCCTTTGCATGTGACTAGAGGTGGGCGTGACCTTACCTGTCCAGGTAACACAAAAGGACAGGACATGCAGCGCTCTCTCTCTCTTCGACTTCCTCCATCGTTGGAGCAGCTTTTAGCTAACGGAGGTTTCAAATCCTTCCTGTCATTTTGTCCAATTCTGCATAGTCCATTAATTTCGCCTGCCATTCTTCCTTCATCGGAATTTCTTCTTGTTTCCATTTTTGGGCCAACAATACTCTTGTCGCTGTTGGTGCATATAAGAACAGCTTGACATCTTGTCTATTAATGTCTTGGCCTATAATACCAAGTAAAAATGCTTCTGGTTTTTTAAAGAATGTATATTTCAACATCTTTTCATCTCATTATATATCATTTCCCAGAAGTTCTTTACTTTCTTACATTCCTACCACATGTGATAAAATGTTCCTTCTTTTTCTTTACATTTCCAACATTTATTATTTGTCTTATACATTTTAGCTAATTTCACTGGTGTAATATATCAATTTATACATCATTTTCATAATATTCTCTTTCAAAGCATTACAAGCTGTAAATTTTATCCTTTCATTCCACAACCTTTCCCATACCAGGAACATACAATTCAATACCGAATTGTGTGATAATGAGAGGCTTAAACAAGCCTGCAAGCAGCTCTCTGTTGTGCTCTGTAAAGGGGAATTCACTCTGCTAAGGAAAGGGACTTGCTAGCACAAGTTAGGAAGGATATTAACAAACAAGATATCCTCTCCTGCCACCCGGAACATTCCCACACTTGCCTCCGCAGAGGGAGGGGGAATCAGCGCTTCTGAATGCCCGTTGCCGGAAGCCACACGAGGGGGGAGCTGCTCTCGTGGATGGATCCTGCTTGCCTGTTTCCTACAGGCAACGGGGAGAACAGGATGTTGGACCAGGTGGGCCACTGGCCTGATCCAGGGCTCTTCTCACATTTCCATGGAGCCTCCAGGCCCAGGAACAGTCTATCCCGAACCCTCGGTCCTTAGGGGCATTTGGCTACTGGGAGGACAGGAGGTTGGACTCTGCGGGTCGTTGGCTGGATCCAGCCAATGGCTCTCCTCACACGGAGGTCCAGCTCCGAGGGCCTTCTGGCAGTTCCCTCCCTGCAAGAAGTGAGGTTGCAGGGAACCAGGCAGAGGGCCTTCTCAGTGGTGGCGCCCGCCCTGTGGAACACCCTCCCAGCAGATGTCAAGGAAATAAACAACTATCTGACTTTTAGAAGACATCTGAAGGTAGCCCTGCTTGGGGATTTTTTTTAAAAAAATGTTTGATGTTTTATTCTTTTTTTAAATATTCTGTTGGGAGCTGCTCAGAGTGGCTGGGGAACCTCAGCCACATGGGTGGGGTATAAATTATAATTATTATTATAATGATTATAATCCTTTCGTTCTCCTGCAGGCCAGCCGCTCTGGCGCGTGGACCACCTCCTGCTGGTGACGGACGAGCACGGCAGCATCTTGGGCTTTGACTTCCAGCTGGGGGGGTCCTGTGCAGGGGCCACGGGGGCCGAGCAGCCCCTGGAGCCGCGTGCCGTCGCCCTCCTGTGCCACAGCATGATCTGCCCTCTGGGCACAGGGGAGCCGCGCAGGCCCAAGCTGCTCACCGTGGGAGACGCGGCCTTGCACAAGTGAGAGGCTGCGCCACTTGGTTGCAGCGCATGACGCAGCTTCCGAGGGGCTCCTCCTTTGGTGGCAGGGCAGGGGGGGGGCACAAAGAGAAGAATAAGCACATTTTAAAAGAGGTTGTGCAATACATTTGCCCCCACCCTTTTTAAAAGAAGCAGCAAGAGAGGAGCTGACAACAGAGACCCCATGTTCAGGGGCAGGGTACCTCCAAGGCCCAAATAGCCTGCAAACATGGGGCTACCTGCGCTTCGCCCTGCCTTGGAACTTCCTTGAGGCACCTGGGCCAGCTAGAGTTAGCCAGATCCACCCCGGAGAGGGAAGGGGGTGACCCATAGCTGGGGAAGGGCAGCCAGTTCTGCTGCTGTTGCCCACAGGTCCTCCTGCCCCCAGGCTTCCAATGGGGGCATCTGGGAGAAGAGGTGCTCTTGTGGAACCTCCAGGCCCAGAGACAGTCTATCTGGGTCCTGGGTCCCATGGGGCCCTTGGCCGCTGGGCGCTGGTCCCCCTTGGGCCTGATCCAGCCGGTGTCCTCCTGTCTAGGTCCCTGGAGCCGCTGCTCTCGAGGCTGGGGGTGAAGATGAGCAAGGGCCCGATGCGCGGCTGGGGCCCCAAGCCGGCCTTCACGTTCCCCACCACCCGTGTGCGGGCCTGCCACGTCTGCAAGAGGTACAGCTTCGAGGGACAAGTCACGGCGTGGTGAGCAGCACCCCAGAGAAGGTTCCCTCCCCACCCCGCTTTCCACCCAGGCACGCCCGTCGGCACACACCACCGACGCTTGTACAAACCCCCAACTCTTGCTCTGCCACACCTTTGCAAAGCAGTGGGAGCCCAGCGGGTGCGTTGCAGAAGTTGGTACCGGGTTGCCCTTTGCTGGAATTCCAGCATGGCCGGGGTGTGGGATGTGAAACACAAGAGCAGTCAAGTACAACATTCCTAGAGTGAACATGTTTACACATGGGGAGGAGTGTTTGTCCAGCCAGCAGGTAAACTTCCTGTTTCCTTCTGGGCTGGGACAGATTTCCTCTGCATGTGACTAGAGGTGGGTGTGGCCTCACCTGTGCAGGTAACGACAAAAGCAGAGGGCAGGGCAGCCATCTCTCTCTCTTTGACTACATGCATTGAAGAAGCTTAGCCAAAGATGCCCTCTTGGCTTCCAAGAGAGGACAAAGGGACTGTCTTCTTATGAGATAGTTTCCAGGTGTGTGTTACTTTTCTAAGCTAAGTCTGCCTCCTGGGATCCGATTGTGAACAGAATGGTGTGTGAGTAAACCTTTTTATACTTTTATAGAAGACTGTGTCATGTCTTATCTTTTATGAGGGAATAAGGGGAAAATACCAGAGCAGTTATTATATATATATATATTTTAAATGATATTTATTGGAAAAATTTTTTTTTAAAAAATTACACACACACACACACACACACAAAAACAAGACAGAAAAAGAAAAAGAAAAGATAAAACCATCATTCTCAAATTCTCCACTTTCAATACCTTCTTTCTTTGACCTCCTCCTCCTCCCTTTTCTTGTATCCTGATTAATAATAATCACAGCAAATCCTTTCCATAATTCATAGTATTCTGTCATTACATTACCTTAATCTATTTTCATCTTAGCTTATAGAAAACCTTAAAGTTTAAAACTTAAATCTTATTTTTACCAACTTCTCCTAGCCATAACATTCTTACCAAATTCTTTAGACATTTTTACAAGAGCCAAGTAATTTCATTTCAACATTTTTCTAGCATTCATCAATTTTATAGAACAATCCTAATGGTAGGAAAAAAAAGAAATGAACAATCCAATCTTCATCCAGCGTCCCTTCCTCCTGGTCCCGGGTTTTGTCAGTCCTTTTTATCTTGTTAATCTAACACATTAACCTGGTAATCTTATATCCGAAGCCCTCAAGTCTCTTCCATGTCCCTTCCGCAGCTCTTCTTCATATTTTCCTTTCATTCGTGGGAACTCCAGCTTGATAGTGTTTTTTTTGTGTGTTTTTTTTTGAATAATTTTTATTAAAGTTTTAAACAAAGAAAAAAGAAAAAACAACACACACACACACAAAAAAATACAAAATTTAACAATAAAAACACACAACATAACAATTTAAAACAAACTCTCTTTTACATTCCCAATTTTGAATTACTTATTTTCTGGACTTCCTCATACCTCCCTCTTTTGTATTCCAATCTACATTATTTGTCCAGCAGTTTCTTTTCCACTTTTTAAAACCCAATCTTTAATTTAATGAAATATTAAACTATATAGCTTCAGCTTTTTTAAACATAATCCTTGTTCTTAATGTCATATACCTTTAAATTTTTCCCTTTTTTTATCAAATTTCCATTTCTTTAAACATCTTTAATCCTAATCCTTAATCTTAATCTATCTATCACTTTAAATCCTGTACAGCTGGAAGCCACTTATTTTCAATCCAACATCCCTCTAACATTCTTTAATTTTACAATGTTTCTGCAGATAGTCTTTGAATTTCTTCCAGTCTTCCTCCATCGACTCTTCTCCCTGGTCACAGATTCTACCAGTCATTTCCGCCAGTTCCATATAGTCCATAAGTTTCATCTGCCATTCCTCCAGCGTGGGAAGTTCTTGTGTCTTCCAATACTTTGCGATGAGTATTCTTGCTGCTGTTGTTGCATACATAAAGAAAGTTCTATCCTTTTTTAACACCATTTGGCCCACTATGCCCAGGAGAAAGGCCTCTGGTTTCTTGGGGAAGGTACAGTGGTGCCTCGCAAGACGAAATTAATCCGTTCCGCGAGAGTCTTCGTCTAGCGGTTTTTTCGTCTTGCGAAGCAAGCCCATTGACGGATTAGCGCTATTAGCGCTATTAGCGGTTTAGCGGCTATTAAAGGCTTAAAGGCTTAGGGGATTAGCTGCTAAAAGGCTATTAAAGGCTATTAAAGGCTTAGCAGATTAGATAAAGGGGAAGCGAAAAAAATCTCAAGACTCGCAAGGTATTTTCGTCTTGCGAAGCAAGCCCATAGGGGAATTCGTCCTGTGAAGCAACTTCAAAACGGAAAACCCTTTCGTCTAGCGGTTTTTCCGTCTTGCGAGGCATTCATCTTGCGGGGCACCACTGTATACTTAAATACCTTTTTTAATTCATTATATATCATTTCCCAGAAAGCCTTAATCTTTGGGCACGTCCACCAAAGGTGAAAAAATGTACCTTCAGTTTCTTTACATTTCCAACATTTGTTATCGGGCAAGTGATAGATTTTCGCAAGCTTGACTGGGGTTATGTACCACCTGTATATCATTTTCATAATATTCTCTCTTAAGGCATTACATGCCGTAAATTTCATACCAGTGGTCCATAACTGTTCCCAGTCAGCAAACATAATGTTGTGTCCTACGTCCTGCGCCCATTTAATCATAGCCGATTTTACCGTTTCATCTTGAGTATTCCATTTCAGCAGCAAGTTATACATTCTTGACAGATTCTTAGTATTGGGTTCTAACAATTCTGTTTCTAGTTTTGATTTTTCCACCTCGAAGCCAATTTTCCTGTCTAATTTAAATGCCTCCATTATTTGATAATAATGAAGCCAGTCTCGCACTTTGTTTTTTAATTTTTCAAAACTCTGCAATTTCAGTCTATCTCCGTCTTGTTCCAAGATTTCCCAATATTTCGGCCATTTGACCTCCATATTGACCCTTTTCAAGGCTTTCGCTTCCATTGGTGACAGCCACCTTGGGGTTTTATTTTCTAACAAATCCTTATATCTTATCCAAACATTAAATAGCGCTTTCCTGACAATGTGGTTTTAAATGCTTTGTGTGCTTTGACCTTATCATACCATAAATATGCATGCCATCCAAATACATTATTAAAACCTTCCAAGTCCAAAATGTCAGTGTTTTCAAGAAGTAGCCATTCTTTCAACCAGCAAAAAGCTGCTGCTTCATAATAAAGTTTGAGGTCTGGCAGGGCAAATCCACCTCTTTCCTTTGCATCTGTTAAAATTTTAAATTTTATTCTAGGTTTCTTGCCCTGCCAGACAAATTTAGAAATATCTTTCTGCCACCTCTTGAAACAGTCCATTTTGTCCACAATCTGCAAAGTTTGAAACAAAAACAACATTCTAGGCAATACATTCATTTTTATCGCAGCAATACGGCCTAGCAGTGAAAGCTTCAAGTTTGACCAAATTTCTAAATCTTTTTCACTTCTGACCAACATTTTTCATAGTTATCTTTAAATAAATTCCCATTTTTGCTGTCATGTTAATCCCCAAGTATTTAACTTTCTTAACCACTGTTAACCCTGTCTCATTCTGAAACCTCTCTCTTTCAAAAGATGTTAAATTTTTCTCTAAAACCTTGGTTTTTGATTTGTTCAATTTAAATCCTGCCACTTGACCAAATTCTTGAATCAGTTCTAAAACCCTTTTTGTACTAGATTCTGGCTCCTGTAACGTCAGTACTAAGTCATCTGCAAATGCTCTCAATTTATAGTGTTTAGTTCCGACCTGTATACCTTTCACCAACTGGTCCCTTCTAATCATGTTCAGCAACACCTCCAGGACCGAAATAAAGAGAAGAGGGAAATTGGGCAACCTTGTCGTGTCCCTTTTTCAATTTTAAGTTCTTCCGTCACAACGTTATTTACAATTAATTTAGCCTTTTGTTCTGAATAAATTGCACTTATACCATTCTCAAAACCTTGGCCTACCCCCATACCCTGAAGATTCTTCTTCATAAAATTCCAAGAAATATTGTCAAAGGCTTTCTCCGCATCTACAAATATCAACACTGCTTTAGTGTTTATGTTCACTTCTAATTTTTCCAAAATATCAATTATATTCCTCAGATTATCAGACAAGTGTCTTCTTGGGAGAAAGCCCGCTTGGTCCTTATGAATCTCTTCCAACAGCACTTTTTAAAATCTCTTCGCCAAAATATCTGCAAAAATTTTGTAATCCACATTAAGTAATGATATTGGGCGGTAGTTCTTTAATTGTGTCTTTTCAGCCTCTGTTTTTGGTACAAGTGTAATATATGCTTCTTTCCACGACTCTGGTGCCCTCCTCCCCTCCATTATTTCGTTGCAGACCTCTTTCAATGGTTGAATTAACCAGTCTTTTAAGGATCTGTAGTATCTAGAGGTCAAGCCGTCTGGGCCTGGAGATTTACCCAGTTGCATATTTTGAATGGCACCTTCTATTTCCTGTTCCGTTATTCTATCATTCAAAATTAGTCTCTTTTCTTGAGATATTTTTTGTAATCCATTTGTTTTCAAAAATTGATCTAAGTCTGTTTCTTTCACAGGCCCTTGAGTGTATAGTCTTTTGAAATACTTCTGGAAACAACTTCTAATTTCTGCAGGGTTCTGTATATTCCTTCCATCCACTTCTAAATTCGTAATCGTATTTAATTTTTGTCTCTTTTTCATTTGCCATGCCAACAGTTTACCACATTTATTAGCCGATTCAAAAGTCTTTTGTCTCATTTGTTTAATTTTCCATTCTACTTCCTGATTCATTATTTTCATATATTGTACTTGATATAACTTTAACTCTCTCAGAGTCTCTTGAGATTTGGGATTTACTCGCAATCTTTTTTCGCATTCATTCATTTTATTCATAATTTTATCCTTCTTCTCATTTTGAGTTCTTTTCTTTATCGCATTCTGTTGTATTAAGAACCCTCTCATCACAGCTTTACTTGCATCCCAGATTACTCTTTTCTCCACGTTGGAACTAAGATTTATCTCAAAGTAATCTTTTAAGGTTTTTTGGGCCTTCTTAAGAAATTCTTCATCTCTGAATAAGGTGTCATTCATCTTCCATCTGAAGGAGCCAGTTGGCATTAGTCTCATTTCCATCTTAACAGCATTATGGTCGGAGCAAATTTTTGGGCAGATTTCCACCTTTTTTGTTTTTGGTGCCATTCCTCTAGTTATCCAAATTTGGTCAATTCTTGTCCAAGTCATTTTGGCTTCAGAAAAGAAAGTTCCTTCTTTTGCCAAGGGGTTTCTAATTCTCCAAATATCCACTAAATCCAAGTTGTCTGTCATATCAAAAAAGGTTCTCGGTAGTCTACCATCTTTGGTGACTACCTGTTTTTGTGCCTTGTCCATATAGGTAGATACCACTCCATTCATATCTCCCATCAAAATTATGTTGTAATCCATATGGTCCATCAAGGTCTCATGCAACTTCTTAAAAAAAATCGGATTTCCCATCATTTGGTGCATAAACTCCTACGATCAAAAATTTTTCTCCCTGTGTTTGAATTTCAATTGCCACAAATCTTCCTTGGTCATCCTTAAAAACAAATTTTGGTGATAAATTATCTTTTGCGTAGATCACAACTCCTCTCTTTTAACTTTATCCGACGAAATAAATTCCTGACCAAGTCTTTTGTTTGTTAACAATTTCCTGTGCAGTCTCGTTATATGTGTTTCTTGTAAACAAATTAAATCTAATTGTTCCTTTTTAATATATGAAATACTGACTTCCTCTTCTGAGGGAATTCAAACCCCGACAGTTCCATGTTAAAAGTTGCAGGGCCATGATGTTATTGTTTTGATACTCCTCCTACTGCACCTAGTGCCTGTTCCTCGTCCGTCAGTGGTATCCCTTCTTTCGAGCGATCTTTTGGTTCCGGAGTTAGTTCTTTTTGTAAGTCTTCTCCGTGGTCTCTGTAGAATTTATCTTTGTCGTCTTCCGATCTTATTTTCCTCTTCTTTCCCTTGTAGGTAAAAGACAGGCCTTGGGGGAGTTCCCACCTGAAATTGATGTTGTTCCTTCTCAGCAGGATAACCAGATCTTTATATTTTGATCTGAGCTCCAGAATATATTTCGGAATGTCTTTGAATATTTCCACCCTTTTCTGATGAATTTCCAATGTTTTCCTGAAGTGTAGGCCCAAAATCTTATCCCTCTCTTCTTTTGTTCTAAAAGTAATCAGACAGTCTCTCACTTTCTTTTCTCCTTTTCTCCCAAGTCTAAATGCGTTTACTATTTTGAAACTGTCTTTTGCCAGTTCTGGATCCCAAAAGTCCAAAAATTCCTGCGTGAGAAATTCAGCTAAATTGTCCTTTTCCACCTCTGGTACTGACCTGACCCGAAGATTTACTTGCTTCTCCCTCAAATCTATCATAGACAGAGTTAGTTTATGGTCTTCCAATTGTTTATGCAATGTTGGTAATTCCTCTTGAACCTCCTTAACATCCGTAGCAGAAGTTGTAGCAATTTCTTTAGCCTCTTCAGCAATCTGGCGAGTTGCGGCCGATTCCTCTAATAATTTCTGAATAGTCTCAGTGTTGGTATTTATTTTTGGCCCAAATTATTTATACTTGCTGTATTTTGATCAATCTTCTCACAAGCCTCTGCTACTTGTTGACTTATTTTACTCAAAGATTCATTAACTTTGGCCAAAACTTGAGCAAAGGCTTCTTCACTTGTCGAGCTTTTTACCTTTGATTGTGCCGATGAGGCTGTTGTTGAGGTTCCAGAAGGGCCTGAGACCAAAACTCTCCTTTGTAATCCTTCTTCTATGCGAATGTTCCTCCCCGATCTTGTAGTCGAAGCCTCCGTCTTCTCTTTATCTGCCATTCCTTAGATAATTCTCAAGGTCAGACACGTAGTTAGAATTGTACAGTGGAAATTTCCTTCCAAATAGTGTGAGAACTCCTCAAGCCTGCTACAGTTTCAGTTGTAATAAGTTGCAACAGTTCCAGGTTCCACAAGGGGGACACTGTAACAGTCCTAAAAGTTCTTGGATACTTTAGTTTCCTTCTTAAGTCCCCCTAGTTTGTTTAACAGGGAATCAATCTATCACAGTTTTCAGCTTAAGACCAGGAGATATATATTCACAAGATCTTATCCAAACTTTTTAACCAATGCAGGACTAGCTGTCAAAATGTATTACAAGACAGTACCTCTTTTTTTCCCCTAGGATCTGGAGAGTCCTTTCCCAGGAAATTGAGTGATGGTTTAATCTCTTCTTTTCCACTCTTAATAAAGAAATCACCTCCAAAGATCTCCCCCTATTTTCCCTCAACTTATAGAGGGAAAAGTCCAGGTTCAGTGATTGGATTAAAGTCCTCTAAAAACGTCCTTTCCAAAAGCTTCCGTTTTCAAGTTCAATGCTTTAAGTCTCTCTACAATAGAAGGAGGTTGACTTCCTTTTTAAACCTCCTCCGTTTTCAGCCTGATTCCAGATCTAATTTGTACAGTTCCAATTTGAGTAAATCCTACTCACGGATCGTTGCTTTCCAAGTCCGAATTTCAAGAAAGAAAGGCAGCGCTCTCCGATTGACAGCTTGCGGCTTCACTCCACGAACGAGCAGACAGCCCACAGCACCGCGCTCTCCCCCGCTCCGATTTCAAGCCCGTTTCTGGGCTTTTTGCCGGGTTGGGGGGGAACACCAAATGTGCCCGCTGGGTCCCAGGTTCACAGGCTTCCCCCGCCTGTGATTTTTAGGGGTCCCCCGCTGCGCCGAAGCGGGATTCGACCCTTTTTTCGTGGGGCTTATTCCCTCTAACCGAGGGAATCCGCCATTAATCGCTGGCGCCGCCTCCGGAAGTTCCAGCTTGATAGTGTTTTTGACCCTTTTCAACAAATCAGCCCCTTTTCCATAGTCCAGACTAGACTCCATGTGGTATTTAAAAATATGTTTCAGATTCCCTCCAAAATTGAGAGCCCCGACAGCTCCAAACATTGACGGCCCATTGCCAGACTCGAAAAGTCCAAATCTCCCTGTATAGGAGGGTCTGTCCAACCCCCCATTTCCAAACCAAACCAAACTTTATCTTTCCAAGTCTGGTTTTTTCCAAGTTCATTTGTCAAATCCAAAAATTTATGTTCCTGCTGGGCCGCAGCTCCCTCCGTCTCTGGTGCCCAAGATTCAGCAACATCCTCTTCTCTCAGCTGTTCTGTCATGGCACACTCCTGTTTTAGCTCCTGGGTGGGCTCCATATAATTTCCCGCTACCTGTTCAAAGGTTCTAGCCGCATGAGTCATCAAATCCGTCTTCTGGCTTAACTGATCCAATAGGGCATTTATTTTGCAGAGAGCACCCAACAGTGCTTCTGAAGACATTGTCCTGCAAGGTCACAAATCCTTTCCCACGGTTGTAATCTGTGGCAGCTGCAAGCTCCCAGGGATTAGTTACAATTTCACAGTCCCCCTCTAGGGGGAAATCTTCTGATTGCTCTTTCTTTTAAAAACAATAGCAACAAAGTTTCTTTTTTAAGGTATTTTGTCCATATTTGTTCTTTTTAAAGTGTGAAAGGAAACAATGGAATCACTATGTTTCTCTTCTTTTAACTATCTGTCAAAAACATTTGTTTGTTGTCAATGAGCTTCAAACGTCAATTCTGACACCCCGCTCCAGGATCAGGGTGGTGGAAAATTACTTTGCTTTAAACTCACTTCTGCAGGTTTAAACAGCCCAAAAAAGATCCCCATTCTTCTCCTGCTGCCGAAGGGGGGTTCAGCGATTTTAAATGATGAAAACCAATCTTTTGAAAGTGATTTTTAAAGCTCTAGTTTATGTTGTCTTTGCTTTATTCTGGCTACAAGGAAACGGAAGGCTGACTTCCTGTTTAGACCTTCCCGTTTCAGTACCAAATTAAAGTAAATTTTTAAGTCCAAATTCCTTTCTATTTCGCCAGTTCTTATTTAAAGTCCAAATGTTCAATGTTCCAGTACTCACGGGTGGTTATTTTAGATGCCAAATTGTCCCAGGAAAAAGGCAGCGCTCTCCGGCAACGGCTATGTGGCTTCGCTCCGCAGAAAAAGCAATTGACTCACAGCACCGCGCCACTTCCCCCTCTTCGCTTCGGAGCCCGTTAGTGGGTTCCTTTGCGGGTTGGGGGGGCGCTAAGGGTGCCCGCCGAGTCCCATGATCACAGGCTTCATCCGCCTGTGATTTTTAAGTGGGTCCCCGCTTCGCCGTAGCGGAAAGGACCAGTTTCGCGCGGAGCTGGTCCCTCCAGTTCAGAGGGAGTCCACCATTACCGATGGCGCCACCCCGGAAGTCCAGAGCAGTTATTATAGAGGCTTTGGCGAGCCTGAGCAAATGCATCCGCCGTGAGTTTAAAAAGGGGAATGTTACTCTGCTAAATTGTGGAACTTGTTAACACAAGTTGGAAAGGCTATAATCAGACAATATATCCTCTCCTGCATCCCCCCCACGGGGGTTGGTCTGCATGACCCTCGGGCGTCCCTTCCGACTCTCTCTCTCTGCTCCCCCAGCCCCTTCCCGGCCTGAGCAGCCCCTCTCTGTCCCCACAGCCAGCACTGCAGGGCCGTCCTGTACTGCTCTGAGCGCTGCCGCAAGCTGGACTGGAACCGCAGCCCTGAGGACATCGGGCACCAGTTCTGGTGCCAGCGCATGGCTGGGTACATGAGTCGCATCCGGGAGCTGGCCACCCTTCCTTTCACCTTCGCAGCAGGTGGGCAGCTGGGGCGAGGGCCCCTCATGGCACAGCCTGGGGTCGGGGGTCAGGCGCTGGGGGGGAGACAGAGTCTGGGGTCCTGAGAGGCTGAGCCCCCCCACCTCATCTTCCCCGCTTGTTTCCCTTGCAGAGGTGACCAGCGAGAACTTCAACAAAGAGGGCTTCCTCTCTGCCAGGGGTCTGACCCGCGGCTACTGGGCCGGAGAGAGCATGCTGGTCAGGGCGCCCGACTACGGCGTGGGGCTCCAGGGGGGTCCCGAGAAGCCTGTGCCCTTCCTGCAAAGCGGTGAGGGGGCAGTGGGCCTGTTGGGCAGGCGTGTGTGTGTGTGGTGCAGACCCACGGAGTCCAGGTGGGGTGGACAGAAGGGGGGGCCAGGAGCCTCTACCCCACCTCCTTCACAGCAGGACTGGGGGGCATCGAAGCAGCTGGGTGAAATCCTTGCGAGTGAAACTGTGGGACTCCCTCCCACCGGAGGCAGTCTTGCTTCCAGATGCCTGCTGCTGGAAACCGCAGGAAGGGAGAGCGGCTCTTGTGCTTGGATCCTGCTTGTGGTTTCCCCATTGCACTAGGTGGGCCATTGGCCTGATCCAGCAGGGTGCTTCTTTTGGCCCTGTGGAGCTTCCATGCCCAGAAGCAGTCTATCTGTGTTCCTAGATTCATAGGGGGTATTTATCCACTGCAAGAACTGGAGGCTGAACTAGATGGGCCAATGGCTCTTCTGGATCAGTCCAAGATGTCTGGGCCGTCTGGGGCAGAGGAGAAGATGGCGCCTCTCCTTGTCTTCCTCCTCCCCCCAATTCCTTGCACAGAAGCTGCCTGGACTGGCAGTCGAAACTCACTTCTGCGGGGCAATGGGGCAGCAGCTCCTGTCCCCTGGAGTGGGGCTGAGGGGATTCCACATGCTTGTGGGGTGCACAACCAGCTGTATGGCACCCACAGTTCTCTCGAACAGAGGCAAATGATTGGGGGGGTGCCACTACTGCCCCCTCTCTTCTCTGCCATCTCCCGGCTCCCTCTGCCTAAGGCTGGGGCAGCTCCATTGCCCTACAACCTTGACATTCCCTTCCCTGACCAGCCTTTTTCTCACCCCCCTAGGGAACCCCTTTGAGGCGCTACGGCCGGAAGGAGGGATGGCTCTTCCGCCAGCCCCCCCAGAGCCTCCCATGCCCCGGACATTCTTTGGTGAGACAGGAGGTCGGGGGAGGGGGAGTCAGAGCTTGCATCTTGTAACTGATGTACACAAGGCCTTTTCAATGGTGGCTCCCCACTTGCAGCAAGCTTTCTCCAGGGAGGCTTGCCAGGTGCCGTAATTACACATCTATAGGCACTGGGGTGTGTGTTTGGGGGGGGGGAATCCTTTCAGATTGGGCCTTCAGCTTTTAATCATCAATGGCCTTTTTGCCTGGGTGAAATGATTGAATCTAGGTTTTCTAAAAGAAGAAGATTGTCTTTTAGATTTATATGCCTGTCTTAACATCCATATGTGCCTGTTTTTTGCTTAAAATAATGCAAGTTGCTTTGAATCGCCCTGACAAAAAAGCGATGGCTAAATCTGATTAATAGCCATCCTACTATCTGGGGAAAGGGGACGGGCCCACTTCTCTGACTCGCTACTGCCCCCCCTTCCCACAGGGTCCTGGAAGGAGTATTACCAGTGGCGGAGGCTGCCCCTCGGAGCCCCTCTGGCCGTCCTCCTCAGCTACCCCCTCACTGCCTACTACATCATCACCCAGCTGGCCCCTCAGCACTGTGAGTATCGGGGGTAGGCCCCAGCCTCCTGCAGGGTTTGTAACATACATGAAACAGAGAGAGAACGGGTGTAAGAAGAGGCGAGGAATTAAAAGACGAAAAGTAAAGCTGTAAAATGGGTGCATGGAATAAGTGCAGCCGCACAGGAGTCAAAGGAACAAGTAAAGAGAATTATCGGCATTATCAGTTCTGGTTCCAGGTCTTCCAGGCTTGCCTTGAAAAGGGCGGTTCTGTTATATATGCTGTAAAGGGAATTCCAGGTCATACAAAAGGTGTCTGCCAGTTCTAGTCCTCATCGATATACCAAATTATGTGTGATTCTCTCCATAGTACCTCTGTTCCGGCGACTAAGCTGTAAGATTCGGACACTGTTCCCCATTGACTTGCAATTGCTATTTGTTCTGCCAAGATCGTAGATAAGGCCAACTCTTTTGACTTTATACCAACATCGACATCATCGAAAATATTCAGTAGCATTAATTTTGGGCAGCAAACCATAGTTTCTTTCGGAATACTTATCCTCCCTTCCAAAACCCCCACCTGGCCATGAAGCTCACTGGGTGACCTTGGGGGCCAGCCACTGCCTCTCTTAGCCTAACCTTCTTTGTGCAGCTCAGAGTTAACCTGTGGAACTCCCTCCCACAGGGATGGGAGGCAGGGATGGCTGTAAAAGAGGACGGGACAAATTCATGAAGGAAGAGAGGGTTGTTGGTGGCTCCTAGCCAGGATGGCTCTGCCCTGCCTACAAGGTCAGAGGCAGCGATGCTTCTGAATCCCAGTTGCTAGAAACCTCAGGAAGCGGGAGCTGCTCTTGAGTTCAGATCCTGCTTGTGGTCTTCCCATAATGGGCCCTATTGAGAATCCTCTATTTCTCAGGGGCGTTGGGTCCCTGTGAGAGGAGGGTGATGGGCCAGATGGGCCACAGGCCTTATGAAGCAGGTTCTCCTGATGTTCTTCAAGTCAACAAAGCTTTCCAAAGGTCCTTTGTGACTCCTGGTCTCCCCCCTCCTTTTCTTCTCCCTCCAGTTCCCGAGCTGAACATCCTGAACAAGCAGTCTCTCAAGATCCACGTGGTAGAGGCAGGCAAAGAATTTGGGGTTCTGATGGTCTTCTGGGTACGTGATGGGTCTCCCCAGCGGGGCAGAGGCGCAATTGGGTGTGAGGGAGGGAGGGTTGAGGGAGAGCTGGGCAAACTGGTACCACTGGTTCTGTAGCCCAAGGGTTCTCTGGGCAGGAATTCCTTTCTATCTATTTCTTATTGAAACTTACGGATACACAATTGGAAAAAAGATCATGCATCTTTGTTCTAATATATGATTACAGCATCAAGACTTTTAATATGCACAAAGGTGGAAAGACTCGCCGTTGCCATCACTGGAGGAACGGTTATTAAAATAATTGGACTTAGCCGAGAGGGCAAAATTGACATATTTAATTTGAGAAAAATCATTGCCAACATTTACTAAATATTGGAAACCTCTCATAGACTTTCTGCAAGTTTGGCCATCACTGGTTTAGAGTAAAGAACAATCAGCCAGCAAAAAGCTCAGAGAGCTCTTCCTGCTTTTCTAAAGCTTCATGGAAAATCCAGAGACATTCCCATTCTGCATGGGACAATGACAATAAAGATATCGTATATCATATATCGTATCGTATTTCAGTGTGAATTAAACCAATTATATGTAACAGGAAGTACAGGAAGTTTGCTAACATTCATCCATTTTCTCTTTTCTGACCCCCTTCCCCCCTGCAGGAGTTGTCGGTGCTGCTGCCCCACGTCTCTCTGGAGCTTCTGTTTGTGGGGGACGCCCTGCCCCCCCAATTGGACGGCCAGCAGTTTCTCCTTCAGAGGGATGTGAGTCTGCCTCTGCGGAGAGGGGGGAGGGCCACCAGGGGCAGATCTACTAAGCAACCAATGAGGCTTCAGCTTCAGGGACCCTGATCCCCTCCCAAAGTAACTTTAGACCACATTGCGTAAATTTTTTAGGTCTGGTAGTCCATATTTGAGTCACACAAATCAAAAACGGTAAGGCAGATAAATTTTTTATTCACACCAGGGACTTTGGACACGTGAGATAATCCATTACAGCAATTTTAATCCAAATCTTAGGTGTAGTAGTTTATTTTATGTGATGATCTGTCATGAAACAACCCCACAGTATTCCCCTGATCAACCAGGCTTGTAACTCCATTAAAAATAAATAAATAAATAAATAAATAATAACAATAACAACAATGATAATAATAATAATAATAATAATAATAATATTTATTTATACCCTGCCCACTCTGGGCAGCTTCCAACAAAATATTAAAATATAATAACCTATTCCAACATTAAAAGCTTCCCTAAACAGGGCTGCCTTCAGACATCTTCTAAAAGTCTGGTAGTTGTTTTTTCCTATGACATCTGGTGGGCAGGTGCCACTACCGAGAAGGCCCTCTGCCTGGTTCCCTGTAACTTCACTTCTCACAATGAGGCCTGACTTGTTTTTGAGAAATCCATGCTGGGTCTCAGTAATCACAGCATTGTTTTCTAAGTGTTCACAGACTGTTGAATTATCTGTTCTATGTCAAGTTCACCGGTTGGTAGTTACCTGGGATTTATCCCCCCCCCCCCTTTTGAAGATGGGGACAACATTTGCCCTCCTCCAGTCTGTAGGAACCTCACCTGTTCTCCAAGAACATAGACAAAGGCTCTGAAATTACAGCCTCAAACTCCTTTATTACCCTTAAATGCAACTCATCAGGCCCTGGAGATTTGAATTCATTTAAAGTAGCTACTGTAGGCGTCGTATTTGCCATCCTGTATTAAAACCTCCATTAAATAAGGTCCTTCTTTAATGTTACCTAAATCTTCCAACATTCAGCTTCATTGGGTGTCCACGGATTCTCGTGGCACCAGAGAGGGCAGGAAACTTCTCTCTATTCACTTCCTCCTGGTTGTTCTTAGCATCCATCTGTTGCCTCTGCTGGGTTTTCTTTCCCACTTTTATGGGAAGCAGAGCTGGGGTTCACTTAAGAAGCTCAGAAAAACCTGGCCGCTGGATCAAGCCAAAGGGGCCCCAGCTAGTCCAACATCCTGCTCTCATAGCGGGTGACCAATTGCCACCTGTAACAGCAACAATAACGGCTGGGTTGCCCATGGCAAACCCACAACCAGGATTTTCCCTTCCTGTGGTTTCCAGCATGTGGCATTCAGAAGCACTGCTACCTCTGACCGTGGAGGCAGAGCAGAGCCCATTGATAGCCCTCTTCTCCTTCATGGATTTGCCTCATCCTCATGGAAAACCACCCCAGTTGGGGGCCAACGCTGCCTCCTGTGGGAGGGAGTTCCAGAGGTTAACTCTGCACTGAATTAGGGGCTCCCTCGATCTGACAGAAGCACTTTGTGAATCCCCTCCTTCTCTTCCCCCCTTCCAGGAGGAGCAAGGTGTCTCTGTCTGGCCTGGCCGGGCCCGCCGATGCAAAGGGGGGCGGCGTGAACTGCAGTTTGGGTTCAGTGCCCGCCCCTACCACCTCCTGCAGGCGCCCAAACCGGACCTGGTCATTGGTGAGAATAAAGGGGGAAGGGGCCAGGAGAGGGCGGGAAAGTGGGGAGGGGGTGCAGGGATGGGTTGGGCTGCTTGGCCAGAGAATGAGGCAATGGCAGGGGTGGGGGTAAGAAAGAATCCAGCTGAAAAATGGGGAGAGGAGGCTGTCTCTATCTGATGCAGAGAGTTCCCCATGTTAACACACCCCTTTTGTCCAGGGTTCAACTCTGGATTTGCCCTCAAGGAGACTTGGCGGAGTTCTCTGCCGCGACTTCAGGTAAGCCGAGCCCACTCATCACACAGTACTTAGAAAGGAGTCTCCCCCTCAAAACTCCTCCCTCCATCCTGTGGAATGACATCACTGTGACATCATCTCTTGACATCACGGCCATTGGATACAGTACTTTGGCCCAGCGTACAGCGTTGTGACGTCAGACACGCCTTTGCTCTGCTTCTGAAGTGATGGCGTCTCCCGTCTCCCGAGCCCAATTCTCCAGTTGTGATCAGGCCTTTGCTATGATGCTGTGACCAACTGACACCATGTAACTGCCTCAGAGCTGGTGAAATAACTGCCCCGGGGTTGGCGGCAATTCACAGGCATTTGTCTTCCAGGCTGAATTTTGATTCTAGAAATGCAGGCATTGAAAATCTTGCAGAACTCCAAATTAGGAATGCAGCTGAATTTAGAGGATTCAGAGAAAAGAGTAGTAAATGGTCAGCTCTGGCTGTTTATCAGCAGAACTGCAGAGTTTTTTGGGAAACGGAAGGCACACGTACAAAAACAACCTATTCCTTTTCAAAACTGAAGTTTGACAGCTCCTGGTCTCAGCATGGAACCTTCATGGTTTCTGGGACATAACAGCTCTGTACAAAATAGCTCCTGGGGCAGCAGAAGCCATGGCAGAGGCAGTAGGGTGTACTGGTTAGACTGCTGGCAGAAACCGGTGTTCAAATCCCCCCATGAAGCTCCCTGCGTGTGACCTCGAGGCGCCACCTGTTAGCCTAGCCGACCTCACAGGGCAGGAGAACCATGCCACCCTCAGCCCCTTGGAGGGAGAGCCAGGCTGTAAATGCAGCAAGTACATAAATGCATGAAGTACAGGCCATTATACAGGCAAGGGAGACACCCCTCTTGAGTGATGGAGCTGCCAGGTCCTTGTCCCCTCACTTCTCTCTTCCTCCCTCTCTCCAGTGGTTGTGTAGTGGTTACGAGGGGTGGACTCGTAATCTGGTGAGCCGGGTTTGCTTCTCCGCTCTTCCACATGCAGCTGCTGGGTGACCTTGGTCTAGTCACACTTCTCTGAAGTCTCTCAGCCCCACTCACCTCACAGAGTGTTTGTTGTGGGGGAGGAAGGGAAAGGAGATTGTTGGCCGCTTTGAGACTTCTTAGGGTAGTGATAAAGCGGGATATCAAATCCAAACTCTTCTTCTTCTTCTTCCACCTTGCAGTCCCTTCGGGTGCCGGCCTACTTCACCGAATGCAGCGAGTACAGCTGTGCCGTGGATGAGGCCGCCGTCTCCATGGCGACGGGGGGCAGCGCCAGCCCTGCCCAGATCAACCCTTTCCGGTCGCCTTTCCGCCAGGCCGGAATCGACAACGCCATGCCCTGGTGGGTACCCCAGCTGTGGTTCTGGCAAAGCCGCTCACTTCTGACCTCCCCCCCCCCCGCCCCAGAAGGTAATTTTGGATGTCCCTGACCCCAGTCCATAAAGCGATTGAAAGGGGCGACCTCTTGACCTCTGACCAATGTCCTGCTGACTCCTGGCCTGGTCAGTTTTTGTCCACCATGGGGAAAGCTTCCCAACCACCTTTGTCTTTTTGCCTCCATCTTTATGGCACTCCCCCCACCTCCAGCAATGCTGGAGTTGGGCTAGATGGCCCTTGGGGGACCCTTCCAACTATGGTTCTTTCTCCTCCTTTCCAGGAACTGAACCCTCTGGTTCTGCAACTCCCCTAAATTTGCACCCTTTGCCAACATCCATCCATTCATTGAAAGTTCCCCGGACCTCTAGGGTAGCAGACTAGAAATCCCCCATCCAACAGCACCTTTTAACATGAACAGCACGGATTCCTAGACTCACAGAATCCTGGAACCGTAGAGTTGGAAGGGGCCGTGAGGATCATCTAGTCCAACCCCTGCAATGTAGGAATCTTTTCCCAACGTGGGACTCAAACCCCTGACCCTGAGATTGAGAGTTGCCTGGTTTCTGACTGAGCTGTAACCCAAGAAAGACACGCAGTTCCGGATAAGGAGGCCTTTGAAGCTTTTTTATGCTTAGTGCTAATTCATATTAGTATTAACAAGTCATCATGCTGGCTCAAGCCACACAGATTTCAAGGGGGAGGAAGAACGTCAGGATCAGGCCCAAGGGGCCCCACCTGGGCCAGCCCAGCCTGTCCTCGCAGTGGTCAACTACCCTCAGGAACCGAGGAAGCCAGATAGACTGCCTCTGTGCCTGGGAGGTCCCATGAGGACGGTTGCCTCAGGCCCCAGGGGACCCGCCCTGCCCAGCATTTTGCCCCATAGCGGCCAAGAAGGCGCCCCAAAGGGAAGAAGCCCACAAGCGGAATCCGAGCACAACAGCTCTCTGCTTTCCTACAGTTCCCAACAAAACTGGATAGCTCATTCTTTAAGAGCGTAGGGCTGATAACGCCAAGGGTTGCCGGTTCAATTTCCGCAAGGGGCAGCTGCATATTCCTGCATTGCAGGGGGTTGGACTGGGTGATCTTCAAAGGCCCCTCCAACTCAGTGATAAATTCTATGATAACCTCTGGCAGAGGAGACCAGTGTGGCTCATAATGGTTGATAGCCTCTTCCTCCAGTCCATGAAATTGCCTAATCCTCTCCCAAAGCAGTGCAAGTCCTACCCCAAGATTCCAGAAATGTGTGGCCGCCACCGAGAGGGCCCTGCTCTCCCATTCACCCCTCTGCCGCCTCTCGCTGCCAGGTACTCCAACGCCTTCATCTTCCACCTGATCTACAAGGCATCCTCAGCCAGCAACCACCGGCAGACCCCGCCCCTCTGCCCCAGGCCCTGCCACCCAGCGGGAACGCTGACCCCCCCGAGGCAGCCCGGAGCAGGCGCAAAGAGAAGAGGCAGATCCGGGCGGCAGGGCGGCGGCGCAAGTGATAGGGGTGTGGAGCATAGAAGGGACAGGGCAAGGCAGGCAAAAGAATAAACAGGAATGGGCCAACGGCGCTTCCGTTTCCTCTCTGGCACAACTGCCCTCTGGGGGAGGGGCCCGCACAAAGGGTGGCGCCCTTGAGAGATCTGTGGGTCACCGCCCTCTGTGCTTCAAAAGCAGCACGTCTGCCATTTTGGGGGGAGGCCTGATCCCTGCACGTGCTGCGTCTTCCAAGGTTTCGGATCAGTTTTGCAAGAGCCCCCAAGCTCCTTCCGGTTCCTTTAATGTGGCTAAGAATAGGGGCAAGCGAATCTCAAACAGGCAAAGGAATTTCAGAAGGGAGAAATGAATTTCAATAGGGGCAGATGTGAAATTTTGCACTTAGGCAGGACGAACCAGATGCAAAAGGATTTAGGGGTCTTGTGAACACAAGCTTAACATGAGTCCACAGTGTGATGCAGCAGCAGCAAAAAAAAAAGATAGTCACTGTTAGCTAGGCTGCATCAACAAAAGTATAGCATCCAAATAAGTGTAAGTAATAGTCCCACATGATTCTGCCTTGGCCAGACCTCACCTGGAGTCTTGTGTCTAGTTCTGAGCACCATCATTCAAGAAGGATGTTGACAAGGTGGAATGGGAGCAGAGGAGGGTGACCAAGATGATCAAAGGTCTGGAAACCAAGACTTAGGAGCAGCAGTGGGGGGAGCTGGGGATGTTTAGACTGCAAAATTCTTGACTTAGAGGAGACAGGATAGTGATCTTCAAGTATCTTCACGTGGAGGATGGAGCAAGCTTCAAGTTAGAAGAAAGCTGATTCCAATTGAACATCAGGAAGAACTTTCTAATGGTAGGAACAGGTCAGCTGTAGAAAGGACTCCCTAGAAAGGTGGTGGACTCTCCTTCCTTGGAAGATCTGAAGCAGGTGGTCATCTTTCATGGGTTTCTGTTGAGATTTTTGCAATGCAAGTGGCTGGACTAGATTCTACAATTCTCCCAGCTAGCTCTTTGAAAGGGAGTTCGGGCTGAAGCCCTTTCCTCATTTCAAGCACTGATATGGTTTCTCCCCACTATGAGTTCTTTGATGGCAAGTGAGACTGGACCTCTGCCTGAAGCTCTTTCCACATTCCAAGCACTGATATGGTTTCTCCCCTGTATGAATTCTATGATGGGACGTGAGATGGCAGCTGTCACGGAAGGTCTTGCCGCACACCAAGCAATTATATGGTTTCTCCCCACTATGAGTTCTTTGATGTGAAGTGAGACTGACTCTGTAGCTGAAACTCTTTCCACATTCCAAACACTGATATGGCTTCTCCCCTGTATGAATTCTTTGATGGGGAGTGAGACTTGTCCTGTGAATGAAGCTCTTTCCACATTCCAAGCACTGATATAGCTTCTCCCACTATGAGTTTTTTGATGGTGAGTGAGACTTGCCCTGTGAATGAAGCTCTTTCCACATTCCAAGCACTGATAGGGTTTCTCGCCTGTGTGAATTCTTTGATGGGAAGTGAAATAATCTTTCCGATTGAAACTCTTTCCGCATTCCAAGCACTGATAGGGTTTCTCGCCTTTGTGAATTCTTTGATGGGAAGTGAGATCGGAGCTATGACTGAAGCTCTTTCCGCATTCCCAGCAATGGTGTTGTTTCTCCCTTTTATGAATTCTTTGATGGGAAGTGAGATGATCTTTCCGACTGAAGCTCTTTCCGCATTCCATGCACTGATAGGGTTTCTCCCCTGTATGAATTCTTTGATGGGAAGTGAGATCGGAGCTATGACTGAAGCACTTTCCACATTTCAAGCACTGATAGGGTTTTTTGACTGTATGAATTATTTGATGGTAAGTGAAATGAGCCTTCTTACTGAAACTTATTCCACATTTCAAGCACTGATATGCTTTCTTCCCAATGGAATTCCTTTGATGGAAAGTGGAATGGGAGCTCTGGGTCAGGTTCTCTCTGGACTCTGAATATCTGTATGACTTCTCCAGTATGTGGATATTGTCATGGTCTCCCATGTTCTTCATTTCAAATTCATCACCTACAATGGAGAGAGAATTGGATTAGAGCCTCAGGAAGAAATGGGAGACCCAAATGATTGAACAATTCTAATTAATACTGATAGTAACATTGATAGTGGAAGAATGGAAGGGAATTAAGTGTGAAGTCTTCCTACAGTGTACACTGCCTTTGTTGACTAGTGCTCACAAACATATTTATGAGAACCTGTGATTTTGTTTGGCCCAATCACAGAATCCGCTCCACCTCAAATGTCAGTCATATTTCTGGTCAATGAAATTGCAATAGAATCAAGAGGAAAAATGCTGACAGCCTGATCATAGTTTAAAAAGCTATAACCAGAGAAAAATGTCTGCAGACAAAACAGTAGATAGCCCTCCATTCAAGGCAGGTGTGCCATCTATGTGGGGCCATGGTGGTCAAGGCTTCCCCCAATTTTCAATGAAGGGTCTGGGCCCCTCCAAACTTCTGCAGTGGCCCCATATGATACATCAGCACGCCCCGCTATGTGCAATCGCAGGCGCAAGGCAGAGCACCTGATTCAATGTGAGCTGTGGGGGTGTTAGAATCCCAGATGCTGTAGGTGGCGCTGTTAAGCTCCATCAGAATCTGGGAGATTCGGCACACAGATTACCGTATTTTTCGCCCTATAGGATGCACTTTTCCCCTCCAAACATGAAGGGGAAATGTGTGTGCGTCCTATGGGGCAAATGCAGGCTCCCTGGCTTCAGCCATAGCAACGCGAAGCCTCCGAAGCCTGCGCTCCGGAGTCGCGTTGCTTTTGCTGAAGCCAGGAGAGTCTGCTCTTGGAGGCTGGGGGGGGGGGAAAGCAGCGCTTCCCCCCATCGCCAGCCCCAGAGGATCGGGGGGCAGCGGGAAGGCGCGCAACGCTTTGCGCTACTCTACGACCTGGTTTGGAGGCTGGCAGTGGGGGAAAGCAGCGCTTCCCCCCACCGCCAGCTCCACAAGCTGGGTCGAAAAGCCTGCAGGAGCCGCGCAGCCTTTAAAGAGCGCGCCGCTCTTGGGGGCTTTTCCCCGAGGAGGGAGAAGGGACTGACTGGCCGTTTCAGTCCCTTCTCCCTCCTGGTCGAAAAGCCCGCAGGAGTCGTGCGTGGCTCCTGTGGGCTTTTGCGGGAGGAGGGAGAATTCCACCACCTCCCGCAAAAGCAGGGAGAAGGTCTTGGAGTAGCGCACAGGCTGCGTGCAGCCTGTCTGCTGCTCCCAGAGCTGCGGGGGTGTGTGTGTGTGTGTGTCATATTTTTTCCTTGATTTCCTCCCCTGAAAACTAGGTGCGCCCTATGGGCCAGTGCGCCCTATAGGGCAAAAAATACGGTAATGTAAAGAATTTCAAACAGATATTATGATCCAACAGGGAGCCTTACCGAGAGAGGCCATGATCGCACGATTCTCCTCCATGACTTCCTGATGCAGAGCTCTCTGGTCAGGATCCAGCAACGCCCACTCCTCCTCCGTGAAATACACAGCTATATCCTCAAAGCACACTAGACTCTGAAAGAAAAGGTCTCCCTTTCAGAAAGCATAAAGATTATCTAGCACACATTGTTCTGTTGCACGGGGGCTTGGGGAGATGGAGAAGAGGGGGGAGCCCTCAACTGGAGGGGCTTGGCAGGCGAATTCTCACCACTAAAGTTTCTTAGCTGATTTAAAGCCTATTTTAGCATTGACCAATAACCATAGAACTAGAACTGCAACAACTGATAAATAAAGCTAGCGACATTCAGGAGGAGAGTTAAGGTGAGGTGGCTGTTCATTACTCTCAGCAGATAAACATGATGGAATGGCATTTTCAGCCTTCCTTAAGGGCAGATTTGACGGAAGCAAAGAGGAAGGGATTCATTTGTGCCCAGAGATGCCCTGGCTGCCCCACTCCTCCGCCTCTTTCCCCCCAAGGCTCCTTCCCCCTACCTGATCTGGTTCCACAGTCGCTGTTTCCCCTCCACCACCAAGAAAAGATGGATTGGGAAGTTTTGACGGCATCATTCTGTCACCTGCAAGAGACAAAGGTAAGTGGGGAGACAGGAGTGCCTGGTGTTTCTCTCAGAGGTGAAGCACTGCTTCTCTAGCACCAGACTTATTATTATTTATTTATTAAATTTATATTCCGCCCTTCATCATAAGGTCTCAGGGCAGTTCACAGAATAAAATACAAGATAAAAATACAATAAATAATTACTGTGGTACCTCAGGTTAAGAACTGAATTCCTTCTGGAGGTCCATTCTTAACCTGAAACTGTTCTTAACCTGAGGTACCACGCCAGCTAATGGGGCCTCCTGCTGCTGCCACATGATTTCCGTTCTCATCCTGAAGCAAAGTTCTTAACCCGAGGTACTATTTCTGGGTTAGCGGAGTCTGTAACCTGTAACGTCTGTAACCTGAGGTACCACTGTAAAACCAACAGTGAAGCAATACCCCCTCTTCCTGCAGTCACAAATTAAAAGGCTCTACATAGAATATTAATCAGCCCAAGGCCTGGTTGAATAGGAACGTTTTCGCCTAATGCCTAAATATGTATCATGAAGGTACCAGGGAAACCTCCCTGGGAAGTGCATTCCATAAAATGGGGAACAGAAAAGTACAGAAAAGGTCTGTTCTCGTGTTGCCACGCTCCAGACCTCACATGGCGGGAGCACATGAAGAACGGCTCAGATGATGATCTCAGGTCTGGGGTGGCTTATATGGGGAAAAGTGGTCCTTGAAATATTGAAGTCAAGAGCCATTTAATGTTTCAGGCCTCATCATGGGACTGAAACTGCCTTGGTCGCTCTGGCTGATGATCTTTGGCGGGCTAGGGACAAAGGTGAGAGCTGTTTCCTAGTTCTGCTGGATCTCTCAGCGGCCTTTGATACAATCGACCATAACATCCTTCTGGACCGTCTTGAGGGGCTGGGAGCTGGGGGCACTGTCATACAGTGGTTCCGCTCCTTTCTCCTGGGCCGTGTCCAGAAAGTGGTGGTGGGGGATGAGTGTTCTGACCCCTGGGCTCTCACTTGTGGGGTGCCTCAGGGTTCCGTCCTCTCCCCCATGCTTTTTAATATCTATATGAAGCCACTGGGAGAGATCATCAGGGGGTTTGGGCTGGGTGTTCATCAGTACGCAGATGACACCCAGCTCTACCTCTCCTTTAAATCAGAACCAGTGAAGGTGGTGAAGGTCCTGTGTGAGTGCCTGGAGGCGGTTGGAGGATGGATGGCGGCTAATGGATTGAGGTTGAATCCTGACAAGACAGAAGTACTGTTTTTGGGGGACAGGGGGCGGGCTGGTGTAGAGGACTCCCTGGTCCTGAATGGGGTAACTGTGCCCCTGAAGGACCAGGTGCGCAGCCTGGGAGTCATTTTGGACTCACAGCTGTCCATGGAGGCGCAGGTCAATTCTGTATCCAGGGCAGCTGTCTACCAACTTCACCTGGTACGCAGGCTGAGACCCTATCTGCCTGCGGACTGTCTCGCCAGAGTGGTGCATGTTCTAGTTATCTCCCGCTTGGACTACTGCAATGCGCTCTACATGGGGCTACCTTTGAAGGTGACACAGAAACTACAACTAACCCAGAATGCGGCAGCTAGACTGGTGACGGGGGGCGGCCGCCGAGACCACATAACACTGGTCTGGAAAGTCCTACATTGGCTCCCAGTACGATTCCGAGCACAAGTCAAAGTGTTGGTGTTGACCTTTAAAGCCCTTCTTGGTAGTGGCGCCCGCCCTGTAGAACGCCCTCCCTTCAGATGTCAAAGAGATAAACAACTACCTGACATTCAGAAGACATCTTAAGGCAGCCCTGTTCAGGGAATTTTTAATGTGTGACATTTTAGCGTATTTTTGGTCTCTGTGGAAGCCGCCCAGAGTGGCTGGGGAAGCCCAGCCAGATGGGCGGGATACAAATAATTTATTATTATTTATTATTATTATTTTAGGTCAGCACCAGCACTTTGGATTGGGCCCATAAGCTAATGTGGAGTTAGTGCCGTCAGGCCAGGATCAGTTCTTATGCCCAATCAGTCTTGTCCCAGTGAGTGAGCCGGGTGCCGAATGCTGCACAGCTGAAGCTTCCAAACCGACTTCAGAGGCAGCCCTAGGTAGAATGTGTTGCAGTAATCTAAACTAGAGTTAGACAAAATAAGTTATCTGTCCCTGTCCAGATAGAGGCACAGCCAGGCCACCAGCCGAAGCTGATGCTCCAAAAGACAGAGGCCACCTGAGTCTCAAGGGACGGAAGCGGATCCAGAAGTATTCCCAAACTACATACCTGCTTCTTCAGAGGAATGTTACCCGTAAAGAGCAGGCAACCCTAAGCCAGTCTGAGGAACCCCCCACTAACAGTGCCTTAGTCTTATGTGGACTGAGCTTCAGTTTGTTGGCTCTCATCCAGGCCATTACCTCACGAGCCGAGTACATTTTGTCATTTGTAGCTAATGCGTATTTTAATAATGGAAAAGTACGTCTCCCCTCCTTGGGGCTCTTGGTCCCAAATATCTTCCACAAAAGATAAAAAGAAACCATGGATTAATTTGAAAACCAACACAATGGGACCAAAGGACTCCTTCCTCCTTACCCAATGGCCTCTCTCTTGCGCTGAGTGGAGTCCTTTCTTCCTCAGGGTAATCTGGGCCCATTCCTGCAAGCAGATTTTTTCCCTTAAAGAACAAAAATGATTCCAAACAGAGAATGGGGAGAAGTGTTAGAGTCATAGAAAAGGAATGACAGAGGCAAAAACTTTAGAAGTAGCCCATATTATTATCTGGATGCTTTCCAAAAAAGAGGGGCCATTAGTAGAGCATTTGGGGATGTTCTCCCTCCTGTTTGGAGCCCCTTGGGAGCATCCAGAGGAAAGTCTGTCTCACCTGCTTCTCCGCCTGCTTCCTCTCCTCCGCCTGACTCAGGAGGAAACCTTCGGCCAGGGCCACTGCCTGGGAACTGGTCTCTGCTCCGCATTCCCTCACCCAGCTCTCCATCTCCGCTGGAAGGACAGCCAGGAACTGCTCCAAGATCACCAGGTCCAGCATCTCAGCTTTCGTGTGCCTTTCTGGCTTCAGCCACTGGTGGCAAAGGTGGTGGAGTCGGCTGCAAACCTCTCGGGGTCCTTTGGCCTCCTGGGAGCAGAACTGCCTCAACTGCTGGCTCTGCACCTCTGAGCGAAGGGTGTCCTCCTCTCCCAGGATCTTCTGCACAGAGCCTTCCCAGAATCCTGCACTGCTCCCCGTTTCCATGGCCTGGCCTCTTCCTGCTTCAGGGTCAGCTGAGCCTTGCTCATCCATCTGTGCTCTCAGGAAGCCTCCAAGAGATTGGAAGGGATCTTTTTTTCTTCTGCTGCCATCTTCTGTGTGTCTGAAAAGAGGTACTAGGAAATCCTAAAGCAAATGCATTCCGCTGCCCCCCCCCCCATAAATCTGACACACTATCAGGAGAAGAAAAAGGTTTCCTGAGTAAACGTATATGAGTCTTGGTAGGAACCAGGATTAAACTGGACCACAGAGCTTTCTCTAAGAAAGAAAAAGGAGAAGCAAGCCTCTTGACCAGGCCAAAAGTGGAGGCAACTGAAGGGGTTTCTGTGACATGAATCAGCCTGGTTGACCCTGCCTTTCAGTCAAGGAATGAACTCAGAACAGGGAATATAAGTGAGTCATTTGTACCAAGTTTAATATGGATGCTCAGGGCTTGCTCTGCTTCCCACCCCTCCGTCAGGACACATTACTTTCCTGCTTCTGTCCCGTTTTCTAGCACTTGGAAGCTCCAATGTTCTCAAGGCAGATTACAGGGGTGGGGTCCCTTTTTCTTTGTTCTGAGGGCCAGATCCACTCCAGATTTTTGTAGGGTTTACTCCTTAGCCTTTTATTCTCCTGAAAATGTCCCTCAAGGCAACAGAGGTTTGGGATCAGAGTTTTCCTTTGACAGGCTACCTTGCCAGGTGGATGAGCCCAATCTGCTGCTCATCTCCCTCTACAGTACCTGAAGAAATTGCCTTCTTAACTGTTGAAGCCACGGTTGGGTCTCATTCACTCAATCCACCAGAGGCAACAGAAGTCCCGAACTCACTGAGGGCTATGAACACCTGGTGTAGATGGCTAGAGAAAGCCATTTTCGGGGTGTGGCCACTGTCAAATGCTGACAGCTTTTAGGAACCACATGTGAGAACAAAGGTGGAGGAACTAGCCAGAGGGAGCCCGTCATTTCCCCACCGCAGATGCTGCCCCTTCTCTACCGCCCCATTTCCAGCTGGGCTAGGCTGCTAGCCCCAGTCCCTTTGGGACAGAGAGGACGTGGACAGGGCACCCCTTGCTCCAGGATTATTGCAATGCCCGCTACGTATGTGGAGCTGACCTTGACGATGAATCAGAATCAGCTCCAAAATCCCACAGCCAGATGATGGGCTGGGCTCCCTCTCTTCATTCATTGCATTTCCACCCACCCTTCTCTCCCAGGGGCTCAAGGGGGCATCCAGGGGTCTCCCTGCTGTCCTTTAATCCCCACAGCAGCCTTTGAGAACACCATCAATTCCTGTTTTAAAGCAGCTGCATTGCCTGTCAGTTCCTTTGCAGGGCCAGTTGGGTGGTTGTGCCTTGGGGTGAGGATGGGGCTGGTTGGGGGCTCCCCGCCTGCATGAGCTGAACAGGACCCCCTGAGGCATCCCCCCCCCCGCTTCTCCCCAATGCACCCCATGGCGGAAGACAAGGGAGACTCACCAGGTTGCAGGAGGTGCAAAGCAGAAAGACAGCGGGCTCCCCTCCCCCTCCCCTGCATTGCCTTTCCTCTCTAGGAATCCAGCTCAGCTCCTTTTAACCCTGGCAAAGCCAGGCACACTCAGCCCCCCCTCTGCAGAGCAGGAGACACGTGTGTTGAGCACCCAGAGTTGCTTCATTTGGGGGGGGGGAGGAGCCATAGGAGTAACCTTAAATATTCAATGCCAGATTATATATTTTTGGGTGACTTCTCATGCTCTGAAATCCTCTCTCTAGCTCTGTCTAGCAGATTCAACATGAAATGTGACAGCAACAATTGTTTTAAATTCCTTTCGGTTGACCCCAAGTGCTCAGAAAAATATGTCAAAATCTTTCTACAATTTCTACGTTTAGTTAAGCGCTTTTATTTACCTACTTGATTTAGGGTGGGGTAGTTGCCCCCCTCCCGTGCGCCAGTCTGGCAGAAGGCCTGTTTTTACTGAAACCAACCCTCTGCAGAACCTAAAGCAGAGGAATCTTAGCCACACCTAAAACCTTGGGAGAGCCTGGCTGCTGGATAATAATAATAATAATAATAATATCCCATTATACCCCACCCATCTGGCTGGGTTCCCCCAGCCACTCTGGGTGGCTTCCAGCAAAATATTAAAAACCCAATAAAACCTCAAACAGTAAAAACTTCCCTAAACAGGCCAGTGGCCCACCTGGGCCAGCATCCTCACCTGGCAGTCGCCCCTGATGCCCCACAAAAAGGGGCGAGGACGGGGAAGCATCGCGCCTCAGGCCCCCTCCACCCCAGGGCGGGCCATGTGGGGCCACAGGAGCCTTGGACACAGACGCTGCCGTTTAACCCGAATTAAATCGAAGTGTGGGCCGCAGTAGAGCTAAGACTATCTAATGTACGCAAAGAATATATTTAATTGGGTATGCAGTACATATAATCAAACACGCAACGAACGAATGAGTATGAACTGCTTACAGAGAGAAAGCGCAAAACTATCAAGGGACACCTCAGATTTAAAAGGAAGTAATAATCTGGGATGCCAAGAGCCTGTTTCATGACCAACACCTTTTTCCGTGAGGACAAGAGACGCCTCTGAGCTTTGCCTTCAGCGGCCTCCACTTTCCACCTCCCTCGCCCTCTCGCTCCGGGGATTTCTTTCTCTTTTTCCTTTCTTTTAGCCTCCCCCGCCCCCCGCCATTTCTTCTCTTCCTCAGGCGCTTCTCTTCCCCTCAGACTCCGCCATTTCAGCCCCTTTCCCTCATCTCTGGGCTCCCTCCTCCCTCTTCTTCTTTCTCCCCCACCTCAGCCTTCGCCCTTGTTCATTTGCCCCCTTTATAGTTATATTTCCCGCTCTCTTTCTCCTCAGCTTCTCCACTTTTTACCTCAGCTTCTCCTTTCCCGCCAAATCTCAGGCGTCTCTCGCTCTCTCTCCCTTTCTTTCCTTCCTCTCTCTCTCTCCTCCACTTTTTACCTCAGCCTCTCCTTTCCTACCAAATCTCAGGCGCCTCCCCCTCCCTCCCTCCTTCTTTCTTTCTTTCCTCCACTTTTAAATAATAATAATAATAATAATAATAATAATAATACCTTTATTGTCAATGTACAACCTGTGTACAATGAAATTAACCGAGCCTCCCCCCCCCAAATCTCACTGCACTCTGTGCTTTTCGCACAACACACCAACCCTGAAAGTCAGTCGCACTATACAGTAGTACAGTACCTCTGGTTACAGACACTTCAGGTTACAGACTCCACTAACCCAGAAACAGTGCTTCAGGTTAAGAACTTTGCTTCAGGATGAGAACAGAAATCGGGCTCCGGTGGCAGCAGAAGGCCTATTAGCTAAAGTGGTAACTCAGGTTAAGAACAGTTTCAGGTTAAGAACGGACCTCCGGAACGAATTAAGTACTTAACCTGAGGTACCACTATATTCTTTTCCCTTCAGCAGCCTAACAGCCCATGGATAGAAACTGTTTTTTAGCCTGTTGGTATGACTGATGAGACCTCCATATCTCCTGCCCGAGGCTGGAAGATGAAAGAGGTGCTGGCCTGAGAATTGTTCTCGCCCTCCTAAGGCAACATCTCGCGGGCTCAGGGGCAGCCCATGATATCCTGTTCTGTGTTCACCACCCTCTGTAGAGACTTTCCCTCCGGGGCTGTCAAGCCAACGTACCACACTGGACTGGTAGAAGGAGGTCATCAATTGGTCTTTTAACATTGTTCTTTTGCAAGACCCTGAGGAAATGGAGTCTCTGTTGGGCCTTCCTAACCTCAACTTCTCCTTTCCTGCCAAATGTCAGGCGTCTCCCTCTCCTTCCTTCCTTCCTTCCTTCCTTCCTCTCTCTCTCCTCCACTTTTTACCTCAGCGTCTTCCTTCCCGCCAAATCTCAGGCGTCCCCCCTCCCTCTCCTTTGCTCAGCAACCGTGTTCATTTCAGTTAACTTGACGGGACATTTTTAAATTGGGGGTTTTGCCCACGCCGAGCCCCGTCTCCGGGAATAGGGTTCCGGAGGGCCACTGGAAGGGGCCACGAGGGCCGGATGCTGAGTGCGTCTCTCTCTCAGGTGGAATATGAAGAGAACTGAAGAGAAACTGCAACACATATAAAAGGATGGATACATGGAATAAAGGTAAAGGTAAAAAAATATAAAGGTAAAGGTAAAAAAATATGTGTGTGGAATAGATAAAGGGGAAGCTGATAAACAAAGAAGCAATGAACTCTAGGGGCATTTTTATTATTATTACCGGTACTTCTTTGACTTATACACCACCCATTATCAAAAGAGCAGTGTGTCACATTAATAACATATTTTACAGGGCATGACAATGAAAGCATAAAACAAAGCATAGTGATTGACAGCATAAGAATAAAAACAATCCTAATAACAATTGTCGCCCCTCCCCCCCCTTAACACTGCAAAGATTATTTAATGGCCAAAGGGCTGCATATGAGGAATGTTTTCGCCTGGTGCCAGGGCTGCCATATTTCAAAAAGTGAAAATCAGAGTTGTTTAGTTGTTTGTCTTTCTTTGTTGTCTTTGCTGTTGTTGAACTTTTTTTTTTGCACAATTGCCAAGAAATCTGATATTTTTCAGCTTTTTTAAAAAAATGAAAAACCAGCACTTCTGGAATGGGTTGCCATGTTATCCTGGACATTTTCATGCTTGCCAAAACTTCCCCTCGGATGCATCAGACGAATCCCGGATATGTCCAGGAAACCCCGGATGCATGACAGCCTTAAAAAGGTAAAGGGTAAAGGGACCCCTGACCATTAGGTCCAGTCGCGGCCGACTCTGGGGTTGCGGCGCTCATCTCGCTTTATTGGCTGGGGGAGCCGGCGTACAGCTTCCGGGTCATGTGGCCAGCAGGACTAAGCTGCTTCTGGCGAACCAGAGCAGCGCATGGAAACGCCGTTTACCTTCCCGCCGGAGCGGTACCTCTTTATCTACTTGCACTTCGTGCTTTTGAACTGCCAGGTTGGCAGGAGCTGGGACCGAGCAATGGGAGCTCACCCCGTCGCGGGGATTCGAACCGCCGACCTTCTGATTGGCAAGTCCTAGGCTCTGTGGTTTAACCCCAGCGCCATCCGCGTCCCACGTGACAGCCTTACCTGGTGCTTAATACCTCAAAGGAAATGAGTCCATGTTAATTAGCACCAGCCTGTCTTAATCAGCCCTGATCACACTAATTTCAGAGGGTTTGGGAACGTCTTACTTGGTTCTATCATACAGACTCATGACTCTGATGCCCCAAACGTTAACCAAATTCTAGCACCTCTTGGTCCCAGGATTTCTGGGTTTCTGGCATCCTGAGATGCATAACATTACCCCCTGCCAAGAAATGAGCAGAAAAATTAGCAGAAAGGCTTAATCATAGACCATGGGTAGGCAATCTAAGGCCGGGGGGCCAGATCCGGCCCAATCGCCTTCTCAATCCAGCCCGCGGAAAGTCCGGGAATAAGCGTGTTTTTACATGAGTAGAATGTATCCTTTCATTTAAAATGCATCTCTGGGTTATTTGTGGGGCATAGGAATTCATTCATTGTCCTCCCCCCCCAAATATAGTCCAGCCCCCCACAAGGTCTGAGGAACAGTGGACCGGCCCCCTGCTGAAAAAGGTTGCTGATCCCTGTCATGGACCATTATAGGGTGACCTCCCCCACTCTCAGAAACCCTCCACTCTGCCCCCAATAGCTAACTTTGGATGGCCCCCACCCACAGACTATAGAGGACTCTTATGGCAGTGATGGCCAGACTCAGCCCTCCAGTTGTTTTGGAACTACAATTCCCATCATCCCTGACCACTGGTCCTGTTAGCTAGGGATGATGGGAGTTGTATTCCCCAAACAGCTGGAGGGCCAAGTTTGGCCATCACTGTCTTATGACATCCCTGAGGGGATGACCTGTTGACTTCTGACCAGTGTCCAGCTGATCCCCAGCCTGGTCAGTTTTTCTCCATCATGGGAAAGGTTTCCCAACCACCTTTGTCTTTCTGCCTCCATCTTTATGGCACACACACCCTTCCTGCATTGCCAGACATTGGGCTAGAGGACCCTTGGGGTACCTTCTGACTATGGTTCCTCCTCCTTTCCAAAGAGTGCACCCCCTGTTTCTGCACCCCCCAAATCCACCGCCTTTCCCCCCGGGCATCTGTTCATCAAAAGCTCCATGGACCCTCTTCTCAATAGGCAGCAATCATAGCAGCCTAGCACTGATTCCTAGACTCAAAAGATCATGGAATTGTAGAGTTGGGAGGGACCACGAGGGTCATCTAGTCCAGCCCCCTGCAATGCAGGAATCTTCTCCCCAGCGTGGGGCTCAAACCCATGACCCCGAGATTGAGAGTTGTGTGCTCTCCGACTGAGCTGTAGCCCAAGAAAGACAGGCAGGTCCAGATAGGAAGCCTTTGAAGCTTTTCAATTTTATTTTTGCATTTTCCATTTTACAAACCATAACAACAAAAAAGAAACAAAATTCAGACATCATATCCCATTTAACTCCCCCCCCCCTTTGTGGATCCTTATATTTTCATTTTCATTCTGCATCTCATCACCAACTCCAATTATTGTAAATCCTTAATCAAGCCATGGTTCTGATTTTTACAAGTTTTCTGTCAAACCTACTAATGAATGTAATTGTTTACAGTAATTTTTCAAATACATTATATACTTCCCCCATTCTTTATTAAAATTGGATTCTTTCTGCCTCCTGATTCTTCTGTAAGTTTTGCCAATCCAGCACAGTTCATTAATTTTAACAGCCGCTCTTCCTTGGTCGGAACTGTATTTTCTTTCCATCCCTGGGCCAGCAACGTACGGGCAACTGTGGTTGCATACATGAACAATTTCTTCTGGTCCTTCAGGATCTCTGCACCTAAAATTCCTATAAGAAAAGCTTCTGGTTGCTTAGTAAACATTATTTTCACCATTTAAAAAAACTCATTATATATCATTTCCCATAAAGCTTTTTTTACATAACTGCTACATATGATAAAAGATGCACTCTTTCTCTTTACATTTCTAGCACGTTAGAATTTGACTGATACATTTTAGCTAATTAAGTACCAATGGGACATCATTTTCATATAGTTTTCTTTCAAAGTATAACATGCTGTAAATTTCAGATCGGTAATCAATAATTTCTCCCACGCTGCTAACTCAATATTATAACCAAAATCCCTTGCTCAGTGTATCACCACTGCTTTGAACTGGTCCATCTTTTGTTTACCAATCCGATAAAAGTTGATGCATTTAGTTTTTATTTTCCAGCAACTCTTTCAAATTGGGAGGTTTTATGAGAAAAACCTTTCTTTTTATCCAACTTCATTAAGCTGGTGATATTGCAACCAATTGGTTATTAGTCCTCTTACTTCTTCATAACTCCTTAATTTTAAGTCTTGATCTACCTCTTTTAATAGTTCTTGGTTTCTCATATTTTTCCCCCCGCCAATTAAGTTTGAAGCCTGCTACCTCTCCAAATTTATGAATCTGTTCCAGAGCCTTTGGAACCCTGATCAGAGGCTCCTCTACCAATATCACCACATCATCAGCAAATGCCTTAAGTTTATATGTCCTGTGTCCCACTGTTATCCCTTCAATCTTGACATCCAATCTGATTCTGCTAGCCAAAACCTCTAATACTAGTATAAACAATAATTGTGACAAGGGGCAACCCTGTCTTGTCCCCTTTGTTATATTACATTTTTCTGTTAGCACATTATTTACAATCAGCATAGCGTGTTGATTGGAAGCCTTTGAAGCTTTTTATTCTTAGTGCTAATGCGGGTGGCGCTGGGGGTTAAACCTCAGCGCCTAGGACTTGCCGATCGCATGGTCGGCGGTTCAAATCCCCGTGGCGGGGTGCGCTCCCGTTGCTCGGTCCCAGTGCCTGCCAACCTAGCAGTTCGAAAGCACCTCCGGGTGCAAGTAGATAAATAGGGACCACTTACTAGCGGGAAGGTAAACGGCGTTCCATCTGCTGCGCTGGCTCGGCAGATGCAGCTTGTCACGCTGGCCACGTGACCCGGAAGTGTCTGCGGACAGCGCTGGCTCCCGGCCTCTAGAGTGAGATGAGCGCACAACCCTAGAGTCTGTCAAGACTGGCCCGTACGGGCAGGGGTACCTTTACCTTTTACCTTGGTTCTCAGACTTAATCCATTCTGGAAGTCCGTTCCAAAACCAAAGCATTCCAAAACCAAGGCGCGCTTTCCCATAGAAAGTAATGCAAAATGGATTACTCCGTTCTAGACATTTAAAAACAACCCCTAAAACAGCAATTTAACATGAATTTTGCTATCTAACGAGACCATTGTGTTAGGATATTTCCGTTCCACCTTAAAAGGGAGCAGGCTTTGTGAGTCAGAGTCTGCGTATTTCCTGTTCACAGGATGTTTATGTTTTCTGTTGCTTTCATTTTCTCTGGTGTCGCAGACACTAAATCAGCAGGCAGTCATGTTTTCTGTGTTCTGATCAACGCTGAATAAACTTGTAAATAATGCTCTCCTGAGTGCAACTTTTGGCTGTGCTAATTGCTGATAGAGCGTGCATGAGCTCTGGAATGTGGCCAGATATTTTCTAGAAACTCATGTCGCTGCGTGCCTACGGGAGACTGAGATGGATCGTCCGGCAGACGGCTTGGGGGCCTTGATGGACTTTATCTCCCTGGCAGTATCCCAACACATTGATCCATAAAATGAAAGCAATAAACAATGTACTGCAGTCACGCAATCAGTCAATCAGTAGCTGAACCGGGTTCCACACAGTTACAGAAACAAAACAAAAAAGCTGCAGAAACAAAAACGCAAAATAAATAGCAAAAACAGACAGACCTCAGCGTAACACTCAAAAAGGGAGTGCGGCACTCAAAACGGAGCACATTCAGCTTATGAAAAAAGTTCGCAAACCAGAACACTTACTTCTGGGTTTGCAGTGTTTGGGTTCCAAGCTGTTTGAGTACCAAGGCGCTTGAGAACCAAGGTACCACAGTATTAACAAGTAATCATGCTGGGTCAAGACACACAGATTTTAGGGGGAGGAGGAATGTTAGGAGTTCTCCCACTGACCCATCTGCCCCCCTCTCCCCATCTGGAGCTCCCAACGCCTTCATCTTCCACCCCATCTACAAAGCGTCCCTGGCCAGAAACCACCAGCAGACCCCTCCCCTCCGCCGTAGCCCCTGCCCCTCACTAGGAACGCTGACCCCCTGGAGGCAGTCTGGAGCTGGTGCAAGGAGAAGAGGCAGATCCAGGCAGTGGCGGCGGTGCAAGTGACGGGAGGTGGGAGCACAGGAGAGAGGGGGCAAGGTGGAATAATTAACAGGAATTGGCAAAATGTGCCTCAGTTTCCTCTCTGGCACAAGTGTGAGCTGGGTGAGGGGCCAAGCAAACTGTGGCTGTGGGTAGGGCAAAAGGAATCTCAAGGCTGCAAAGTAATCTCAAAAGGGGCAAATGAATCTCCACACAGTCCAGATCAAGGGAAGTCATACCACTGCTCTAGTCTTCCTTGGTCAGAGCACACCTGGAGTCTTGTGTCCAGTTCTTGGCACCACAATTCAAGAAGGATATTGACAAGTTGGAACGTGTGCAGAGGCGGGTGACCGAAATGATCAAGGCTCTGGAAATCAAGACTTAGGAGGAACAGCTGAGGAAACGGGGGGTGTTTGTAGACTTAGAGGAGATAGGATAGTGACCTCTAACGGCTGTCCCATGGGGGATGGAGCAAGCTGGTTTCTTCCTGGTCTGTAGAGGAGGACCTGAACCAATGGCTTCAAGTTACAAGAAAGTTGATTCCAATTAAACATCAGGAAGACCTTTCTAATGTTCATATCTGTACAACAGTGGAATCAAGTCCCTTGGAAGGTGGTGGACTGTCCTTTCTTGGAAGATCTCAAGCATGGGCTTGGTGGCCATCTGTCATGCATGTTTCAGTTGAGATTTCTGCACTGCAGTGGGTTGGACTAGATTCTCCCATTCTCCTCACTGTGGATTTTTTGATGGAAAGTGAGATTGCCCTTCTGACTGAAGCTCTTCCCACATTCCAAGCATTCATATGGCTTCTCCCCTGTATGAATTCGTTGATGGGAAGTGAGAGCAGAACTCTGACTGAAGCTCTTTCCACATTCCAGACACTGAAATGGTTTCTCCCTGTATGAATTCTTTGATGGGAAGTGAGATTGGACCTCTGACTGAAGCTCTTTCCACATTCCATGCACTCATATGGTTTCTCCCTGTATGAATTCTAAGATGGGACTTGAGATGGCAACTGTGACGGAAGCTCTTCCCACATGCCAAGCAATTGTATGGTTTCTCCCTGTATGAATTCTTTGATGGAAAGTGAGACTGGCTCTGTAACTGAAATTCTCTCCACATTCCAAACACTGATATGGCTTCTCCCCTGTATGAATTCGTTGATGGGAAGTAAGATTGTTCTTATAACTGAAGATCTTTCCACATTCCAAGCACTGATATGGTTTCTCCCCTGTATGTATTCTTTGATGGGAAGTGAGAACAGAACTCTTACTGAAGCTTTTTCCACATTCCATGCACTGATAGGGTTTCTCCCCTGTATGAATTCTGAGATGGGACTTGAGATGACAGCTATGACGGAAGGTCTTCCCACATGCCAAGCAATTGTATGGTTTCTCCCCTGTATGAATTCTTTGATGGGAAGTGAGACTGGCTCTGTAACTGAAACTCTTCCCACATTCCAAGCAGTGATATGGCTTCTCCCCTGTATGAATTCTTTGATGGGAAACGAGATTGTTCTTGTAACTGAAGATCTTTCCACATTCCAAGCACTGATATGGTTTCTTGCCTGTATGAATTCTTTGATGGAAATTGAGAGAGTCGTGCCAAGCGAAACTCTTTCCGCATTCAAAGCACTGATAGCGTTTCTTTCCAGTGGAATTTCTTTGATAGGAAGTGGAACTGGAGCTCTGGCTCAAGCTCTCTCTGCATTCCGAATATTGATATGGCTTCTCCTCTGTTTTGACTTTGTCGTGGTCTCCCATTTTCTTCATTTCCAATTCATCACCTGCAATGAAGAGAGAAGCAAACGTTGGTACTTAATGAGATAAGTTCCTTCTCTGTAGGGAAAATTGGTCTCTGCCCATCTCACCATTGAAAAGAAGTTAAAGTTTTGAGGAATACATCAGGGACAGGACAACCCCCTATCTCCAGTTTAACTCATGCTTAAGCAAGTAACTGTATAGTCACAACATAACAACTAAAGAATAGGAACAGAACAGTGATTTCAGTGGGGCATGCTGCTCTCTTCACTGAATGACAATTCCTACTGGCCCCAGTAACTAGCACAGGTGAAGGAGGGGGAACTCTGATATGTGGTGAAGAGCAAGAAGGCTGGGATGGAAAGACAGAAGAGGCCCCTGGACCTTGGGGGAAGGTGTCCCATGTCCTTCTAGGCCACCCTCCGAAATCCATTGTTTGATAGCCTCTCCCATGCACACAGAGGTACCTGAGAGGGCTGGATCCCAATTCTTTGTACAGAGAAGGAACCTATCACGGTAAGAATCAATGTTCACTTCACCTGTAGGGGAAAACTGGGATCCATGATGTGGGAAGTATCTCAGCAGTGTCCAGATCGGGTGGCAGCCGTTGTAGGCCCTACCTCCTCATTGCTAACCACCTGTTGAAGCACTCTTCTCTCAAAGGAGGCCTCTGCTGAGACGAAGGTGTCTAACTTATAGTGTTTCATGAAGGTGGAGGGAGAGGACCAAGTGTATATCACCCAGGGGAGCTCACGTCCCAAAGGATGCCGAGGTGACTGTGGTCCTGGTGGAATGGGCAGTGATTCCCAAGGGCACCCCACCCCACCCCCGGATCCAGCCTGCCAATGATGCTGGAGAAACCTTGTGCCCTTTGTTTCTAGACTGGAAAGAAGCAAACAGAGCCCCTGTAATGCGGAACTCCTCTGTGTTCCTGAGGTAAACCCTGATGGCCCTGCGCACATCCATTCCTTCTGCCCCCCTCCCCCGGAGGGTTTGTTGCCTTAAGGTCTCTATGAATGAGCCCCTGTGGAGATGAAAGGAAGAATCATTTCCTTTCTGACTCTTTCTCTCTGTCTTCTTATGAGGCAGAGCCGTCTTCTTGTCTCTGGTCTCTACCAGGGCATCTTCCGGCCCCTCTGCAAATAGCTGGCCCCCCTTGAAGGGGTCGCTGGCCAGGCTGGTCTTGGCTTTGGTGTCCACCTGCCACTGTTTAAGCCAGAGCTACCTGCGCACTGCCACATCTGCTGCCCTGGCTCCAGCTGCGAATTGAACAAGCATCCGACGAGGCATCAGCCACATGGGCAGAGGCCTAGCTTGCTTTGCTATTCCCTGCTGGATATGGACGAACCCTGGTCCAACCTCTGCCAGAAGGGCCTGGGCTCAGATGTAGGTTGCTCTGACCATGAAAGAAGCTGCAGCCGAGACCTCAATGGCTTCTGCACAAGCTTCATGTGATCTGAGCAACAAAACCTCAGCCCTTTTGTCTTCACGGTTCCTGGGGTGATCCTGCCCATCTCTGGAAACCATGGATCCATGAGTGAGGGAACATATGGGGGCATCTACGGGAGGAACACTAAGAAATCCCATTGCAGGCTTATCAAATGGATTTAGCTGCCTTATGGGGAAAATTGCTGCCTTAGCAGCCCCAGGAATCCACCATTTCTGCAAGGTGGTCTCCTTAAACTCTTCTGGATAAGGGGAAACCCTCTTGCAGGCCTTGCTCTTGGGAAAGGCCATGGAGGCATTGCCTGCTGCCTGGGCCTGCTCAGGGACATGGGCTGTCCTCACAGCCTTTCCCAGGAGCTGCTCGATGTCTAGGCTCATAAAGAGTCTGGGGAATGCTCCCCCTTGTCCTCCTGCCGTTCCTCCTCACCTGGAAAAAGCTCACCGTCCTCCCAGTCTGAGGAGGTGGGGCAGGCCTGGATGTTGAGGAAGGGGGTGTGAGAGCCTGAGGCATCCTCTGAGCTGGCTACCCATGGGGAAAGGGAAGGCTCAGCTCTTCTGGAAGCGCTTCTGCCAGAGCCCCTTCCTCCCCTGCTCAGCAGCACCAGGTACCTCCTGTGCTGGGTCCCCTGCCTCTGAGCCCTTCCCCTGTGAGGGGACAAGAGGCTGCTCCAAGATGAGGAATGCTCTGAGGGGGAAGGGAAGGGATCAGCTCTCCTTCTCATCCTCCCTGGCACCCTGGCCATCGTGCTGGTTCCTAGCCCTGCTTGAACCAGAACCATAGGTGCTTTCCTAAGGCCCCCTCCCCGCTGCTGCCCCTGGCTGAACAGGGCTGTGGGGCTGCGGAAAGGCCCAGAGCCTGTCCTAGCCAGGTGACCCACTCAAGGGCAAATGGAGGCCTCTCAGAGGGTGGGGGAAGCAAGGGTGGTCCTCCTACCCCCCTTTCCTGTCTTTCCAGACCTTCTGGACGTGTTGGAGCTGCTGGATCAGGCCTTTGCAAGTCAACCAAAACCTTCTTGGCCTGGGCTGCTGCTAAATTCAAGAAGGCCCCTTGCCCAGGCGGCTTGGGTTCCCACATATTCCTCTGAGGAGTCAGCCAAGAGATCTATTTCCCAGAAAAAGGACTCTCCTCCTGAGAAGGGGCCCCTCCTGCTGTGTTTCAGCCCTTTCTGTGGTTTTGTTTGGCCCAATCACAGAATCCGCTCCATCTCTAATGTCAGCCATCTTTTTGGTCAACCAGAATCTGACAGAATCAAGAACAAAAAACTGACAGCCTAATCAAAAGGCATAACCAGAGAAAGAAATGTTCACACAAACAAAACAGTTGATAGCCCTCTATTCAAGGTGAGCTGAGGGTGTGTGTGTTAGAATTCCAGATGCTGTAGGTGGCGCTGTTGAGCTCCATCAAAATCTGAGAGGTTCGTCACATAGATTAATGTGAAGAATTTCAGGACAGATATGATCCAACAGGGAGCCTTACCGAGAGAGGCCATGATCGCACGATTCTCCTCCATGACTTCCTGATGCAGAGCTCTCTGGTCAGGATCCAGCAACGCCCACTCCTCCTCCGTGAAATACACAGCTATATCCTCAAAGCACACTAGACTCTGAAAGAAAAGGTCTCCCTTTCAGAAAGCATAAAGATTACCTAGCACACATTGTTCTGTTGTTTCCTGTCTGTTAGTTGCTGAGTGGTTTTCAGGGGAATGTTTCACTGTACATTTTAATGATGGATGCATATCTAAGCATCTTAATGGAATTATTTTATTCTGTATTTTTAAAACTGGGTACTAATCTTTGTACAAAGGGGTGAAACTCCACATGGTGCTCTTCAAATCTGTATGTCTGCACAAGCATTTTAGCTTGTGAGATGGAAGGCTCCCCTCTCTCCTCTCCCTATGTGGTATTTTGGGAGGGTGCAGAGAGACAACTCTCCTCATTTCCTAAAGCCAACTCCAAGGGCTGCATGGGGGCTTGGGGAGGTGGCGAAGGGGGGGGAGCCCTCAACTGGAGGCAAATTCTCACCACTGGTTTTTTAAAAGTTCCTTATATTTTAGCATTGACCAATAAACATAGTGTAGAAACAAACTGCAACAACTGATAAATAATGCTTAGCAACATTTAGGAGGAGAGTTAAGGTGAGGTGGCTGTTCATTACTCTCAGCAGATAAACATGATGGGATGGCATTTTCAGCCTTCCTTAAGGGCAGATTTGACGGAAGCAAAGAGGAAGAGATTCATTTGCGCCCAGAGATGCCCTGGCTGCCCCACCCCCCAGCCTCTTTCCCCCCAAGGCTCCTTCCCCCTACCTGATCTGGCTCCACAGCCACTGTTTCCCCTCCACCACCAAGAAAAGATGGATTGGGAAGTTTTGCCGGCATCATTCTGTCACCTGCAAGAGACAAAGGTAAGTGGGGAGACAGGAGTGCCTGCCTCTCTCAGAGGTGAAGCAGTCCCTCCACATCCACTGCTTCACCTGCGGATGTAACAGAGAAGTAGAATTGCGCGTCATCAGTATATTGCTGGCAATGTCCTCCCAAACTCTGGATGTTCCTACTCAGCGGTTTCCTGTAGATGTTAAGTAGCATATGGGATAAAACAGAGCCCTGAGGAATTCCTCGCTTAAGGCTCCACGGGGCTAAAAAGCACCCCCCAAGCATCACCCTCTGGGAACCACCACCCAAGGAGGACCAGAACCACTGCAAAGCTGTGCCACCTACTCCCAACTCAGCCAGCTGCTCCAGAAGGAGAGCGTGATGGATGGTACCAAAAGCCACTGAGAGGTCCAGCAGAATCAACAGGGGCATCTTTCCCCATCTCTCTCTCGGCAAAGGTCATTACACAGGGTGATCAAATCAGTTTCTGAGCCAAAAGCGGGCCTAAACCCCGGTTGAAATGAATCTACTTATAACAAGCCTCACATGCTGAGTGCATTTTAGCATTTGTACCCATTGCCTATTTCAGCAGTGCAAAAATGCATCTCCCTCCTTGGGGCTCTTGGTCTCAAATATCTTCCACAAAAAGATGAAAAGATTAGTTTCAAAACCAACAGAATGGGATCAAAGGGACAAAAGACTCCTTCCTCCTGACCCAGGGACCTCTCTTTTGTGTCCAGCGGAGTCCTCTCTTCCTCAGAGTAATCTGGGCCCATTGCTGCGAACAGATCCTTTCCCTGAAAGAACAAAAAGAATTCATAGAATTATAGAAAAAGGAATGAGAGGCAACAATTTTATAATATCCGAAAATGCTCCACTAATAGGCCATTAGTAGAGCATTTGGGTTTGTTCTCCCTCCTGTTTGGAGCCCCTTGGGAGCATCCAGAGGAAAGTCTCTCTCACCTGCTTCTTCTCCTCCTGCTTCCTCTCCTCTGCCCGACTCAGGAGGAAACCTTCGGCCAGGGCCACTGCCTGGGAACTGGTCTCTGCTCCGCATTCCCTCACCCAGCTCTCCATCTCTGGGGGAAGGAGAGCCAGGAACTGCTCCAAGATCACCAGGTCCAGCATCTCAGCTTTCGTGTGCCTTTCTGGCTTCAGCCATTGACGGTCAAAGCGGTAGAGTTGGCTGCAAACTTCTCGAGGTCCTTTGGCCTCCTGGGAACAGAACTGCCTCAACTGCTGGCTCTGCACATTTGAGCGGAGGGTGTCCTCCTCTCCCAGGATCTTCTGTATGGAGTTTTCCCAGAATCCCCCACTGCTCCCAGACTCAATGCCATGGCCTCCTCCTGCTTCAGGGTCAGCTGAGTCTTGTTCATCCATCTGTGCTCTCAGGAAGCCTCTAAGAGATAGGAAGGAATCCTTTTCCCCCCTCTTGCCCAGTTCTGTGTGTCCGAAAAGAGGTGCTAGCAAAATCTACAAAGCAAATGCATTGTTCCGTTATTAAACCGACATAGTCAATTTGTTGGATGAGTCCTGCTAGGAAGCAGGATTGGACTCTACCACAGGCCAGATTTTCAGCTTTTTTAAAGAAAAGGTAAGCCTCCAGCCCTCCTAGAAGTGACCGTACCAGACTGTGAGATGAATCAGCCTGGTTGAGCCTGTCTTTCAGTGTTTGCAGACGAGGAATAAAACCAGACCTGTGACTGACAAGTGTGTCAGTTATACCAAATGTAATGTACACACTAGGCTAACAGTGGGGTCCTAATTCCAGGGTTCTCAAGAGTTGCTCTCTCCCACCCCCACTTCAGGACACATTTCTTCCCTGCTTCTGTCTTATTTTCTAGAACTTGGAAGCTCCAAGCTTCTCAAGGCAAATTACCGTATTTTTCTCTATAAGACGCACCAGACCACAAGATGCACCTAGTTTTTGGAGGAGGAAAACAAGAAAACAAATATTCTGAATCTCAGAAGCCAGAACAGCAAGAGGGATCGCTGCGCAGTGAAAGCAGCAATCCCTCTTGCTGTTCTGGCTTCTGGGATAGCTGCGCAGCCTGCATTCACTCCATAAGACGAACACACATTTCCCTTTACTTTTTAGGAGGGAAAAAGTGAGTCTTATAGAGCAAAAAATACAGTACTGGGGTAGGGTACCTTTTCTTTTTTCTCAGGGTCCAAATCATTATTTGGCCAACCCCCGAGGGTCAAATGGGCAAAATCAAAGTTCATTTGGGTAGGTTCAAAGGACAGTGCTAAAAGCAAGTACTGTAAATCTTTCTATGCTTGTACTGGTTTTAAACATCTTTAATATTGTACTTTACTGCTGCCATCTACTGTGGGAACTTAGGGAAAAGGGCAGGTAATTAACAGCAGGAGCAGCAACAGCAACAACTCCCACACGGATCAAAAATGTTGGGAATACTCCTGGATCCAACATGGTCACTGAAGGCTCAGATGGTGCCAACGACTCATAACTGCTGCCTCTCGCATAGTTTTTCTGCATTTGCAGCCCCAAAGTGACTGCTGTGGGGTGCAAGCCTGGGCAGTGTGCCTGGAAGTCCTGGACTGACCAGATGACAAGACCTGCAGAAATTCCCTTCTTAACTGTTGAACCCACTGTGGGTCTCGTCCGCTCAATCCACCAGAGCCTGTCTTTGCATGCAGAGGGAGTCCCTAACCCACTGAGGGTTTGAGACCCATTGGCCACCTTCATCTGGTTTAGCCAGCCATTCAAATCTGCTGCCAGGATGCAGCAACGGTCCCATACTCCAACTTTTAGGAACCACATGTGAGAACAAAGGTGGAGGAACTAGCCAGATGGAGCCCGTCATTTCCCCACCGCAGATGCTGCCCCTTCTCTACCGCCCCATTTCCAGCTGGGCTAGGCTGCTAGCCCCAGTCCCTTTGGGACAGAGAGGACGTGGACAGGGCACTCCTTGCTCCAGGATTATTGCAATGCCCGCTACGTATGTGGAGCTGACCTTGACGATGAATCAGAATCAGCTCCAAAATCCCACAGCCAGATGATGGGCTGGGCTCCCTCTCTTCATTCATTGCATTTCCACCCACCCTTCTCTCCCAGGGGCTCAAGGGGGCATCCAGGGGTCTCCCTGTTGTCCTTTAATCCCCACAGCAGCCCTGGAGAACACCATCAATTCCTGTTTTAAAGCAGCTGCATTGCTTGTCAGTTCCTTTGCAGGGCCAGTTGGGTGGTTGTGTCTTGGGGTGAGGAAGGGGCTGGTTGGGGGCTCCCCGCCTGCATGAGCTGAACAGGACCCCCTGATGCATCCCCCCCCCCCCGCTTCTCCCCAATGCACCCCATGGCGGAAGACAAGGGAGACTCACCAGGTTGCAGGAGGTGCAAAGCAGAAAGACAGCAACTCCCCCTCCCCCTCCCCCTCAGGAAGGGACGTCAGTGGCAGGGAGGAGGGGCTTCTGATCTGGAGGACTGCCCCCCCTTGCCTTTCCTCTCTAGGAATCCAGCTCAGCTCCTTTTAACCCTGGCAAAGCCAGGCACACTCAGCCCCCCCCCCCCCCGCAGAGCAGGAGACACGTGTGTTGAGCACCCAGAGCTGCTTCATTTGTGGGAGCCATGAGAGTAACCAGGATTTATGGTTTTTTAGGGGGGGCAGGTCTCCCCCCTGTCCCCATCCTCTGTCTGGCTCTGTCCAGCAGATTCGGAATGACGTGGGTCAGCAACAGTTGCTTCAAATTACTTTCTTTTGACCCCAATTGCTCAGAAATTTTTTTCTACGATTTGTAGTTTTGGGTGAGTATTATTATTATTTTTTATTTGTGGGAGGGGCAGCTACCCCACCTCCCTCCATCGGGGTAGCCTCTTGGCTGGCAGGTTTCTGAGCTGTTTCCACCCTTAGCCAGAAACTGGAGGAGCAGCAAGCAGGAGAAAAGGCCCTGCAAGAAGCAGGAAACCCCATCCTGGAATCATAGAATTGTAGATTTGGAAGGGGCTCCTGAGGGTCATCCAGTCCAACCCCCTGCAATGCAGGATTCTCAACTCAAGCATCCACGAGGGACGGCCGTCCAACCTCGGCTTAAAAACCTCCAGGGAAGGAGAGTCCACCACCTTCTTCCCATCCTAATGTTTTTTTTTCCTGGTGTTTGCTTGGAATATAATCCTTTGGTTCACGTTCTCCCCTCCTGAGCAGGAGAAAACAAACTTCCTCCATCTGAGATATTTGATCTGGGCTGAGGGATGAGTGAGGAGGCACACGGTTCCTGCCTTTTCTGGGACTGAAGAGAGGAGGCGGTAGATCCATCCCAGGAAATATTCCTAGTGATTTTTAATGGCATTTTAGTTCCTGCCCTTCTTCCCCTTTAGTTCCTGCCCTTCTTCAGTATACTGCATTACAGTTTGTATCCTGTGGAGTATGATATAATACGAGGTGTAAGATATAAAAATACAATTAGCAGAGAACATGACAAAGGCGATAAGTTCTGAAAGACTCGTTTCTGGGTTCGGTCCTGGAAAAGAAGGAGTGCAAAACCAGAAAAAGATTCAATGTCACAAGTAAAATAAATGCAAGATACTTATTGGCATCACTGCCTACAAATGGTGGCAGATGATAAACACAGAAAAAAAATGTGTGAGAATGGGGAAAGCATAGTACAAAAAAAGCACTTTCTCTCTCTCTCTCTCTCATATCTATCATTCTATCAATCAATCAATCAATCTCTATCCAGTGCATTTTTATATTAAAAAAATGTTTAGGGGTACTCTCATTTCGACTCAAGAAAACCACCATTTTATAGTTAAAATTGGGGAAAATAAGTACAGTAAGTTGACAAAAGTACAAAAATTCACAAAATGTTTAGGGGTATGTATATGTACCCCTGCGTACCCCCTAGGAGAAAAAAAACCTGTATCCATCTATTTACAGGTAGGTAGCCATTTTGTATCCATCTATGTGTATCAGGGCGGTCCAAGCTCTCAGTCCAGCTGGGCCACAGGAGGTCATGCGCTGAATTTTCCATATCATAAACTGAAGTGTGTGCAGCTCTTTGCCTTCAGGGACCCTCCACTTCAGGGACCCCCACTTTCCACCTCACTTTCCCTCTCGCTCCTGGGATTTCCTTCTTTCCCCCCTTCTTTTAGCATCTCCTTGCCTCCACCTCCGCCATTTCAGCCCCTTTTCACCTCGGGAGACCCTGGAGGAGCATCCCTTTGGGGGTGAGGCCAAGCAGTGGGGAGGTTGCAGCGCCTGCTGTGGCTGCAGAGACCGATGCAGGAGAGACATGTTTTGTTGCAGCCGGGGCAGAGGAAGGCGTTCGGTTGGGCTGCTGCAGGTGCACCAGGGCGTTTCTTCTCTCTGGGCTCCTCCCAGCAGTTTGGCAGTGGAGGTACTAGACTCCCCTTCTTTGGAGGTTTTCAAGCAGAGGTTGGCTGGCCGTCTGCTGGGAATTCTTGAGCTGGGATTCCTTCGCTGCAGTCTAGATTACTCTTGGGAGCGCCTTCCAACTACAGACTATGATTATAGGTCCAGAATATGATTATATGTCTCTGAAACTAGGATTGTTGAGCTTTTTTGGGGGGGCACAGTTGTTGAGCTTTATTTTATTTTTTTGCCCAAAGTTGTTGTTGAGCTGCTTTTTTTTTTTTTTTTTGCAAAATCTACATGGGATTTATGCCTGGACATTTGGCTTCCAAAAAAGAAACGGGCCTTCTCTGCAGTGGCTCCCCATCTGCTCTCCCCAAGGAAATTCGCCTAGCGCCTTCATTATACACCTTGAAGCACCAGACAAAAACATTGGTTGCTTTGGTTGTCATCCTATGCCTTTTTAAAATGTGGTTCCTTTTTGGGGAGGGGTTGTTGTTTCTATTTTGATGATATATTTTGTGGTTTCATATTCTGATTTTGTTCTGTGAACCGGCTTGAGGCCTCCAGGGATGGGGAAGTTTATGAATTCAATCAATCAATCAATAGAATTCTAGAACTGCAGAGCTGGGAGCGACCCCAAGGGTCATCTATTCCAACCCCCTGCAATCCATGATAGATGCCCCCCCCACCTCTGCTTAAACCCCTCCAAGGAGGGAGGGAGGGAGAGTTTCTGTGCAGCAGAGAAGAGGAGGAGGAGGAGGAGGCAGGGATGCCAGGCTGGGAGATGTTTTCCCTCTCCTCTGGCCAGCCCTTTGCCCTCCTTATCTGTGAGCAAACAGTTTCCTGGTCTGGCTCCTCCGCACGGCAGCAGCAGCAGCCTCCTCCTCCGCTTCCGCCGCCGCACCTGCGCCCGTCCCGTCTCCCCCTGGGGCCTCGTCTCCCACCATGTGCACCGGCAAGTGCGCCCGCCTGGTGGGCCTCAGCCTGGTGACCGCCGGCCTGGCCTGCATTGTGGCCAACATCCTCCTGATGTTCCCCAACATGCAGCGGGACTGGACCCCCCAGAACATCACCACCCAAGTGTGGCTCATGGGGGGCCTCGTCGGCGGGGGGCTGATGGTGAGTGCCAGGGCTGGTGGGTGGGGCTAGATGACCCTCAGGGGCCCCTTCCAACTCCCCAGTTCTGTGATTCCAAGGGAGGGGGTGGGTTCTCCTCCACTGGAGGCGTTTAAGCAGTGCTTGGGTGGCTGCCTGCCAGGGGTTCATTAGCTGAGATTCCTGCATTGCTGGGGGTTGGGCTAGATGACCCTGAGGGTGCCCTCCATCCCTATGATTCTCAGGACTTGGCACCAGGAAGAGCCTCGGTGGTGGGAGAGCTTCCTCCTGCCTTGCGCAGCCTGGCTCACTTCCTCGAGTTGTCTGCCCAGGGACATCTCTGGTACCAACCACAGTTCCCCCCCTAGCATGGCCTGGTTGCATTGGATGCTCAGGAGCAGAGCAACTCTGGCAGGGCCGGATTGAGGTTTGATGAGGCCCTCAGCTCCTGAAGGGAACGGGGCCCATTATATGTCCAGCTGTCCTTTGGCAACAACAAATTGCCGCTTCTTTTGTGTTGAATATATGCTATATGGCAATTTATGGACCTAATTAGGTATCTAAAACACTGTTGCTGTATGTAGGTTTTTACAGTGGTACTTCGGGTTACAGACGCTTCAGGTTACAGACTCTGCTAACCCAGAAATAGTACCTTGGGTTAAGAACTTTGCTTCAGGATAAGAACAGAAATCATGCTCCGACGGTGCGGCGGCAGCAGGAGGCCCCATTAGCTAAGTGGTGCTTCAGGTTAAGAACAGTTTCAGGTTAAGAACAGACCTCCAGAACGAGATGAAGTTCTTAACCTGAAGCACCACTCTATTTTATTTGTTTTTTGTCTTATATTTTGGAAATGTACATCCAGTTTCTTTTTCCTTTACATTTTTTTGGGGCCCCCAAGAGAGTGCGGCCCTAAGCTATCGCTTGTTTCGCTCATACATAAATCCGACACTGGTATGGGGTGGTTGACAGCCCTGACCCACAGCAGGACTCCGGCTGTCTCTCCTGGCAACGGGGTGCCAAGCGCATTCCCCAAGGGATTGGGGGTGCCATTGGAGAACCCAGAGGAACCCCATCACCCGGTCTGGCCCCCTACCCCAGCCCTTTCTTCCCACAGGCAGCCTCGGTTTCTCTCATGGTGAACTTTGTGCAAACCTCCTGCCCCCCCCCCCTCTGTGGGAGATAGCAGGGCCCTTATCTGCAAAGGAGACAGCTGGCATGGAGTGGGGGGTCAATAAAACAAGGTGATCTCTGCCCCCCGAAAGGGGAAATGACGCGCATCATGGGAGAAGGCAGGAGTGGCAAAGGTTTGCTGGAGGGACCTGATGGGGGGGGTCACCGCTCTTGCCAGGGTGTGTGTGTGTGTGCCACTGCCCATGTTTGGGGGGGGCACCTTCAGATCCACCTGCCTTTTCTGTCAAATGACAGGTGTGTGCTTCTGGCATTCTGCAGCCTGAGAGCTGCTCAGGTAAAGGCAGGTCCTGAGTTCGAGAAGCCCAGCCCAGTGGCATCAGGTGGGGAGGGCCAGGGGGGCAGTGGCAAGAAGCGAGGTTACAGGGAACCAGGCAGAGGGGCTTCTCAGTGGTGGCACGCTTCCTTGTGGAACGCCCCCCCTCAGATGTCAAGGAAAGAAACTGCTATCTGACTTTTAGAAGACAACAGAAGGCAGCCCTGTTTAGGGAAGTTTTTAATGTTTGATGTTCCATTCTGTTTTTATATCTGCTGGAAGCCGCCCAAATCTTCTGGGGAAACCCATCAGATTGTTGTCATTGTTCTTAATGGTGTGGGCAGCCAGGTCAATCCAGGGGCCACCTTGGAGGAGTTAACCTCTGGAACTCACTGCTGCAGGAATGAGTGGCCGCCACCCACTTGGATCTCCTAAAAAGAAGGTTGGGCAAGTTCATGGAGGGGGCTATCCATGGCTACTGCCCGCGAAATAATGCTTCCGAATCCCAGTTCCTGGTAGCCACATGAGTGGGGAGTTGCTCTTGTGCTTGGATCCCGCTTGCAGGTTTCCCGTCGAGGAGCATGCTGGGGCAGGTGAGCCCCTTATGTCCTGAGATCAGGAGTCCTGTTTGCTGGGTTTCCCCTTTCAGCCACGGCGGGAGCAGGATTCTGGACAAGCCGGCCTCCTCCAGCCTCCGGCCTCTTCTTACGTCCTTGTGGAGCTTCCTGAGCCAGAGGCAGTCTATCTGGCTTCCTAGGTTCTCTGGGGCACTTGGCTGCTGTGAGGACAGGAGGCTGAATCTGGGAGTGTGTGTGTGGGGGGTCTTCCTTGGGTCTGATCCAGCAACTCTCTGACCTCCCCCTCCTCCCTTTCCGCCTCCCCCAGGTCCTCTGCACCGGGTGCTCTGCCGTGAGGGCCGGAGGGAAAGGCTGCTGCGGATACGGATGCTGCGGGAACAGGTGCCAGGTGCGGATCTTGGGGCCCTCCTCCCCGTCTCTTCCTCTGCCTCGTCTGCCAGGGGGCTCAGCACTCTCTCAGCCCCTTGAGCCGCCACCTGCAAGGCGCCTGCTAGAGGCAGCCAGGTCTCTGGAACTACAGTTCCCAGACAGCCAGCACTTCCTGCTAGGGGCTAGTGGGAACTGTAGTGCCCCCCCCCCAAATAATAATTGGTGAACACTCAGTCGGTAGAGCATGAGACAGGATTTTGGGTTTGAGCCCCATGTTGAGCAAAAGATTCCTGCACTGAAGTGGGTTGGGATGGATGATCCCTGGGGTCCCTTCCCAACTCTACATTCCTGTGATTCTATGGAAACCTCTGGAGGACTCCAGGTTGGCAGAGGCTGCATTGCTGGAAGGGCCTGGCAGGGTGTGTGTGTGTGTGTGTGTGTGTGTATTCCTGTGCTGCAGGGGTTAGGCTAGATGACCCTCAGGAATCCCTTCCAACTCTGCAGTTATAATATTCTAAACAGGGACAGGTTTCTCTGCCTTTATTTTGTGTGTGTGTGTGTGAAAGTGAGAACAAGTTACCAACTCAGCTGAGGCTGGGCCTCATCTTTGGGGCTGGGGGCTGGAGGGTGTTTTCATTCCTGGCCCTCAGCCCCAAACATTCCCCCTTTTTTAAAAAAAACCATTAATCTGATCCAGGCCTAGAACGGGTGAGCTGCCCCTTTGTGAATATGGGCACCTTGCACCCTGAACCCTTTATTCCTATTCTCAGCTCTGGCAAAGGAGGGGGAATCAAGTAGGTCACAAACTGTTGCTTATTTTGTCTGCCCTGGAGGACTCCCCCCCCCCCCCAGTTCCACACAAACACACACTTTTGGGTTCCTCTCCCCACCCGGCCCAGTAGTGAGGCAATGGCACTCTGCCCAGGCACAGAGGCATATGCATCGCCAGGACTCATTTGCACGGCCCGCAAGTAGCAACACAGAGATCCTCTACACATGCCCCCCATGATGTTTTCGCAGACAGAGCCTGGGGGTTTGGTAGAGGTTTGGAGGCGCAGAGTCCTGTTTCTAGGGAGGGAGACTGGGAGCTCCCACCTTGTCCCACCGAGGGGAGAGAAGGGGGGGCTTCCTATGGAGTCTGTGCCAAGAGGGCTCTGGGCTGGAGTCCTGAGAGCAGAAGAGGGGCTGGGCAAGTGGGGCGTGTGTTGGGCGGCACCAGCCCCCCCTCACCTTCTCCTCCCCCACAGATGCTGCGCTCCGTCTTCTGCTCCATCTTTGGGGGGCTGGGGGGCTTCTACTGCTTGGTGGTGTCGTCCACTGCGCTGGCCGAGGGACCCTGGTGTGAGGTGAAGGACGGGACGTGGGGGTCACCCTTCAAGGACCTCAGGTGAGGAGCTGGGGGGGTGCAGTAGAGAGGGAGGGACAGCCCCCCACCCCCTGGGAGACAAATGCTTCTGAATCCCAGTTGCTGGAAACCTCAGGAGGGCAGGAAGCACTCCTGCGCTCGGATCCTGGTCGTGGGTGGGACAGATCCAGGTTTGGAGAGACCTGCCTTCAAATCTCTGCACGTGGCCAGGAAGCTCTGTGGTCAGGGCCGGATTTACGTACAAGCTAAACAAGCTATAGCTTAGGGCCCCACTCTCTTGGGCGCCCCCCCAAATATACTTCTTCTTAATTGTATTTCACTATGAATATACTTCTTCTCAATTGTATTTCACTATTAATATACCGTACTTCTTCTTAGTAATACAGTGGTACCTCGGGTTACAGATGCTTCATGTTACAGACTCCACTAACCTAGAAATAGTACCTCGGGTTAAGAACTTTGCTTCAGGATGAGAACAGAAATCATGCTCTGGCGGTGCGGCAGCAGCAGGAGGCCCCATTAGCTAATGTGGTGCTTCAGGTTAAGAACAGTTTCAGGTTAAGAACAGACCTCTGGAACGAATTAAGTACTTAACCCGAGGTACCACTGTATTTCAGTTCAACAATTACTTTGATAAAATACACATTATGCTATGTGCAAATGGCTTTAAATACCTATTAGGTCTGTAAATTGCCATATAGCATATATTCAACACAAAAAGCAGTGACAATTTCTTGTTGACAAAGGACAGCTGGACATAGAAAGGGTCCCATGACCTTCAGGAGCTGAGGGCCTCTTCAAACCTCAATCCGGCCCTGGCTGTGGGTATGACCGCCTCTCAGCCTAGGATATCTGGCAGGGCTTGGAGGGAGACCCCGGGTCATCCAGCCCAACCCCCTGCAATGCAGCAATCACAACTGAAGCGTCCCTGGCAGAGGACCATCCAACCTCTGCTTAAAAACCTCCGAAGAAGTTGGAAGACACCCACGTGGGCCATCTTCCTTGAGCTCCGTGGAGAAAGGGCGGTCAATGTCCCCCCCCCCCCCCAAGGACCCCCTCCAGCGCCCCCACTGATGGCGCCTGTCTCCCCGCAGTGAGAGCTACCTGGGCAACCGGACGCTGTGGGAGGAGTGCCTGAACCCCCCCAACGTGGTGATGTGGCACGTGGTGCTCTTCGCCATCCTGCTGGGCCTGGGGCTGGTGGAGCTGGCGCTGTGCGGACTTCAGGTGGTCAATGGGCTGGTGGGCACCGTGTGCGGAGACTGCCGCAAAGCCGAGGACCGAGCGGTAGGGGGCCTGAGAAATGGGGGAGCGGGGGGCGGGGGCGGCGGGAAGGAGGGTCAGTGCCCCCTGCCCGGCAAAGCAGGCTCACCCGCGGGGGTCGCAGCCTCTCTTGGCCCCCAGGTCGGGCGCTAAGTCCAGGTGCTACAAGCCACGGCCGCTGCCAGCCCGCTGCTTCACTGGCCAATTTCTCTCTCTTATTTTCCCGCAGGGCGACGGGGGCCTTTGAGGGACCCGGCTGGGCTGGACCCCCACCCGCAACGCCCACACTCCGTCCAAGCGCGCCCCCCCGCAACCCGTCCCCACCCACTTCTCATCTCTACGGTTTGCAAAAGTCGGAATAAACCATCTCTCTCCCCCTTGTTGAGTCCGGCTCTGCAGGGTTGCTGTGCGGAGGGGGGGGCACATATTTTGGGAGGGAGGGGCTGGGCGGGGGACCCTGGAGAGAGGGATCGAGATCTGCTGCGCTGGGGGGGGGGGCGCTGCAAGGGGAGAAGATTCTCGCACACTTTGGGGCTGCAGCGCCGCGTTAAGCTGCGGAACTCCCTCCCGCAGGAAAGAGCGGTGGCTTCGAAAGAGGGCTCGACAGACCTGCGGAGACGGCAGGGGCTCTGGGCGGACTGGGCGGCTCAGCAGACTCTGCTGGCGTCCTCGTGGAGCCTCCAGGTGCAGAGGCAGTCCATTTAGAGTCCCAGGCCCGTCGGGGGTATCCGGCTACCGTGAGGACAGGATGCGGGGCTCGCTTTGCCCTCATCCGGCGGGGCTCGTCTTGCGTTTTTATGAGATCCTCAGGAAATGATTTGGATTTGATATCCCGCCTTTCACTCCCTTTAAGGAGTCTCAAAGCGGCCAACATTCTCCTTTCCCTTCCTCCCCCACAACAAACACTCTGTGAGGTGAGTGGGGCTGAGAGACTTCAGAGAAGTGGGACTAGACCAAGGTCACCCAGCAGCTGCAGGTGGAGGAGCGGAGACGCGAACCCGGTTCCCCAGATTACGAGACTATCGCTCTTAACCACTACACCACACTGGCTCTCAAGTGGCCTTTGGGGATAGAGTGCCTCTGAGAAGGGAGGTTCCATTCAGCCACAAGGGCCGGAGCATTGCTTGGCATTTCCTAGTTCTGCAGTCGTAAGAGGAGGAGGAAGAGGAGGGTGGACTGGAGGTGGTGGCAGAGGATGGACAGTGCCTTCAAAAGGCACTCCTCGTAGGCTCAGAGGCCCTTTGCTCATATACCTGGTGAACAGCTAGCGCGGAGGGGGCGGGAGATGAGTGAGCCATGTGGAGTAGTGGGTAGGGTCAGACCATGACTTGGGAGACCAGGGTACAAATCCCACCACCCCTGGGTTACCTTGAGGGGCTGGTCGCTGCCTCTCGCAGCCTATCCTACCTCGCAGGGATGGAATGAGAGAAGAAGGTGGACTGTCAAAGCAAACAAGCACTTTGCACGTACTCAGATGCCATTTTTATTGTTAATGCATTCTGGGACAAAGCCTGGGTTCAGAAGGAGGGTGTGTCAGTTGCTGATGGAGACCTGCTGGGACAGGAGTGGGAGAGGGAAGTATCATAGAATTGTAGAGTTGGAAGGGACCCCCGGGGTCATCTAGTCCAGCCCTCTGCAATGCCGGAATCTCGACTAAAGCATCCAGGACAGATGACCACCTCAAGGTCATCAATTCCAACTCCCTGCAAATCAGGAACCACTGCTAAAAAAACAAGGCACCCCCCCCGGCCATCAAGCCCGACCCCCTGCCCTCGGAAAGCCCCCCCTGAAGACTCCCCCGGGGTCTTTTGCCCCAGGCCCCTCCTGGATGTGTGGGGCGGCGGGGCGGCGGGGCGCGGGAGGGGCCCCTGCTCAGCGGCCGCAGCAGAAGAAGCGCACGTCGTTGAGGGCGGTGTCGTCCCTCAGGGCTCCGCGCACCGGGTCCTGCTTGGTCTGGATGCCGCACAGGCCCTTCCGGCAGGGCGGGCTCCACTCGCCGTACTCCCCCCAGCTCAGGCCGCGCCCCTCCAGGTGGGCGCCCCCGGAGCAGGCGAAGCGCGCGTTGGTGGCGCCCATGTCGTCGTGGAGGCCGCGCCGGGTCTGCTCCACCCGCAGCGAGAACCTCGTCAGGTAGGTGCCCTCGGGGCACCAGCTGGGCGGCGACCACTGGCCCCACCTGGGGGAGAAAAGGGGGCGGGAGAGAGAGAGTCAGGCCCGGCAGTGCTGCGCAGTGGTTGGAGCGCCGGACGAGGACGTGGCCGAGACTAGGCTTCGAATCCCCTCTCGCTGGGTGACATTGAGGGCGGGTTGTTAGAATCCTAGAATTGCGGCGTTGGGAGGGCCCTCGAGGGCCATCTAGTCCAGCCCCCTGCAAGGCACGCCGTGAGGTCACAAATGGTTGTGCTCTCTGGGGCGGATGGGAGATGCAGGTCCGAACAGGTGGAGTCACGCAATCATGGAATTGCGGAGTTGGGAGAGATCCCAAGGGTCATCCAGCCCAACCCTCGGCAATGCAGGAATCTCAGCTGCAGCATCTCCGGCCGGTGGCCATCCAAGGAAGGAGAGTCCGCCCCCTTTCATGTCGCAGGGATTAAATGAGGACTAGGATCTTGGAGAGGCCAGAGTTCGAATCCCCACTCGGTCACGAAGCTCACCAAGGGACCGCCACCACAACCCTGCGAGGTAGGCCAGGATGAGAGAAGGCAGTAACTGCCCCCCGGTCGCCCAGTAAGAGCTTCAGGACCGAGTGCGGGGATTCGAACCCAGACCCTAGCCCAGCAAAGTGCCCTGAGGAGCAGGGCGGCTGGGCAATCCTTTGGGTCGAGCGGGGGTGGGGGCGCAGGGGCCAGGCAGAGGGAGCCACTCACGGGCCGCTCTGGGACTCCACGGTGTGCGCTTCGTGCTTGTCGCCCCGGCCGCCCCGAGTGCAGAAGAGCCGGATGCCGTTCAGCGCCGTGTCGTCGTCCATCGGGCCCCGATAGGCTTCCACCTGGGGCGGCGAGGGAGAAGGGTGGTCGGCCAAAGGAGATGGAGGACCCCCCCCCCACACACACACAATGGGGGGAAAGGTTTCGGCGTGCGGGGCTTTTCAAGTTAGAGAAAAGGCGAAGGAGAGACGGGCATCCGCCTCTGTCTGGAGAGAGACAAGGGAGCGCACCTCGGCCCTCGCCAGGGCGCAAGTCTAGGCCGTGTGCCTGGAGGTCCTGGGCTTCCCAGACGACGAGACCCCCTCTCGGCCTCACTGAGGGGGTCCAAAGGAAAGCAGAGCAAGACGTTTGGCACCGGCTTGGCTGCGGGAGCTGCCGGAAGGAGGCGGACGAGGCGCCATTCAAGCATCTCGGGGACTCCACTCTGGAATTACGCAGGCAGCGCAACGCGCTATAGCAAACCTGCTGCTTAGGGAAGTTATTAACATTTGATGTTTTCTCGTGCTTCTAATATTCTCTTGGGAGCCGCCCAGAGTGGCTGGGGAAACCCAGACAGATGGGCGGGGTTTAAGTAATAAATTCTTATTATATTATTATCAATGTATAAAATCATTTCGACCTGGAGAAAACATCTAGAGATAAGTCACCTCCCTCTCTCAGGACACAGGGAGGGCATCCAGGGAAACATGAATGTTGGGAGATTCAGGGCAGGTGAAAGGAAGGGCGTCGCAGTTAAACTGTGGAACTCCCTGCCACAGGAGGCTGTGAGGGCCACCAACCTAGAGGGGACAAATTCACGAAGAGAGGGATATGGATGGTAACTAGCCATGACAGTCATGCTCTGCTTCTCTGAACACCAGTTGCTGGAAGCCACCCTTTGATATGCAAGACAATCTTACTCTGCTAAGAGTGATCGCCAAAGAAGCAGAAGAAGCTGAAGGAGGGGAGGGAGTCTTGTGTGCGAATCCTGCTTGCTGGCTTCCCACTGGGAGAGTCACCGCTCCCTCTCAAGCAGCAGCATCACAAAACATCTTGGAAATGGAGGGGGGTTCTTCCCCCCTTATCAAGCTGTATAAAAGTGTTAATAAATGGAGGGGGGAAATGAATTCATTCCATTTTTGCTGTTTGGTCACCAGGGGAGCAGGGAGGCTGTCAGGAAGAAAGGCGCTTTGTACATGCTCAGGAGCACTGCCCAAATTCCACTCCTCCATAGGGGCGGATCTACTATGAAACTAACAAAGCTCCATCTTCAGGGCCCCAATCCCAGAGGAGCCCCAGAAGTGACCTCATTTCACATTGCTTTAAAAAAATGGGTCTAGTAGACCCAATTGGAGCTGCGTGACTCAAATTGATTACTGTTTGTTCATATATTTCAACAATCTCCAAGTCCGAGAGTCAGTAGCCCAGATGCTGTGAAGGCTGGAAACAACCCCCTTCAAGATGATGGCGGTGGGGACACAGACCTCGTTGCTGGTTGTGAAGGGGCCCCCATGGCAGTTCAGGCTTCAGGGCACCCCAATGTAGGTCCGCCCCTGCTCCTTCGTGCACCTCTGGGCTCAGCTGGGATGGCCCCCTGTTTGGGAGAGCCAGACCAGGCACAAAGGAGGGGTGGGGCTTTTATTTTGGGTGGGGAGGGGGTGTTACCTTGAGGCTGAATCCCGTGGCGTAGGTCTCCTCCGGGCACATCTCCTGCCAGGCCCAGGCGCCCCAGAGGCCTCCGTTGGACACCCCAATTTCAGGCTTGAATTCCAGGACCTCTTTGGCCTCCGTCGCCATGGCTGCGGCCAGCAAGACGGCCACCAGGCCTGTGCGCCCCACTGGCCACATTGCAATGCTCAGGAGGTGCCTGTTGGCGGGTAGAGGTGCCCCTTGGGTTTTTATCCCCTGGGCTGTGGCTGTGGGGTGGGCCTCCTCCTTGCCCAGCGATTGGCTCCACCGGGGGGTGGAGGGCGTAGGCCGGGTGGCGGCGGCTTGTTCTGAGGCCCCCACGGGTGCTGCCGCAGCAGGAGGACCGGTCCATCCAGTTCGGATTATCTCAGGACAAAAGGGGAAACCAGAACTCTGGTGGAAGGAAGCCACCTGAGAAAGGGCAATTTGTGGCCTCCTTTCTCAGCCCCTCTCTCCTCCTTCGTTTTTTACTGTTGGCCTTTGATTCTGGTTTCATCCTCAGAGAGGCTCAAAGTGGCCAGCAAGTTCCTTCCATTTTATCCTCGCAACAACAACCCTGCGAGGGAGGGGAAGGGAGTGGAACTAACTGGCTGAGCTGGGATGTGGCGGCGGCAAAGAAATGCGGATTTCATGCCAGTGATCGTGAGGGAAGGCGTTGGAAATAAAACTGTCCATATCGTAATGCCGTTATACAAATCTGTGGCACAACCAGCTTTGAGTACTGTGTGACGTTCTGGTCGCCTCATCTGGAAAAGGATATTGCAGAGCTGGAGAAGGTCCAGAAAAGAGGCAGTGCAATGATCCAGGGAATGGGGGGCTCCCCAGGAGGAAAGTCATGCAGCATTTAGGACTTTTTAGTTTAGAGGAGGAATGGTGAGAGGATGATAGAATACTGTAAGATTACGCCTGGCGCGGAGAAAGTGGATGGAGAGAAGTTTTCCTCCCTCTCTCCTGACACTAGAACTCAGGAGCGAAGCTGAATGCTGGAAGATTCAGGGCAGATAAAACAAAGTCCTCCTTCATGTGGCACAGAGTTAATCTATGGAACTCCCTCCCACAGGAGGCAATCGTGGCCACCAACTTGGATGGCTTCAGAAGAGGGCCAGCCCATTTCACCTCGGAGGAGAGGGCCTTTGGTGGCTGCTGGCCAGGGCGGCTCTGCTCTGCCTCCCCAGTCAGAAGCTGCAGGTCTTCACAAGCAGCCACGGGAGGGGAGAGCGTTGCTCTTGTGCTCGGATCCTGCTTGCAGGCTTGCATAAGGGGCCTCTGGTTGGCCACCGTGAGAACACGATGCTGGACTGATCCTGCAGAGCAGTTCTCATGTCCTGGCCAGGCCTCATCCAGCAAGCTGTTCTGATGTTCTTACGCTCTCGCGTTCTCCTGTCCTCTCCCCTTTATAAAGATCTGAGGAAGGAGATCATCACCCCACTCCTACTCACCATCCCAGGCCGCCCATCTGAGGCCACATCGTTCTTTCTTTTATTAGATCAAAATGATCAGACAACAGCAAAGGTTGCTGGGTTTATCGAGGGTGCAGTGAGATTAAGAGCCACTATCTGAACGTTAATCTTGGTCATTTGACTGCCCTTTTCACCCACTGCTGTCTTTTTATTTGTATATATTGCTTGTTTTATGCTGCCAGGGCCATTGGCTAATGCGAATAAAGTTTTATCTATCTTACGCTCTTCCCACTTTTCATCCAATCCTTGCAACAACAGCCCTGCAAGGAAGGGGAAGTTAACAGATCGCAACTGGCTGAGCGGAGATTTGTCCCAGCATGGTAGGCTACCCAGCCTGGCTCTTAGCTGAGCTGGATTGGGACCAGGCCACGAAAGAAGTGCCCTGAAATCGAACTCTTCACCCTGAAAGCTTTGTCTCACCTCCCAAACCAATGCATTCAGTTACCCAGTATGGAGGTGAAGGGGGAAGACTTCGAAGGGCAGGATCCCGTGGCGAGAGAGACACAGCCCCGCCCCTTCCAATGTTATGCAACCGTCTAAGATTACCCAGTAATCTTATAATTGCACAGAAATAATAGTCAGGGACGCGCTGCAACGTTCAGCACAGATCTCGGCTAGATCTGTTGTTTTCTGTGCACGTAAAACAGGCAAACAATCCAAACGGAAACCCACAGCCCTCTCCTCCGCCAGGAACATGCACAACCCCCTTTAAAGGCCCCACAGGTAGGCAACCATCGCTGTTTCCTGTGGGAGGGAGTTCCACAGTTTAACTATGACCCGCCTCCTTTTATCTGTCCTGAATCTTCCAACATTCAGCTTCATACTGTTATAAGAAAAAACAGCTCCTTTTTCCCTTATGGGGTATCCAAGAGCCTGCATAGAGTCCTTGTGTAGGTTCTCTATCGGTAGGAGAAAATGATAGAGGCCAAGCAGAGAATATTGAGAAGCAAAGCGGCTAGTAAGTCTGATCTTTATTAAACTGTTGCAACAGGGTGCTCACAGCCACACGCAGGAGGGACCCCGAACAATGGTGTGCAAGCTCTTATATAGACTTTTGAGATTGCCTCCCCTGTAGCTCACGACCACCCCTCAAAACATCATCCATACATCACAGAAAGAGGTGGTCCTCAGCAGAAATTTGAGTGTGTTGCTTCTCTCCTGTCTGCCAGGATACCTGATCATGCCTTATCAATTGCCTTTTCTGGGTAGCCTGGCCATCTCAGCTGCTGAAATCCCCAGCCCTTTACTTCCTCTGGGCTCCCTGAGTCAACAACCTGCATATTTCCCCTTATCAAGGGATAATCCCTTTGGCTGCCTGGCAGCATTTATCGGCTCACTTCCTCCCTCTTATCCCAGCCCAGTGGGGAAGGCCCTCTGCCTTCATTCCGGATGAGGTGATGCACGGGCAGAGAGAACCTGGGAAAAAGAAGGAGGAGGCTGCAGGCTGCATCTGACAGCCCAGCCCACCTTCCACAAGAACAGAAGATGAGGCCGGTCTAGTCCAACCTCCTGTTCTCACAGTGGCCAAGTAACCCTAAGAACCTAGGAGGAGAGATAGACTGCCTCAGGCCCTGGAGGTTCCATAAGAACAGAGGAAGAGCCTGGCTGCTGGATCAGACCAAAGTGGCTCATCTCGTCCGCCATCCTGTTCTCACAGTGGTCTCAAAGGGAAAGCAGCAAGCAGGATCTGAGTACAGGAGGAACTCTCCACTCCTTGGTTTCCGGCAACTGGGATTCAGAAGCATTTCCTGCCTCCGACTGGGGAGGGCAGAACAGAGCCATCCTGGCTGGTAGCCACTGATACCGTCCTCCTCCTCCACGGATTTGTCTAATCCTTCTTAAAAAGCCAGGCAGGTCCTGTGGGAGGGAGTTCCACAGTTTAACTATGAACTTTCTTTCATCTGTCCTGAATCTTCCAAACTTCAGCTTCATGGGCAGTTCATAAGTTCTGGTGTTATGAGAGAGAGAGGAAAACTTTTTGCTAACCACTTTCCCATATCTATCATCTATCTATCTATCTATCTATCTATCTATCTATCTATCTATCATCTATCTCTATCTATCTATCATCTATCTATCTCTGTTTTACAATTTACAATACTCATTTAAACATCCTTAAAATATATTTAAAAAATAAACACACACACACACACACACACACACACACACACACACACATATGGGATGCAGGTGGCACTGTGGTCTAAACCACAGAGCCTAGGATTTGCTGATCAGAAGGTTGGCGGTTCGAATCCCCGTGACAGGGTGAGCTCCCATTGCTTGGTCCCTGCTCCTGCCAACTTAGCAGTTCGAAAGCATGTCATACCTTTACCTTTAAAATATCAGTCTTCCCTTCCTCTCTTTCCATGGTTCATTTTGCATATCATAAATCCCTGCATATTTTAGGTAAACTAAACCATTCCGCATTCCATTATTACATCCATCCAAACTTCTTTACACTGTTGAATTTATCTGCCAACATTTTCAAGTGCACACAATTCCCCCCATATATTCAATAAACATTTTCCAATCTTCTCTAAACGTATGTTCTTCTTGTTCTCTAATTCTATATGTCAAGTCCGCAAGCTGTGCATATTTGCTAACCACTTTTGTCCTGCCAGGCATCATTTTACAAACTTCTATCGTGGCGCCTCTTACTTGCTTTTCCCAAACTCTGCGGCTGTTTCTGACAGAAGTCGCTCCCCCGGTCATTTGGGTGGCCCTTTCTGAACCTTCCCCAGCTATACAAGTGTCCTTTTTGAGGTGAGGTGACCAGAGATGTCCACAGCATCCCAAGTACAGTCACACCACGGATTTGTATCACAGCAGTTTGATTTTCCCAACGATCCTTTATAATGGGAGGTGCCTTTCTCGCCCCCCCCAAACATTGGGTCAGCAGCTCTTCCTGTTCAGACACCAGGAGTCTGTATGCGAAACATGCAAGGTTTTAAGGCGGCCTTTTTGCTTGCCTCATGTTCCCTCTCATTGTTTTCTTATAACGTGAAGTCGTCTGCCTAACAGCCTGTTCCCGTCTCTTCCAGGGCTGGAGTTTGTTGTTTTGCCCAGAATTTGGCAGACACAATTCTTGCTGCACCGCCCAGTGTCTTTGCACCGCCTGCTCCCTGAGTCTGGGCCTGCTGGGTCCTGGGTCTTTTGTGAATCCTGCTTTGTGACTCCCCCGGCACCTATCCTGACCACGAAGAGGACGGCAACTGGGGATGGATGGAAACTCGAGAGCCTGGACTTTAAAAACACACACCTCCCAATGGCCTCCCTTTAGGCAGCCAGACAAAAGACTTCTGCCCACAAGAAGTCATATTCATGGAGGAGAAAGCTATGAGCACTGCCCTGCGCAGCTGGAGGCAGCAAATGCTCCTGAATCCCAGTTCCTGGAAGCTGCCGGAAGGGAGAGTTGTTCTTGTGCTCAGGTGCAGCTTGCTGGTTTCCCATAAGGGGCATCTGGTTGGCCACTGCAAGGCCAGGAGGCGGGACTAGGTGGGCCACTGGCCATCAGGGTCTTCTTATGGAACCTCCCTGGGGCAGACCACTCTACCTCTGCTCCTGTGGAATGCCCTACCATCAGATGTAAGACAGAGAGATAACTACAGTGGTACCTTGGGTTAAGTACTTAATTCGTTCTGGAGGTCTATTCTTAACCTGAAACTGTTCTTAACCTGAAGCACCACTTTAGCTAATGGGGCCTCCTGCTGCCGCCACTGCACGATTTCTGTTCTCATCCTGAAGCAAAGTTCTTAACCCGAGGTACTATTTCTGGGTTAGTGGAGTCTGTAACCTGAAGCGTATGTAACCCAAGGTACCACTGTATCTGACTTTAGGAAGACATCTGAAGGCAGCCCTGTACAGGGGAGCTTTTAATGGTTGATGTTTTATTGTGTTTTTAATATGTCGTTGGGAGGCGCCCAGAGCGGCTGGGGAAACCCAGTCAGATGGGCCACATATAAAGAATAAAACCGTCATCATTGTTGGAGTTGTTTGGTCCCTGTGGGAACAGGATGCTGGGCCAGGTGAGCCATCGGCCTGATCCAGCAGGTTCTCCTTATGTCCTTAGTTGTGGAGCCACAGCACTCGGGTTTTTTTCCTACGCTGCTTTTGCCTTATGCCTGCTTCCCCTTTTATTCCCAATAAAACTCCTTAATTTGACTGCTGAAGTGTGTTTGGTTGCCAGTCTCTGGGTTTTAGGGTCCCCACATGCCCAGACACTGGACATTTGGGCTACTGGGAGTTTAGGATCAGACCAGCACACCTTTCTGAGGTATTGGGGGGTGGGGGAGAGAGAGAGGTTCAGGTGGAGCTGAGCGGTGCTGGGGCTCAGGAGCTTTCAAAACGAAACATCCCCCGTCCCCTCAATGCCTCCTCGATCCCAGGGAAGCTCCCTGCTGGCCGATCGGATCCCCCTGGCAGAAACTTTCCAAGGGCTCTTTCTGGACAGCTGCTTTGCTCACAGGTAGAAAACCTTTGGACATGGAGGCTCAGCTCTGCTCTCCGGGATTCTGCTAGTGGACAGACCTCTTCTCTGCCACATTTTCCAAACTCTATCTGCTGCTAGGGAGCCCAAGGGTGGCAAGCTTACTGAGCAAGGAGACGAACTGGAAACGCAATAAGTCAGAGGAACGACTCCATGATCCTGCGGAGGAAGCCCACCTGGTGCTCTGTGGACACTGATGGACCGCGGCTCCTGCAGATACGGTGACTGGGGGTGGTGGGAGCAGCAGCCCAACGAGGTCTTGAGGGACTGTTTAGGAACCATAAGAAGCTAAGCAGAGCTCTGCAGCCGCTGGATCAGGCCAAGTGGTCCAGCATCTTCTCCTTCTGGTGCCCCAATGGGAGAGAGCCCACAAGCAAGACTCGGGTGCAGGAGCACTGCTTTTCCCACTTCTGACCACCAGCAGCTGGTATCCAAAGGCCTGCCTCTTGCTGTTACAAATGCCCTTCTCCATTTCAATGTCCAGAGCAGTGGCTTGTTGACATCCTCCCGGGGCCCCAAGGACGGGTCTGGCAGGCCTTGTTCTCTTGGGTTCAGCAGGAGGACAAACGCTTTCCTCGCACGCTCAGCTCCAGCGCTTTCAAGGCTGGAAATTCCCTCTGAGGCAATTGTTACAGGAAGAGGCTTATTTATTGGTTTTGCTGGCTGCTTCCTGCCACGGCATCTGCGCAGAAGAGGAGCACCTCGGAGCAAGGCAGCCTCAGCCGCTGGCATCGCCAACACCCAGGAGCCTCTCTGGGCCAGTGCCTGCATCAGCCCAGCGTGTGTCTGCATTTCTGCCAAGGGTGAGTGTCCCCCGGGGTTTGGTTCTCTGAGAATCCCACCAGAATGGCCGTGGATCCAAACAGGAAATCTGGCTCATCGTACCTCAGGCATCACAACGGTGCCCACAGAATGCCATGGAGGCATAGCCCTGGCTAAAGGCTAGATGGCTCTTGGGGTTCCTTGCAAGTCCACAATTCTTGGCTTCCACAATATTATCCTCTTGATCCTACCTATAGGGCAGAGCCACACCATACATATTGGGCTGATATGAAGGGCATTCTTCAGGGCATTTTGTTAAAAGCTGAGGTTTTAGCTTGTGTTTGCCATTGTGAGCACTGAGCCAGCAAGCAAATCCCTTGTGCGTAATGGAGAGCAAGACAGTTTAGGCAGTGCCAGCCTGATGTATCTTGCAGGGAATCATTCGGCTGAATTTGGGTGAATTCTCATAAGCTCACTTCCCAGAGCCAGTGGGCTGCAGTGGTTAAAGCTTTGGAATAGGACCCAGGTGAGACTTTGGTTCAAATTCTCACTCAGCCGTGAAGCTCACTGGGTATAATCTTAGGCCAGTTATTGCCCATCAGCCTAACATACCTCACCACAAGTTTCAAATGTTTGTGGAAACAGTCTTAAAATAGTGTTATGCGTTTGGGACGGAAGTAGGCTGTTTGTGAGCTCCTTCTAACCTTTGGATCCAGCAAGTGTTGAAATATAAGGCCCCTCCCTCAACTCAGAAGGTAGTAAGAAGGTTTGATCAGAGCTGAAGGTGGAAGTGATGTGACCTAGAGGTCAAGCAGCAAGCAACAATTGAGAGAAATGTTGGATTTCTGTTTGAATTCATGGCTGTGGCTATGGAGGAAAATACCTTTTGTAAACGGGGGGGGGGGGATGCTATGAGTCCCTCCATCATAGGCTCAGGTTGTTTGTTGTTGACATCTGTCTGTCTCAAGAGACAACAGAGTGCAGTGCACCTCTGGGGGTGAAGTACAACCAGAGCATTAGCAGCACTGAAGGGACCTCCCCGGGGCACAGGTCTGGGCAGTGTGTCTGGAGGTCCTGGGCTGCCCAGATGTCAAGACCCCCCTCTCAGCCTCACCGATGGGCTCCAAAGGAAAGCAGAGCAGTATGTTTGGCACCAGCTTGCTTGCAGGAGTTGCCAGAATGAGGCATTTGGGGCACTATCCAACCATCTTGGGGACTCCATCGGGATTTGTGGAGGATTTACTCCTTAGCCTTGTCTTCTCCCAGAGATATCCCTCAAGGCAGCAGAGGTTTAAGATCAGTTTTCCTTCTCCCAGATGGCACACCTAACCAGGTGGTTAAGCCCCATCTGCCCCTTCAGGTTGTATATATGTGTAAGTAAACCATATATCATAAAGACACCACAGTCTCCGCTGCGCCTCATTTCCAAAGGAAACATGAACCCTGGGTAAGCACCAGAACCCATGGAGTCTCACAGCACGCGGAGATTGGAGTGGTGTGCAACCAGAGTTACCAATAAATGTTGCAATATACAAAGTAACACATTGCTCTGCGTGTCCCTCCAGGTGCATCTTGCTGTCACCTGTACTGATTGGAAGAGGCCAAGATGTCGACTGGCTTTCTCACGCTGAACGAGCAAAAGGTCCCTGCAGAGATCTCAGACAAGAATGTCATCAACATCACCATCAACCAGGAGTCTTCTCTCTCTTACCTGTTCAAGGCTGTGGGGCAGTGCTGGGCAAGGCAGCAGGAGCCCACACAGAAGACCCAGCAGTCTCCAGCCTCTGCCCCCACAACAGCCCGCCATTTCTCGCTCCATTGCAATGGGGAGCAGAAAGTTTTGGGGGTAAGTGTGTGTGTGTGTGTGTGTGTGTGTGTGTGTGTGTACTAACTGGCTACACAATCTGATGGACACTCACCAAGGAGCAGGGCCATTAAATGAAGGGGCTCACTTCCAAGGAAGCATGTGCAGGATTGGGCCACATGCCCTGAAGGCCAATCCCACAAGAACAGAATTCAGGACAAGCAATTGTGTTTGCAGAATGTAAAGGTTGGAGAAAGTTTAAAGGGTTTGCCTTAAGCTGAGTTCCCTGAAGGAGCGCCAATAGACACAGGCTTTAAGTGAGGAATTAGGCTTTTAAGGGACGCAGGTGGCGCTGTGGGTTAAACCACAGAGCCTAAGACTTGCCAGTCAGAAGGTCGGCGGTTCGAATCCCCACGACGGGGTGAGCTCCCATTGCTCGGTCCCTGCTCCTGCCAACCTAGCAGTTTGAAAGCACGTCCAAGTGCAAGTAGATAAATAGGTACCACTCCGGTGGGAAGGTAAACGGTGTTTCCGTGCGCTGCTCTGGTTCGCCAGAAGTGGCTTAGTCATGCTGGCCACATGACCCGGAAGCTGTACGCTGGCTCCCCGGCCAATAAAGCGAGATGAGCACTGCAACCCCAGAGTCGACTGTGACTGGTCCTAATGGTCAGGGGTCCCTTTATCTTTACCTATGTGGGGTCAGCTTCCCAGAATATCAGAGAGGCTACCTTTGATGATGCCCGTCCAACTACACAGTCAATGAAGACCTGACCAGACAACTGCAGCAATGCTTTCCCATCGCGGCTGCACAGTTACAACATGTTGTCATTCTTAAACCACTCAGAGACCCTTTGTTTCTTCTGACTGGCCCACCCCAACCTCCTCACTGTAATAACATCTACAAATACACAGCCATCTTCGAGTGTCTTTCCTCACTGTCTTCTGAGCAACTGCTCCTCATATTAGTCATCTCCCAATGTTTGCTTTCAGTTCTCTCTGTCGATCCTTTTGTTCCCTTCTTGACCTGAGACTTAGTGCAATCACGATGCCTGGCTGATTGCCTAGTGCTTCGCTCTCCATCTCCACATCTACTCGCATTTCATTCCTTTTCATTGCTCTAAGAACTATAAGAGAACAAGGCTTGCACACACTTCTGCCTCTTCTATCAGGAAAGTGCATACACAGATTTCAGACTGCAAAGCTCTAACTGCGCAAAATGGATTCAGAGATGGAATAAATGGGGAGATTCTCCTACATAAGTGGGTTTGCAGGAGGAGGTGGGAGTGAAAAGATGCAGCAATGATGTCTGAGCACTGCAGTTCCCCCCCCCTTTTCCTTCATCCCAGGTGTGCTGAGATAGGGGTGGAGCCATGGGGGGGTGTGTCTCAGTCTCAGTCAGTTTTATTGCACATAGCCAAAGGCTACCGCAATGTACACAGAATTATTTGACAATTAAAAGAAAATATACTGAATTGGTAAAAAAAGACTTAAAACATTTATATTATTAAAACATTACATACTCTAAACAAAGCTATAAAAGTACCCCAATGTACAAATAAAAACATTAAACAATAAAATTCATAAGCTAAAATCATCACATGGTCACTAATGTTAAGAACAATATCAATTAATACAGTGTGCAATTTATACTCAGAGTTTGGTGACAAAGATAGAGCATAGCCTGAGGTAGATAGATAGGATCAAATAAATTCATCTCCTTTACAGTTAATGGCTACCTTGGCTATATAATTTGCTCTAATTTTCCTAGCAGCAGTTGCAAAAGTGCTACCCGCCAGGTCACATACTTATCTGTGTCTGCAAGGAGATATAACATCATATCAAGGGGGTTCTGGCCAGGGGACCCTGTTATTATAGGTACCAAAATCTTTTTCTTGCATCATTATATAACGGACAGTGCAAGATATAATGCATAAGGTCCTCTACTTCAGAACATGCCCTAATGCAAACACGTTCGTTTTTTTGGTATGCCTCTATGTCTCCCATCTCTATAAGCAGAGCTTATTGTATTTAGTCGTAGCTCTGTAAAAGCTTTTCGAAGCTGTGCAAAAGTCAATTCATTAAAATAAGATATGTGTTCATTGACCTCTCTAAGTTTAAAATACAATGGGGCGCATGTAGATGTGCACGTAGAGTTTAGATCGTTTTTAGTTGCCACTGCCCTTATGGTTCGTTTAAAAATATTTTTCTGTGAATATAAGGGGAGTTCTTTAATCTCAGTCACTGAGAGGTCATATTTGCCCATCAGTTGGGCAGCATGATGTACCCAGTTTTTAAAGGGTAATCCATTTGAGAGCTCAATCAGGCATTTTTTTGGTAGCCTAGTGTTGTCCATCTGTTGAACTCTAAACCAGTAACAGAGAATTCTTTTATCTATTTGGCTCTCTATGCTCAACATGTGAGTTTCCAACCTGACCATGGCAGATTGCACATCTTTGGGTAAACCTAAAAGAACTCTTAAAAAATAATTCTGTGGGGGTTCCAGACCGGAGACCTTTGAGGTACCCCAAACCTCTGCACCATATAAAATCTGGGCCATTGTTTTTGCTTTATACACAGATAGAGCTGGGTTGACCAGATTTCCACCTTTACATGCAGCGAATTTCAGAATGGCTTTTGCTGATTTAAAGGCTTGCAATTTAATATTGGATAGCTGTGTATTCCAAGAGGCCGTTTCTGAATAAATCAATCCCAGATATTTAAACGTATTTACTTGGTTTATGATGTGTTCATCCAGGTGCCAAACATGCTTTTTAGAACGCTTTCCAAATACAATGACCTGTGTCTTATCATAGTTTATAGATAAAGCATTCCTCGTGCAATATGAACTTAATTTTGCAAGCAGCCGTCTCAGGCCCACCTGGGTTCTAGATACAAGTACTAGGTCATCAGCATACATTAAAACTGAGAGTTTTTGGTCGAGAATTGTGACAGGGGCAAACTGTAGGCCCTCCAGTTCTTTAACCATGTCATTAATATAAAAATTGAACAGGAAAGGTGCCAAAATGCATCCCTGTTTGACTCCAGTAGTGGTCTTAATTCTAGTGGTGAGATGGCCAGCCAGATCCACCTTTACTTGTATTGATGTGTCAGTATATAATGTTTTGATGAGAAATAATAGACGGAGGTCTATATTTGTCTTTTCCAATTTTGCCACAATGCGTGTCTTGGGACCGTATCAAAAGCTGACTTTAGATCGATAAAAGCAACATATAATTTTTGCTTCAAATTATGGATGTATTTACATAGCAGAAAGTTCAGCACAAAGCACTGGTCCAATGTGGATTTCCCTCTTTGGAAACCTGCCTGGACTTCAGATATCACCTTATTTGTATCTGCCCATTCTTCTAGTCTCCCAAGAAGGAGCCTGGCATATAGTTTGGAGGCTACATCTAACAAACTAATGGGTCTATAATTGGCAGGGTTTTTCTTATCGCCCTTTTTATATATTGGGGCAATTATACTCAACTTCCACCCTTCAGGTATATGACCTGAGCTGTTAATGTATGAAAACAATTTTGCAAAAATGGGTGACCAGAAATCAGGTCTTATCTTATAGATCTCCATTGGGATCATGTCTTCTCCTGGAGCTTTATTAGCTAGTTGGCTTGCGATTAGCCTCTTAATCTGATTGGGCGTGACGTCTGGCCATTCTGGCAGTTCTGATAACTGAGTATAGTAAACTTGTGGGGGTAGGTCAGGACAGGGGCGATATATTTCTGTAAAATATGTCACCCAATCCTTTCCTTGGACAGATGCTTCTAACGAGTAGCCCAGCCCATTGGTGCCTTGGGCAACCAGATGCCAAAATTTCCGTGAGTCCTTCTGAAGTGCTGCATCTCCCAATTCTTTCCACTGTTGTTCATAATATATTTGTTTCTTGCTTTTAAGTAATAATTTATAGTTGTTTCGTAACTGGGCTACCTCAGCTTGTAGGGCAAGATTGTGCTTATCCTGTTTTAACTTCAATTTTCTAAGTACCCTAGCTAGGCATTTTTGCTATTCTGACATTCCTTATCAAACCAAGTCTGTCTCTTAAACTTTTTGTTTTTTATCACACTAGCTGTGGTCATCAGTGGGCGCATTCGGTTGATTATGTTCTCATAAAGTCCAATTACGTTTCCTGTTTCTAACAACATTTCCCCCTTTAATAGAGCAAATTCATGGGAATCCAGGATCTGAATCATTTTTTCTTGGACCTGTGCATTCCATTTTAACCTTCTATTTCCAAGTATCAGATATTCTGTTTCATCCAATAATTTAGGAAAGGCAGGAGAAAAGAATAATGTCAGAGATAACTCAAGTGGAAAGTGGTCACTTTCAGCTCTGGGAATTATCCTGAAGGTTTCTCGGTTAACTGGCACATTATTAGATGTTAGGATATAATCTATGGTGCTAGTAAATCCTCTGGGGGAGATAAAAGTAAAATAACCCTCTTGATCCCCTTGACCATGCCCATTGCATAACAAAAGGTTATGCTTTATTATAAGTTCACAAAGATGTTTCCCAGCGCGATTAGGGGTGGTGTCCATTGCTGCCCTCTGACAGATTTCAGGTTCGTCCTCCAAGTTTAGACCAGATAATATTGTATTTTGTGGGGAAACAAGGCCGATCCGGGCATTGAAGTCACCTCCCAAGATAAACCGAGGGTTAGGTGACAGAGAGTCTATACTTTCGAGTAGTTGGTCAAGTTTATCCCAATATGATCTCAGTTCCCCACAAGACTTTACTGGAGGTATATACACACATATGCAATAAGTATTTCTCAGGAGACTATCAGAAAGGGACAACACTAAATAATTAGGGGTGGTCAACGAGGGACACTGTTGAATTGATACATTAAGAGAGGTTGACACCAGCACCGCCAGCCCCCCACTAGGCCTTCCATACTTTACAGTTTTAAGAGCTGGTTGAGTGTAACTTGTAAAACCCTGCAATTCAACCATAGTGCCCTCTTTTGCCCAGGTTTCTTGAAGAAAGATGATATCATGTGTTTGTAGATAAGAACAGAAATCACTGTCTTGGATCTTATTTGTCCACCCTGTTACATTCCATGAGAGAAGTTTAATTGTTTTATGATGATTTACTCTTAGTCAATTGTTGGCCGATGTGCTCTCGGAGTTTACCAGTTTTTGAGGCAACAGGTTATTGCTAATGTTAGTGGAATAATCCAGATGTTCGATTATTTCAGTCGTCGTACATAAAGTGCTCACATTTGTAATCACTGGGCCTTTTCTTTGCAAATTGTTTGCCAATGGGGATTTCTTGGGTGTATTTCCTGACTCCTTCTAAATATCTCATCTTTGTCCAATACTCCGGTGGTTCTATAGTTATCATTCTGTTGTGGCCATTGGATCTATTATCAGTCTCTGCCTCCGGTTCTTTAATCTCTTTCAATGTCTGGCTCATAAGATCAAGCCTCTTGATAACTGTTTGTTGCTCTTCCTGAGGGAGATTCCTAAAGGAGCTGAGAAAGTCCTCTTCCAAAGGATTTACAGAGTGCTCAGATTCCTGAAGATGATTGTCTAGAGGAATCGGCTGTTCCTTTTGGCTCACCTGGTTATTTTGATGTTGGGCATGATCCTGCGAATTCAACTCAGGCATGTCTGTTTCCTCCCCACCTGCCAAGTTTTTTTGTGATGTCATTACTTCCATTGGGGGTCCAGGCTTTGGTTTTGTGAGCCCCTCTGAAGCAGCAGCCCTCATCTTACATAAGGGTGCAACAATAGAATTGCGAAATACCCGGGTTGGAAAAACTCCTCTGCTTGACAATCTGAATTTCAGCTTGTGAATCAGTGAGGGCAGTCTAGTAGAGGAAAAAGTTAACATAATTTTTTGGCTTTGATTTGTGATACTCAAGAGTTCAGTCTTAACGAGGTCGATCTCTGTAAGTCCAATGCCAAGTAAGTCTGATAAATGTCGTTTGGAACGCTGGTGTCAGAGCTGGCTCCAGGTCCCAGCTCACAGAGGACCAACGCTAGCCGGCAGTAATGTGCAAAAGTCTTTATTGAAGTACAGTTTCCATTTTCAAGCCGGAGCGCCCCAGCTCTACGTCTAGGGGTTAGATCGGCGAAGCTCCATCTGAGTCTCCGCCCCTGTACACCAGTTTAAGATTCTAGCCTTACTCCACCTCTTACGCCTCTCCTTTCTCCTCTGGGTCCTGCTACCCCCCGGGGTCCCTTCCTTCCTGGATTCTTCTGACGCTGACCCTCCTGACTCCTCCCCCTCTTGTCGGCGGGCTTTGGGACCTGGCTCCCTATCCGGGCTGCCAACGGCGCCGCCCTCCTGTACAGTCGCCCGTGGCGCGCGCGCCCAGCCTTCAACCTTCCTCTCGACCGTTTCCTCGCTCCCCGATGGAGGCGTGGCCAATCCTGACTCATGTCCTCCCACTGGCAGTGCGCCGCCTGATCCCGATGCCTGGGACTCCTCCCCCCCTACTGCACTCTGGTGTGGACGCTGGTCCTGATTTCCAACTGCTGCTCTCTGAGTCCCCTCTGGCCCCTTCTTCCTGGGGTGTCCCCTCGGCACCCCCCTTGCTCTGACCAAGGGAGCCCCTTTCTGTGAATCTTCCGATTCGCTGGAAAGACTCAGAGACCTCGGACCGCTGTCATCGCTAACATTTCCTTCGGACTCCTCCCCCCTCGCTCTCTATTTCCTCCCTTTCCTGTGCCTCTGCTCCTGAACCCCTGACATCCATCCCCCCCTCGAAGCCCCCCCCTTCCCCCCTCCCCTCCTTCAGGTGTGGGTACTGGGTGCTCCGTCGTTGTGGGGGTGAGTGCCGGATAATGTTGGCCCCCCGTGGCGTGCATCCAGCGGGATAAGTCCGGCTCGTCCTCCGTGCTCTCGCCGACCTCAATTTCCTCTGCTTCCATCTCTTTGCCGCCGTGCTCGAACCCAAGGTCCTCCCCCAACACGTCCATGTCCGTCTCTCCCCCGGTCTCCTCCGGGGACGTTGCCTGCCAAGGACCCCCCAACCACTTCCTGCGCCACTGCTCCTCTGGTTGATTGTCCCACCAATAGGAACGGTCTGAGGCAGACCCCGAGGGTGATCCCTCCGGGGAACGTGTTTCTAGTGCCGGTTCCTCGTCCGAGGTGAACCCCTGGAATGTGCTAGCTGAAAATGTGGGTGTGAAAAGCCAGTCGTCGAAATACTCGGCTGGCATGGGCCTGTGTGGGAAAAGGGCATGGAACTCGTCCTTAAGCCAAGATTCCTCCAGAGCATAATCTGGCACCCAACTGTTGGCGCTAGCCGGGGTACCTTCCTTGGCGAGGAGGTATTCCACTCCCTCCTCCCCCCATCTCGAGTCTAAAATCTCTGTGACTTCGTTGACGGGTTCCCGCCTTGGCGACCCCCTTGTGGGCGTTTCCCTGAACGGGTCTGGTGCCGTTCCTGGCTCCTGAAATCTATGAGGTGCTTTGTAGGGCGTGAGCACTGATCTATGGAAAACTGGGTGCATTCTGGATCCCTCCGGCAGTGTCAACCGGAAGGCCACTGGATTGACCTGTGCCTCGACTTGGTAGGGTCCTAGCTGCTTATGCCCTAGCTTCTTCTTCGCTAACGATCTGGCCGGCACTGCCTGGGCTGCTAACCAAACCCAGTCTCCCACCTGTATGTCTTCCCCAACCCTTCTGTGCTTGTCAGCCTGCAGTTTGTATGCGTGCTTTGCTAGTTCTAACTGCCTCCGAGCTGTTCGTGAACCTCCTGCAACTCTGATGCTAAGGCTTCCGCTGCCTGTGGCTCCCCTCCCCTCTCTCGCTAATCCCGGGAAGGTTCTGGGATGCCTCCCGTTGTTGGCGAAGAACGGTGTCACCCCGTGGACACGTGCTTCGTGTTGTTGTAGGCGAACTCAGCGAGCGGCAGGTAGTCCACCCATGTTGCCGGCTGCTGATTTGCGTAGCATCTCAGGTACTGCTGCATGATGGCGCTTGACTCGCTCCGCTTGTCCGTCTCGTCTGCGGGTGTCTCGCCGACGCTAGGTTGATCTTGACGTTCAGGAAACCCATCAGCTTCTGCCAGAAGTTCGAGATGAACTGTCGCCCCGGTCGGACAGGATAGACCGTGGCAGACCGTGAACCCTGAACACGTGGTCTATGAACAGTTTGGCGGTCTGTTCCGCCGTGGCCACCTTCGCGCACGGAATGAAGTGGGCCATTTTGGTGAACATGTCCACCACCACTAGCACTGCCGTCTTGCCCCTCGAGCTGGGTAGATCCGTGACAAAGTCCAGGGCCACCCTCTCCCACGGTTCGATCGGTGTCTGCAGCGGTTCGAGCAGTCCCGCCGGCGGTTTGTGCACTGACTTGGCCCTTTGGCAGGTGTCGCACCTCGAGACGTAATCCGCGACTTCCCCCGCATCTTGGGCCACCAAAATCACTGTCTACTAATTCTACCGTCTTCTCTTTGCCAAAGTGCCCGGCGGTGGGTGCGTCGTGCAACTGCTGCAGTACTTTCGCGCGGCGGTCGTCTCCCGGTACGTAGAGGGCCCTCTACGGATGAGCAATCCGTCGCGTATCTGGAACTCGTCGTCCTCCGCCGTGCCCCTTTGCACCTCTGCCATCTTTGCTTGCGCGAAGGGGTCCTCCTGCAGTGCTCGACGTACAGCATCCAGGTCCACGGTTGCTGAAGCGCACGCCCACGCTTCGGTGCGAAAATGTGCTTGGCCGCTGCTGGTGCCGCTCCTCGAGGTATTGCGGCTTTCTGGACAGTGCATCCGCCATGATGTTGTTGTCGCCTGGGATGTACTCTATCCTGAAGTCGAAATCCGCAAAGAACTCCGCCCATCGTATGTGCCTCTGGTTCAGGAACCTTGCCGTGCGCCAGTACTCCAGGTTTTTATGGTCCGTGCGGACCTGCACTGTGTGTTTGGCTCCAATGAGGAAGTGCCGCCACGCCTTGAATGCTGCATGAATGGCCAGCAACTCCCTGTCCCAGATGGTGTAGTTCTGCTCTGACTTGCTGAGCTTCCTGGAGTAGAAGGCACACGGTCTCCAGTCCCCATGCGGGTCTTGCTGCAACAGTACTGCTCCCACGGCTCTGTCTGAGGCGTCCGTTTCAACCCTCATCGGTCTGCTGGGATTCACATGCAGTAGCTGCTCTTCGGACGAGAAGAGACGCTTGAGTTTCTGAAAGGACTGTTCCGCTTGCTCCGTCCAGATGAACTTCTTCTTCTTGGAGCTGAGTGTGTCGGTAATGGCTGCCGTCTGCATCGCGAACCCCTTGATGAACTTGCGGTAAAAGTTGGCGAAACCGACAAACCGTTGGACCTCCTTCCGATTGCGCGGGCTCTTCCAGTCCAACACTGAGCGAACCTTGGCGCTGTCCATGGCGAGCCCCTTGTCCGACAACTTGTAGCCCAGGAAATCTACTTCCTTCATGTCGAACTGGCACTTTTCCAGCTTGGCGTACAGCCTGTGCTCCTGCAGTCTCTGCAGAACTTCCTTGACGTCTCCCTCGTGGGCCTCCTCTGATTCTGAAAATATCAGGATGTCGTCCAGGAAGCAGACGCATTTCTTGTAGAGGAGACCCGCCAATACGTGATGCATGAAGGCTTGAAAACAGTGGGAGCCATTTTGTAATCCAAAGGGCATAACTCTGTATTCATAGGTGCCCAGGGGCGTGAACATGGCAGTCTTCCATTCGTCGCCCTCCCGCATGCGAATCAGGTTGTACGCCCTTCGCAGATCCAACTTTGTGAAAACGCGTCCTTTCCTCACCGTTGCGAGCAGGTCATCTATCTTGGGCATGGGAAAGGCTGTGGGCTTGGTTTTTGAGTTCAAAATTCTATAGTCCACCACAAGCCTTTTTTTGGGGCGTGTCCTTCTTCTTCACAAAGAATACAGGACTGCCCCCACTGCCTTCGACTCCCGGATGACCCCACGCTCAAGTTGAGGTCTCTGAACTCCCTGAGTTCCTGCAGCTCGTATTCAGACATGGAATACAGTTTCCCGGTTGGCAGCGTCGCCCGTGGCAGGAGGTCAATCTTGCAGTCATAAGACCTGTGGGGAGGTAGCTTGTCCGCTTCCTTCTCGCAGAAAACCTCCAAAAACGCTGCGTACTTGAGTGGCACTGCTTGCAGCGTGCCTAATTGTAGCTGCGGGTCATCCTCTTCCCCTTCCGGGCTAGGCAGAATGCAATGTTCCGCACAGTATGAGGAGCCGAAGGTCAGTTGTCGCTGGTACCACGCCAATGCTGGGCTGTGCCTGTGCAGCCAACTCATGCCTAATACTATAGGCGTGTCCGACAGTTGGGTGACATTGAAGCTGATGACTTCTCGGTGATTCCCAATTTGCATCACCATCGGAGGCGTTTGCTGCACCACCTGCCCCCCCAGCAATTCCCTGCCATCCACCGTGACAACTTTCAGAGGCAGCGTGGCTGGCAGGAGTGCTATGTTGTGCTCTTGAAGGAAATCCAGTCCTATGAAGTCTGCGTTACTACCAGAGTCAATGGTAATCGGCACTTCCATAGTGAGTCCATTGGGTAGTTGGAGCGATGCTGTGAGCTGCACCACTGGTTTGGGCGGGAGGGGGTCTGTGGGCTGCAAAATCTCTGGGGACGGCTTCATTGACTTGTCTGGTTGGGCCCCAGTGCCTCTTCCTCCAACCAGACTCTGTCGTTTCCCTGCTGTGTTTCTCTCTGCTGAGTTGCTTCTGTTACTGTTGCTGAGGCTGCAGTGTGCTTGTGGAGCCTCTGGGGACACTCTTTCGCCATGTGCTGAGCACTGTCGCAGATGTAGCACTTCCTGTTCCCTCTAGGAGGCTTCGCTTGACTGCTCCCGGTGTTAAGGCTCTGGTTGTTGACTGAGCCCTGGCGCCTCCAATCTCCATCGGTTGCTCTCCCTCCTTGCGGAGGTGGGGATTGCACACGCGCTGTATCCTTGGGAAAGAGGGGAGGTGCTCTCACTGGCGTACGTCCCCAACGTCCTTCTTCTCTGTTCCATGGACGTTCTTCCAGACGCACCCCAATTTGCAGCGCCCGCCGGACAACCTCCTGAGTGCTCTTTGGTCTCTCCCCTTGCAATCTCATCTTTCACATTTGCATTCAAGCCTTCCCAAAAAGGTCTCTGACTGGGGCAGAATCCTTCTCCCATCCCAGCGCATGGACTAATGCAAAAAGCGGGAATGGTACTGCCTTACACTGGCTCTGCCTTGTTTGAGCCCATGTATGTCTTTTTCTGGCGATATCAATGTCTATATTTGATAAAAACACGAATCCATCGCTTTAATGAATGCATCCGCATTTTGGAGCGCCGGATCCTTATCTCTCCACAGATTGCGCAGCCACGCTTTAGCTCCCCATGCAAATGGGACAAGATAAACCCCACCTTCTCTTGCTCATCTCTAAAGTCTTTATCCAGCAGTTCCAGCGCAAACAGCACGTCTGCTCGGAAGTTAGGGTACTGCTGCAAATTCCCATCGAAATGAGATACCAGGCTGCCTCCTCTTTTCCCCAGCCCAATCCCCTCTGATTTGGGTCCCGGTTGCCCCTGCTTAGCAAGCACTTCCAACCTGGCTTGGAGATCCCTGCAGGCGGCAGCCGCTTCCTCTTCCCTTTTCCTGGATGCGAGTACCTCCGCGTTGAGTTGTGTCACTGCATTTTGCAGGGCTGCTAGTTGCTGTTCTGTAGTCATCTTGCCTGACTTTTGTGAGCTCGCAAAGCACCAATCTTCTCCCTCGCTGCGTCCACTCACGTTACGAGGTTTTTGGTGCAAAACTTTAGGAGATGGAGCTTACTGTCAGAGCTGGCTCCAGGTCCCAGCTCACAGAGGACCAACGCTAGCCGGCAGTAATGTGCAAAAGTCTTTATTGAAGTACAGTTTCCATTTTCAAGCCGGAGCGCCCCAGCTCTACGTCTAGGGGTTAGATCGGCGAAGCTCCATCTGAGTCTCCGCCCCTGTACACCAGTTTAAGATTCTAGCCTTACTCCACCTCTTACGTCTCTCCTTTCTCCTCTGGGTCCTGCTACCCCCCGGGGTCCCTTCCTTCCTGGATTCTTCTGACGCTGACCCTCCTGACTCCTCCCCTCTTTTCGGCGGGCTTTGGGACCTGGCTCCCTATCCGGGCTGCCAACTGCGCCGCCCTCCTGTACATTTGAACTTTGCGCGCGCGCCCAGCCTTCAACCTTCCTCTCGACCGTTTCCTCGCTCCCCGATGGAGGCGTGGCCAATCCTGACTCATGTCCTCCCACTGGCAGTGCGCCGCCTGATCCCGATGCCTGGGACTCCTCCCCCCCTACTGCACTCTGGTGTGGACGCTGGTCCTGATTTCCAACTGCTGCTCTCTGAGTCCCCTCTGGCCCCTTCTTCCTGGGGTGTCCCCTCGGCACCCCCTTGCTCTGACCAAGGGAGCCCTTTCTGTGAATCTTCCGATTCGCTGGAAAGACTCAGAGACCTCGGACCGCTGTCATCGCTAACATTTCCTTCGGACTCCTCCCCCTCGCTCTCTATTTCCTCCCTTTCCTGTGCCTCTGCTCCTGAACCCCTGACAGCTGGGCACCTTTCCAGCTAGGAGTTTGATCTGGCCTTCCACAAATTGTCATGCAGATCTTTTTTGGTTGGAAGATTAAATAAGAAGAGTTTGTTTCAAGAGCCTCTGCACGTTCTATGTTGAGCTTAGGGGTCTGCTCTTGTCGTCGCCAATTTCCTTTGGTACGATGGTGTTCTGTTGATGCCTGCTTGTTATTAACTGATAAACTGTGGACCTCTTTGGATAACTGGGTTATTTGAGAGGCAATACCTCTAATTTGCTGGAAGATATGCTCAACCGTTCTTGCAATTAGAGTTAATTGGGTGCTCTCCCTACTTGTTATTCCTTCCTCTCTGAGGAGCACAGGATCAGCTTGCCCATGGCTGTGTGTGGTGGATTTCTTCCATCAACACAGCATTGTGATGTTTGAGACAACTTTACTTTGTTGAACAGCAGTAGTCAGTCGCTGAGGAACTCACAAAAGTGGAGTCCTCAGGCCTATAAATTATACAGGCTCACGAAGAGCAAGAGGTGACATGACAGAAGTCTTTTCTTTCAGAACATGCAGAATATAGTTCAACTTTTTTGAGTCCACACCTCCCTTGACCAAGTACATTCTTTCTGTGGCACCCCTGTGGGGCTCAGGGGTTGTGTCCCCCCTTGCCTGCAGCCTCTCGCCCTTTTTTGAACACCCTACTTGTGGAGTGTTTCCTCAGCCTCCTCTCACGTCTTCTTGGGAGTCCTTCTGGCAGCCTCTGCTGCAGCAAACAGCTGTGCAAGCCTTTGGGAGGCAGAGACATCAGAGGAAGGGAAGGAGGCCAGAGGCCAGTGTTGCCCATGGCACTCCGGACCATCATTCAAGGCACTCCAGGGTGCCATGGCACACTGATTGAAAACCACTGAGTTAAACTATGGAACTAACACACACACGGAAAACCAAACTAAAGACTTGCAAACGCTCCTAGAGGGCATGGCAGACCCCCAGTACCTCCCAGCGTCTCCTAGTGGGCTCGTCTCTGGAATGGCATGTCCCTTCACTCCCGAGTGCCCCTCTGCAACACTTCTCATACGAAAAGTGCACACCAGTCTTCTGGCATCACGCAGCAAGAAGATAGAGACATCCGTAGCTCTAAACTACGTTTTATTCACCATATATACAGAGAATCCATAATCACGTCTGCCCTCCAAACTCTGGCAGAAAACAGAAAGCATACAGCAAAAGCAAAAGTATAGTCTAATAACACTCTCAGACTGAAGAGATAGAACAGTCTTCCGTTCCCACACTCTTCTCAGACATCTCATGTGATTTATACTAACCACACTAGCCACTCTGGGCGGCTTCCAACAAGGATTAAAAATACACCAAAATGTCAGACATTAAAAACTTCCCTGAACAGGGCTGCCTTCAGATGTCTTCTAAAAGTCTGGTAGTTGTTGTTCTCTTTGACATCTGGTGGGAGGGCGTTCCACAGGGCGGGAGCCACCACTGAGAAGGCCCTCTGCCTGGTTCCCTGTAACTTGGCTTCTCGCAGGGAGGGAACCACCAGAAGGCCCTCGGAGCTGGATCTCAGTGGGGGTGGAGATGCTCCTTCAGGTCTACTGGGCCTTTGAGGCCATTTAGGGCTTTCAAGGTCAACACCAACACTTTGAATTGTGCTCGGAAAGGTACTAGGAGCCAATGTAGGTCTTTCAAGACCAGTGTTATGTGGTCCCGGCGGCCAGTCCCAGTGACCAGTCTAGCTGCCGCATTCTGGATTAATTGCAGTTTCCAGGTCACCTTCAAAGGTAGCCCCACATAGAGCGCATGGCAGTAGTCCAAGTTGACAGAGCCACTTACTGTGTCTTGTATGTGTCACTGAGAGATGACACAATGGCCATCTCCGGATATCTCAAGGGCTGTCACATGGAAGATGGAACAAGGCTGTTTTCTGCTGCTCGGGGGGCGGAGGGGGGGGAAGGACTCAACCCAACGGCTTCAGGTTGCAAAAAAGGAGATTCTGACTAAACATCAGAAAGTCCTTTCTGACAGTAAGAGCTGGAGGATGTGAGCTCTCTTTCATTGAAGGTTTCTAAGCAGAGGTTAGGTGGCCATTTGTCATGGATGCTTGAGTTCCAGCATTGCAGGGGTGGACTAGATGACCCCTGGGAGTCCCTTCCAACTCTGCAATGAAACATGCATCTTGCTTCCTTTGTGAGAAAACCTTAACCTTGGTGGATTTGCCTTTCAGGGGGCCCAGATCCTGCTGGGAATTGTGGTCATCAGTCTTGGGGTGGTGAACGACTATGGACATTTATTCTACATACGGTCAGGAGCACCTTACTGGATGGGAGGTCTGGTGAGTCCTGGGCAGCTGCCATGCTTGGAAGTGAATTTCAGTTTATGAAGCACTTCATACATGTTCAGGGGTACTTTGCACACTTCAGCCTCACAACAAGCTTGAGTGATTGATCAGGTCAGGATTCTTCTTCCTGTACTGCAGCTGGGGCAACAAGGCTCCCTGAGGATTGTGGCTGATGAGAACCAACACCTTACCATGAGCAAGCAGGGCACAAGTCAGCTATATAGGCAACAAACAGGCAGGTCCCTGCTCCAAGGAGATTACAGTCTAAAACATCCAATAGTGAAAACAGCAGTAAGGCGGGGGGGGGGGTGAGAAAGAGAAATCGACAGGAAGGAGGGAGAAATGACCGATCTGGGCACATGCAGTTATGCCTCCCATGACGACACATGGTCACCATCTACTGTGAAGCTCAGAAGAGCAAGGGCCATTATGATATGGCAGGTGGTGGGTGGGCAGGAGCAGAAATAAGCCTGGATTCTTGACCACTGGGCATGCTGGCTGCTGGGAGTTAGGAGTCCAGTGGCACCTGCAGCAGCCCCAGACATCTCCCAGTCCTCCACTAGGCAGGCAGCTGGTCCTCCATGTGGTCTTTATTTCCTATCCCAGACCTACTTCCAGGTTTACAGAGATCCCAAGAGACCGCTGGCTGGTTTCTGGTAGCAAGAGCTGTTTGACAGGACTCCCTTGGGAGGTGGTGGATTCTCCTTCCTTGGAGCTTCTTAAGCAGATGTGGGATGGCTGTCCTTCAAGGATGCTTTAGCTGAGATTCCTGCATTGCAGAGGGGGTTGGACTGGATGACCCTTGGGGTCCCTTTTAACTCTACAGTTCTGTGATTCAGTGCCCTGGCCACTGAAGCAGCTGAGGAAGATCCACTCAGAAGTGGGGCAGGCCACTTCTGGTGGTTCCAGGAGCAGCAGGAGTTGTGCATCTCCCTACCCTCTGCCCTACACAGCCTTCATTCACTCCAGCCTTTTCTCCTTCACAGGTTATGCTCTCTGGCGCCTTGTCCATCGTGGGCGAAAGACGTGCTGGCTTCTGGGTAAGTGTGGCAGGTTCCAGGAAAAACATGTGTTGCCTGCTTTTGGTCTCAAAGATCCCTGGGTCAGGTATTCTTTAGCTGCGTGATTCCTGCATTTCAGGGGGTTGGACTAGATGACCCTTGGAACCCCTTCCAACTCTACAGTTCTGTGATTCTGTGATGTTTCAGCTTACGTCTAAGGGGAAAAGGGAAGTGACTGGTAGACCTATGCTGAGAAATGGAGGCTCAGCCTCTCCCCCACCTCCAGTCCCCCAAAAGCTGAAAGCCTGAGCAGCTCTGCCCCAGCCTTACCCAAGGTTGTCTGCTGGACTCCAGGCAGCTCACCTGACATTTTCTGGAACCAGGTCCATGTGGCCACCATCTTCCATTTGGCCAGTGTTGTGGCCGGAATTGTGGCTCTGACAAAAGGCATTGCTTGGATCCCAAACCTTGACCAGACCTTCTACTGGAGAAAGGATGTGTGCCAGACCAGATGGGAACGTTCTCCAATCCTGCCCAGCCCAGGCTATGACTGGAGACAGAGAGACTGCGAGCGAGTCTTATGGGATCTCATGGTGAGCAGAGTCCCATCGTGGATCAGGTGCTTGCCCTGTTACAAGATTGGGGGGCCAGAGCAGCAGCCTCCCCCAAACCTGCTGCGCCCTCCCGCAGTTTGGAACAACAGTCTGAATGTGGTATTTTCCTCTGTTTCTCCCTTCCTCCCCAGGGCGTCGCCTTTGCTGTGAAGGTCTTGCTGCTCATTTTCTCCGTTGCTGCCCTGGCGATTGCTTTCTTCTGCCTTGCATACAGCCTCCGCATCCTCTGCTGCGCCCGGAAGGTAGCCGGAAGGGACTGGGGGGCTGGAGGGTGTCCCCCCCCCCAAGGGAGTCCATTCCACTGTTGAACAGCTCTTACTGTTGTGGGAATGTTCAAGGATGCAGGAGAGGATATGTTGTCTGATTATAGCCTTTCCAACTATCTCATAAAAAGACAGCCCCTTTGTCCTCCAGCCAAGAGAGCATCTTTGGCTAAGCAGATGTTGCTTCTTTGATGCATGTAGTCATAGAGAGAGAGATGGCTGCCCTGCCCTGTGCTTTTGTCATTACCTGCACAGGTGAGGCCACGCCTACCTCTAGTCACGTGCAGAGGAAGTCTGTCCCAGCCCAGAAGGAAACTGGAAGTTTACCTGCTGGCTGAACAAACATTCCTCCCCATGTGTAAACATGTTCACTCTAGGAATGTTGTACTTGACTGCTCTTGTGTTTCACATCCCACAACTGTCACAAAGTTCTTCCTGATATTTAGCTGGAATCTCCTTTCTTGTTACTTGAATCCACTGACTGAGGTCCAAACCTCTGGGAGCAGCCGAAAACAGTCTTGCTCCATCTTCCATCGAAGAGCCCTTCAGATATCTGAAGAAGACTCTCATGTCTCCTCCTTCGAGCAAAGGAAGTCCCAAACCCCAAGTTCTGAATCCATCTCTCTCCCTACTCCATAACAAGGGCAAAAATGGGTGCTAGCAAAGACCAGACTTGGTGCAGGAAAGGGGGCGAAATAGGAATAGAGACTGGGAGATGCCAGTAGCATAGCTACCTTTTAAAAAGAAGCAGAACAGTTTGCACTCTCAGAAACCTAAATGAAATACAGTGGTACCTCAGGTTAAGTACTTAATTTGTTCTGGAGGTCCATTATTAACCTGAAACTGTTCTTAACCTGAAGCACCACTTTAGCTAATGGGGCCTCCCCCCGCCACGCGATTTCTGTTCTCATCCTGAAGCAAAGTTCTTAACGCGAGGTACTATTTATGGGTTAGCGGAGTCTGTAACCTGAAGCGTCTGTAACCTGAAGCGTCTGTAACCCGAGGTACCACTGTAGTCTTTAAAAGGCATCTCACACTTCCTTCCAGAATTCAGCATCACCTGTGATGTTCAGTAGAGCTAGAGAATAACCTTGCCTACTGTTGTTTTATAACCTTCGGGAATTTGGGGTGGGGGGGGTGAGAAGAGAGCTGAAATGGGCAAAGCAGCGGCAGGCCAAGTGCAGGCCAAGTGCAGGCCAAGTGCAGTCTCGGATTGCTTTGAGAAAGCCCTGGAGAGGAACAAACGTGGGGCTGTGGGGAGCTGGGAGCTTTCATTCTCAGCAACTGATTCTTGGGGCAAGACCCACCAGGTCGAACTGCTGCGCCCATTAGGCATGACGCTCAGCCAAGTCTCTGAAGATCATGCTTTTGCTAATGAAGAGTGAGCTCCAGCTTTGACTGCTTGGTAGAAAGAGCCGTCGCACGAGAGACGGGGCAGGCTTGTTTTCTGCCCAACGGATTCAAATGGCAAAGAAGGAGATTCTGACAAAGCATCGGGAAGAACTTTCTGACGGGAAGAGCTGCTCAGCACTTGAATGGATTCCCTCAGACTAGATGTCCCCTGGTGGTCCCTTCTGGGATTCTCTGGCATGGGCCTGGGCCCACCTGCAGAGGGGGCAGAGCTTTGATACCTGGGATGTGACTCAGGGGCAAAGAAGCCTCTGGGGATTTGGGCTCCTGGCACCTTCCAACGCCCCAGGAAAACGAAAGGAGAAGGGGGGGGACAAACCTGTTAGGGAGGGGGCAGCCTTCCTGCTTGTGGTGCCTCACCTGTTGCTATGGAATGGAGGAGGGAGGTGGATTTGGAGAGTTGGGAGTTCCCTTCTCTCAGCCACAGGACTTTTCTCTCCTTCCCCCAAACTGCCCCCTCACACTTCTTTCTCCTCTCCCCCTTGCTTTGCAGGCAAGCAGTGCAGACTCTGGTGCGGTCGGGGACCCGGATGTGGCCCCTCTTGATCAGGATGAGGCCATTATTGAGAACATAGCCTGAGCGGGGTGGTGCTGGCCCTTCAGGGCAAAGGAGCTGTGCTGCAGCCTTCAAGGGGAATGTCACACTATGCTTGCCTTCTGCTTCACCCGACTTAGCCCAGCGGATTGTGACCCAGTGCTCGCCAAGACCTTTCTCCTGGGGAGTGGGCGGGCGGGCGGGCGGTCAAAAGCTCCTCCTGCATCTCAACCTATTAAAGCAGCTATGTTGTAATTCTGTTTGAGGGTGGTTGGTTTTCTCCATCGACATCCTGTTGGAATGTTCAGGGTGGCAGGAGAGGAAATCTTGTTTATTAATATGCTTCCTAACTTCCGATAGGGACGCGGATGGCGCTGTGGGTAAAAGCCTCAGCGCCTAGGACTTGCCGATCGCATGGTCGGCGGTTCGAATCCCCGCGGCGGGGTGCGCTCCCATCGTTCGGTCCCAGCTCCTGCCCACCTAGCAGTTCGAAAGCACCCCCGGGTGCAAGTAGATAAATAGGGACCGCTTACCAGCGGGAAGGTAAACAGTGTTCCGTGTGCTGCGCTGGCTCACCAGATGCAGCTTGTCACGCTGGCAATGTGACCCGGAAGTGTCACCGGACAGCGCTGGCTCCCGGCCTATAGAGTGAGATGAGGGCACAACCCTAGACTCTGGCAAGACTGGCCCGTACGGGCAGGGGTACCTTTACCTTTACCTTTTTTTAACTTCCGCTAGCAAACTCTTAGCAGAGTTTTACATTCCCCTTTTAAATGCACAGCGGATAGCTGGTTGCAGGCTTGTTTAAGCCTCTCACTATTAGGTTCCTGGTAAGTTCCCTTATATTCCTCTTAAAAGAATAAACACACCGCGAACTTGTAATGGGGCAGGCTTGTTTTCTGCCCAACACCGCGAACTATATAAAAGTAGTTTACTCATTCAGTTCACAGTTGGATCCCTGAAGGCAGACTCAGTTACAAAGTATATACATGTGGATTATCCCATATGGAGATAGTCCCAGTGTCCTATGTTGGCTGGAAGCCAACAGAGCATTTCTAGCTAAAAGCTGCTGCTCCAAAGATGGAGGGGGGGCTGCGGGCCCTGTCCCTTTTGTTACCTGGACAGGTAAGGTCACACCCACCTCTAGTCACATGCAAAAGGAAGTATGCCCCAGCCAGGAGGAAACAGGAAGTTTCCTGAACCAGTGGCTGAACCAAATGTCCCCTTGCATGCCCACTCTAGGAAAACAAGGAATGTTGTACTTGACTGCTATTTATGTAGCACATCCCACACTTCCTGGGGACATGGAAAACCTGGGTCCTCATGGTCATGGCCACCTTTCCCAATTGCTAACAGGATAAGGAAGCACAATTTCAGTGCAGTGGGGAGGGGAAAGGCTGCCCCCCACAGCACCCTCCCTACATGCCACAGTCTCCAACACAGCCAGGAAAGGCACAGACCATGTGGCCTCATAAACAACAGAGTAAAAAGAAAAGCATGGAAATCCTCAAGCAAGGCATGGTCTCCTATACTGAGTGTCACCTGATGAAATAAAAGGACTTATAGGCCAGCCAAATCAAGGGAAAGCACCTGGACCAGATGGGATAGGTTCCAAAGAACTGAAATTAAACCCTCTCTGGTGGACCCCTTTGCTGGCTAATCAGCAAAGGGTTGGATAAGACTGGATCCATGCCAGACACATGGACAACAAGGGCAACCATAGTCCCAATATATAATAATAATAGTAGTAATAATAATAATAATAATAACAATAATAATAATTTATTTCTTCCCCAGCCGCTCTGGGCAGCTTCCAGCAAAATATTAAAATACAGTGTTCTGTTAAACATTAAAAGCTTCTCTAAACAGGGCTGCCTTCAGATATCTTCTAAAAGTCTGGTAGTTCTTCTTCTTTTGACATTTGGTAGGCGGGCATTCCACAGGGCGGGTGCCACTACCGAGAAGGCCCTCTGCCTGGTTCCCTGTAACTTGGCTTCTCGCAATGAGGGAACCACCAGAAGGCCCTCGGCACTGGACCTCAATGTCCGTATAGAACGATGGAGGTGGAGACGCTCCTTCAGGTATACTGGGCCAAGGCTGTTTAGGGCTTTAAAGGTCAGCACCAACACTTTGAATTGTGCTTGGAAACGTACTGGGAGCCAATGTAGATCTTTCAAAACCGGTGTTATGTGGTCCATAGCTGTCAACTTTTCCCTTTTCTTGCAAGGAATCCTATTCGGAATAAGGGAATTTCCCTTAAACAAAGGGAAACTTTGACAGCTATGATGCGGTCTCGGCAGCCGCTCCCAGTCCCCAGTCTAGCTGCCGCATTCTGGATTAGATGTAGTTTCCGGGTCACCTTCAAAGGTAGCCTCACATAAAGCGCATGGCAGTAGTCCAAGCGAGAGATAACTAGAGCATGTCTCTGGTGAGACAGTCAGTGGGCAGGGAGGGTCTCAGCCTGCGTACCAGGTGGAGCTGGTAGACAGCTGCCCTGCACACAGAATTGACCTGTGCCTCCATGGAGAGCTGCGAGTCCAAAATGACTCCTGCACACCTGGTCCTTCAGGGGCACAGTTGCCCCATTCAAGGAGACCATACTCGGACCGGGACCTGTTTGCTTTCCGCTGGAGCAAAGGTCTCCCAGCACGTCAATCATTAACCCCAACCCCACAGGCTGCCTGTTTGCAAGGTAAACCCCAAAGGGAACGAGGCGCACCTCTGTTTTGCTCCTCCAGGTTGGGGGTGGAGGGAGGGAGGCACATGGCAAATTGATTTCATGTCGCTTCATTTCCAATATTTATATGCCACCTAATGGCAAAGATTGTGTGGGTGGCTAACGAGTAAAAGTCAAATACACGCGACGGAAAACAGAAAGCGAGAGCACAGAATGAAGCCAGCCTCAGGGAGTGACGTCAGGGAATGACACAAAACTTGCATCTTCTTCCACTAACCCTGAAAAATGCAGAAGATGGTGGCTATTGCTCAGTGTGGAAGGAAAAGCACTCCGGACATGCTCAGGAGCAACAACAACAACAACAACAACAACAATAATAATAATAATACTTTATTATTTGTACTCTGCCCATTGACTGGGTTGCCCCAACTATTCTAAGCGGCTTCCAGCATATATAAAAACATAGCAAAATATGAAACCTTCCCAATTATTGCTGCCTGTGTCCTTTTTTTCGGTGGTGGCGGCGCGTGTGCAAAGACTTCCTTTTGTAACGTATATAAAACAGAGAGAACAGAGAAAGCAACAGATCTAAAGGCGAGAAACGAAAACTTTGAAGCAAGTCCCGTAGGATGAGCCCGGCTGCACGTGGGCGAAAAGTCCAACAAAGGATATCAGCGGGATCTGATGATGATCGGGTCTCGTTCAAGGTTCGCCAGGCTGGCCCTGAAAGCGATGCTTCTTCCGCTGTATTCAGGAACGCCGGATCATACCCTCCTGGCTCCATTCCGGGGGCGGCTGCCACGTGTCTCCCGAGACGGATCCGCGCCACATCCTGAGCTGGGCAGGTCCAGTCCCATCCCGGCGGAGATGTCAAAGCGCCCTTGCCAAAGCTCAGAGTCAGGCCCTAGGCAGGGGGCAGCCGGGTGTCCCTGCGTGGGACCCTGTCCCTGGAGACGGGGGCTGGGCAGAGGTCGCCGCCCCCTCCCCACCCGCGGCCTTCACCCTCCTCTCGTCCCCGACTGATAAGGAAGCCTTATCTCCCCACCTGAGCAGACAGCCCCGGTCAGGGTGCAAAGGGAGGCCGGGGAAGGACGCGGCCGCGGCAGGAGCGCCAGGGTGCCGGGCATGGGGGCCACGGGGTGGACTCGCACCCGTCTCTGCCGCCTGGCCTGCACCGTGGGGGTCTTCTTTCTCCTCCTCCTCTGCTTCTCCAGCCTCCGCTTCCGTAAGTCGAGGGTCGGGGGTCGGGGGGGGGCGTGCTGTGGCCTTTCGCTTCTCCTGGAATCTCCTTTTCCAACTCTCAGATTCATTCTGCAGCCATTTGCAATTGTTATTTAAAGGGGGGGCGCAGACAAAAGCTTTCCTACTAAAACTGGGGCTCTTCCAGGCTGCCAGGGGTGAGGGAGGTCAATATTGCAAACGGGCCTCTGGGGAGCCCCCCACCCTAACAGGGGTCTCATTTCCGACCTTCCGCTGTCCACCTGCAATTGCTTTGTTCTGGGTTTGAGTCTTCACCTAACAATTCTGTGTGTTTTCTCTGCCTCCCTGCCCCTGTGGGTCTCGCATTGCCTGCTCTCGGTGCCGCAGCAGAGCTGCCGAACTCCACCTGCGTTTGGGGGGTCCGTCCGTGCCGCTGGTTTGGGGGGATGCCGCTCAGCAAGGAGGATGCAGAGAGGAAGGTGAGAACCCGGAACGCCCCCAACTCAGCTGCTCCCAGTTTTGGAATGGAGTTCAGTGGGAATTTGCTCATGTTTTAAAATCCAAAAATGCCGAGAGTTTTGCAGTGCTTGGATTTCCACTAAGCGTGCGATGTAATCTACTGGAGCAGTCAAGTACAACATTACCTGTTGTGCTAGAGTGGACATGCAGGGGATGTTGGTCCAGCCAGTTGAACTTCCTGTTACACCTGGCTGGAGCATCCTTCCTTTGCATGTGACTAGTGGGTGGGCATGCTCTGGTCCAGGGGGTCATGAAGAGTCGGACATGACTAAACGACTAAACAACAGCCAAGTAGGTGGGCGAGACCTTTCCAGACCTGGTAAAAGGTCAAGTCACTGAGCCACCTCCCTTCTTTTCCATCCTGCCTGCTTTCTGGTTCACCTGGACTGCGCTGCTGGCTCTCAGCCACCAGTCCCTGGGGAATCTCCCATAGGGGGTGAACCTATTTGTGCATGTTTGTAACTTTAACCCTAAAACCTTCCTTCAGGGATCATCACACTGTGCTCTGCCTGATTGTGAGCACAACTACTTTTTGTTACTTGTGAATAGGACTGTGGTGTCTTTATTCTTTTAGGAGGGATTCAAGGGGTCTTATCAGGAATAATAGAACATGTCTCTATCTGAGCAAGTCAGATTGAATTGCTGGTTGTCTTAAGAGATTCTAAGGAGTCTGCAACCAGCTTCCTGCTGTGTGATAGGGGAATGCACTCTGCTAAGTGAAGCAACTTGCTAACGCGAGTTCGGAAAGATAATATTAATCGGTATATCCTCTCCTGTTACCCACAACATTCCCACACCAGGATCCAGCTGGAGAGACTCCTAGAACTGTAGATGGCAGAGTTGTAATGCAGGGATCTTAACGGAAGCAATTAAGCCTCCCTGCTTGCTATTGGAGGTTTTTAAGCAAGCACTGGGTGGCCACCTGTAAGCGATGCTTTAGCTGCAATCCCTGCATTGCATGGGGTTGGACTAGATGGCCCCTGGGGTCCCTTTCTAGATTCTAAGTTGCCAGAGGCTAAATTATGCAGCTGTGTCCCCCCCAAAAAGTGAACACTTCTTTGTTACATTTGGAGTGATGATTTGGGGGGTGGGGTGGGGGGAGCACGAGGGTCAGAGGGTTGCTTTTTCTGCCCCTAAGGCACCCCAGTCCCACCAGCTCACCCACCCCAGTGACTCTGCCCTTCTGCTCTGCTCACAGCCCCCTCCTTCCGCCTCGCCCCCTTCTGCCGCCACCGGGGCCGCCCTCCTCCTGCAGACCCCATCCGAACCCCAGGACCTGGGTGAGGGCTTCCGAATTGTGCGTCTGCAGAGGGCCTTCGCTGCCAGCCTCACGCCCAGTGGGCAAATCCTCATCCGGGAATACCTCAGCGGCTGGAAAGAGCTGATCAAGTGAGTAAGAGCTGCGTCCCCCCCCCCCCCAAAAAAAAGCCAAGGGGGGCTCCGTAGAAGCCACATTTCCCAGGTGAGAGATTCTGGCCCAGATACTAAGCTCCTGGGACAGGCTTGGCAAAGGCAGGGAGGAGGTTTCCAGGTCCCACAGGAAACAGAAACAGATGAAGCAGCAGCGCAGAATCCTGGAGCTGGAAGGGAGTCAGGAACCGAGGAATCCAGATAGACTGGGCCTGGGCCTGGAGGTTCCTTAAGAGCACCAGAAGAGGCTGGCTGCTGGATGAGGCCAAAAGGGGCCCGTCTAGCCCAGCACCCTCTTCTCATAGGGGGCAGCCAGGTGTTCCAAATGGGAAACCCACAAGCAGGACGTGAAGAAAAGAGCAGCCCTCTCCCCGCCTCTGGTTTCCAGCAAATACTATTCAGAAGCATTGCCTGCCTCCAACTGCACAGGGCAGAGCGTGGCCATTGTGACTAGGAGCCACCTGTTTGTTCCGTGCCTAGAAAGTATGGGTTCAGGTAGTTTCCCCCTTGCCTTGCTCCTTTCCCAGGGAAAAGCTGCTCTTTAGTGCTAAATCAGAACAAACAGCAATCCACAGAAAAAAACAGAATTGCTATTTGCACCTACTGAGTTTTCCCTCTCTCTGTGTGTGGAGCCCTCAGTAATAAACAGAGCGTTTCCCCAGGAAAAGCAGCAGGACAAACACACAAACCAACCCCTATTGGACCCCTGACTAGAAGTCATGGGGGAAAGGGAAGCGTGAGTATTTACTTGCTTTTTCTCTCTAAACTAAAAACTCCCAAGTTTCACAACCTTTCTTCATAGAGGAACCCCTTGAGCATTTCAGTTGCTCTTTTCTGAACCTTTTCCAAAACTGCAATATCCCTTTTGAGATGAGTCGACCAGAACTAGACACAGGTTAAGGTAAAGGGACCCCTGACCATGAGGTCCAGTCGTGGCCGACTCTGGGGTTGCGGCACTCATCTGGCTTTATTGGCCAAGGGAGCTGGCTTACAGCTTCTGGGTCATATGGCCAGCATGACTAAGCCACTTCTGGCGACCCAGAGCAGCGCATGGAAACACTGTTTACCTTCCCGTCGGAGTGGTACCTATTTATCTACTTGCACTTTGACATGCTTTCGAACTGCTAGGTTGGCAGGAGCAGGGACTGAGCAATGGGAGCTCACCCCGTCGCGGGGATTCGAACCGCCGACCTTCTGATCGGCAAGTCCTAGGCTCTGTGGTTTAACCCACAGTGCCACCTGCAGTACTCCAAATGTGGTCACACCACAGATTTGTACAATGGCATTATGACATTGGCTGTTTTATTCTCAGTCCCTTTCCTGTTTTCTTTTTTTGCCAATTTTTAAAAAATACTTTTCATTTTTAACCACTGAGTGGTTCCTCAGTTCCTAATGGCCCTGGCACCCTAGTTCGGTATTAAGGCGTTATGGTATTGGCAGGCAGGATATTTTCGGGAGTAGAAAAGGCTACAGAGCGAACCCTCCACAAATCCGAAGCGGAGTCCCTGAGGCAGTTGGGTGGCGCCTCGTCCGCCTCTTTCCTGCAACTCCTGCAGCCCAGCTGGTGCCCAACATCTTACTCTGTTTTCCTTTGGACCACTTGAGCGAGGCGGAGGAGAGGGAGATCTTGTCCTCCGGGCAGCCCAGGACCTCCAAACACTGCCCAGACTTGCGCCCCTGGGGAGGTCCCTTTGGTGCTGCAAATGCAGCAAGAACAATGCCAGAGGCAGCAGCATCTCCACAGCAGGCGCTGCGAGCTCCCCCCCCCCCAAAGGCTCAGTCCTCCATTGTCTCCCGAGACAAGCGGGTGGGAGCCCACAATTTCCGCCGCTTCTTTCCTGTTAGACTCCGGCCCCTCTCTCCTTCCTCGCAGGTTCATGGACTCGCTGGGCGCCGCCTTCGGCCTGATCTCCGGCGAGACGCGCACCAAGATCGCCATCCTGCAGGAGAACCAGCGCGGCCCCCACGGAGCCCACTACCGCACCCTCCAGTCCATGGTGCGCTTCGAGCTGGCCCGGGGGCTGGTGGGCTTCCAGTCCCTGCCGGCCGGCCGGCCCCCATCCGGCTGCCGGACCTTCCTGCGCCTCCACCGGGCCTTGAAGTGGCTGGAGCTCTTTCTGCGCAAGCTGGGGACCAGCCCGGAGGACGCGGACCCTTCCCGCATGTGCGCCGACGCCTACCAGGAAGCCCTGGCGCCCTACCACAGCTGGTGGGTGCGCCAGGCGGCCGCCCTGGCTTTCCTGGCCATGCCCTCCCGCCGCGAACTCTACCACATCCTGAGCGCCGGAGGGGGCGAGGAGGGCAAGGGCCCCCGCAGGCTCCTGGACACCGTCCGCAGCATCGCCCACGTGTACAACGCCACCCAGGAGCTGTATGCCGCGCACGGGATGCTGGCGCTGCCCTGAGGCCTCGGCTGACGGCGCCGCCAGAGGAGGGGCCCCAAGGGGGGGGGCAACAGCAGCAGAGGGTCCCTTCCCTGGCAGCGCCTCTTGGGGCTTCTCTGCGGAGGGCACCCAGTCCCAGGGGGACCAAGGCTGGTAGCGCCAGGCGAGGCGACGCTGCATTGCCAGGCTGACCCCCGGGGATGCCTTCCGGCTCCAGGGTTCCCTGGGAGGTTTCGAGCAGAGCTTGGGGGGCCACCTGCCAGGAATGCTTCAGCTGCGATGCCTGCATTGCAGGGGGTGGGATTAGATGGCCCCTGGGGGTCCCTCCTGACTCTGCTGCGTCAGGATTATTCGGTGGACGCCTGGGGGAGGGGGTTTGGCGGGAAGCGCCAGCATCGCAGCCCCTGCTCAGTCCCCTAATGCAGCTGTTGACCAGGGAGCAGAATGAAGCCAAAACGTTTTTGTGAAGGGGACGATCTTTGAGGGGGAATTCGGTCTCGTGGCTCCCTCTGCTGGCTGCTCGGAGCTCTGCACCTGCAAGCTCCGCTTCCGCCGCCTAGAAGCCCAGGTTTTAGGGGCAAATACGGAAGACTGATAAAAAATAAAAGTATTCCTCACCTGTGGGCTCCATCGTTGCTGAATTTAAAGGTGCGAAAAAGGTAAAGGACCCCTGACAGTTAAGTCCAGTCGCAAAGACTCTGGGGTTGCAGCGCTCATCTCACTTTACTGGCCGAGGGAGCTGGTCTTTGTCCGCAGTTAGTTTTTCCAGATCATGTGGCCAGCATGACTGAGCCACTTCTGGTGAAACCAGAGCAGTGCACGGAAACGCCGTTTACCTTCCCGCCAGAGCGGCACCTATTTATCTTCAAACTGCTTCAAACTGCTAGGTTGGCAGGAGCTGGGACTGAGCAACGGGAGCTCACCCCATCGCAGGGATTCAAACTACCAACCTTCTGATCAGCAAGCCCTAGGCTCAGTGGTTTAGACCACAGCACCACCTGCGTCCCTTCATAAAGGTGCTAAATAGGCTTAAATGAGCCAGACATACTCTGTGTGTGCACGTACACACACACACACACACACACACACACAGGGTGAGACTGGTGCCACTGCGTGACTCTGCTTTGATATTTGCATAAGAAATAAAATCATGCTATATATATTGCTAGATAGATATATGTCATTCAAGCTCTGCCCTTTATATATATTTAATTTATGGGATATCTTTTCAAGAATTTCCCAAACCCTTGGATATCATAGAGTCAGATTGGACCCCCCAGGGTCATCTAGTCCACCCCCTGCAATGCAGGAATCTTTTGCCCAACGTGAGGCTCAAACCCACAACCCTGAGATTAAGAGTCTCATGCAGTGCCAGATTTACGTACTTATAAGCTAAACAAGCTATAGCTTAGGGCCCCACTCTCTTGCAGGGGGGGGGGGGAGCCCAAAAAAATTAAAGGAAAAAAACCTGGATGTACATTTCCAAAATATAAGATAAACTTCTTCTTAATTGTATTTCAGTTCAACAATTACTTTGATAAAATACTGGTACATATTTTGTTATGTGCAAATGGCTTTAGATACCTATTAGGTCCATCAATTACCATATACAGTAGCATATATTTAACACAAAAAGCAGCGACAATTTGTCGTTAAGGACAGCTGGACATATAAAGGACCCCATGACCTTCAGTAGCTTAGGGCCTCATCAAACCTCAGTCTGGCCCTGGTCTCGTGCTGTACCAACTGAATTACCAGCAATCCATATTGTTAAGATTAAGGGTCTTCTGGGATTTGGGACTCAGTATTGGGAATCCGTGCCCCATGAAGAGCCAAGAAAGGGAGCGTCGCTCTGGGAATGAACTGCTTTCCCCAAGCAGATGTCCTCTGGGTACCGTATTTTGGTAGTGTACAAGACTCTTAATCTCAGGGTTGTGGGTTTGAGCCCCACATTGGACAAAGAGTTTCCTGCTAGATAGTCCTTGTGGTCCCTCCCAAATCTATGGCTGTATGACTGCCAGCCTCACCAGCTCCATCTGGAAGGGAGCTGGGTATGTTAAGCCCGGAAAAGAGGAGACTGAGAGGAGATAAGGCCATTTCCAAATATCTCAAGAGCTGCCACATGGAGGATGGAGAAAGGTTGTTTTCTCCTGCTCCAGAGAGTAGGACTTGGACCAAGGTCTTCAAATGACAAGAAATGAGGTTCTGACTTAACATCAGGAAGAAGATTCTGACAGTAGGAGTTGTTTGGCAAAGGAAATGGCTCCCATGAAAGGTTGTGGACTCTCCTTCCTTGGGGGTTTTAAAGCAGAGGTTGGAAGGCCATCTATCATGGATGCTTTAGTTGAGAGTAATGCGTCTTAGGGGGTTGGCCTGACATTGCAACAGAAGTTGGCTATTGAACAAAACTGAAATGCATGTAAAAAATTAGGGGCAGTTATGGGCTCAGGGATCTTCACGTGGTCAGCCTCTGTACTGCCAGTGATGATCCATTCTTGCTTCATTTCAACTTGGGAGTCAGGAAGTTTGGCCTTTGAATTCATGTCCAGAAACAAGAGGCAAGGTGAAAAGAAGAGGCTGATCCCAGCATGCTTCACTGCTTAGGGCAACTCCCAAACAAGATAGGATCCAAGGAAGAGGTTGCAATGTGTTGCTGTGCTTATGGCAGGGGACAGGCACAAACAGGCAAAGAAAGCAGTCCTTATTTTTTACATACTTTGGCTCGGCAAAAAGTCACAATTGCAAGCGTTCTACAAAAAAGTCCCGTAGGTTTCAAAAGCCCCACAAGGGTGGGTGGGTGTGGAATATATTTATTTCCACTGAGTAAAATGTCACTTGATGGTAACAAAACATCTAAGCCGTTTACTAGAAATGTTAATATGGTCAATTAAAAACAGTAGCAAACCATTTAAAACATCACAATCGAGCAGCAAAATCAAAAATTAAACAGTAAAGAGATTGAAAGAATAACAGCATAAGATTAAAGCACATCAATATCTCTGCATCTGAAAAGGCTCACCCGAACAACCATATTTTAAGTAGGCACCAAAACGAATGAAGCCAAGGGGCCTGTCTCAAGTCATGAGGCGGAGAGGGATATCGGTTCAGACATGGTCCTATCCTGACAAGAAGGGGAACTCTGAGATCAGGGCTCAGCCAGTGTCTCTGGAGACCTCATCCTTTGGAGGATGTTTGGGAGAGGTGGGATGGCAGGACAGCTTCCCACCTTAATACACAAACATAATATAGAACCAGAACCTTCAATGGATTTTGCAATATGTTTTAATGTTAATATAGAGACATTTGTAGTCAGTAATAGCTGAGGGGAAGGGCTGCAGGATATACATAAACAAGTGTCACACGCTGGACAAAATGGTTTCCAAATCTTGAAAAGAAGAGCAAGACTTATTGAGGACGTGATACCTGACAACCTGTGGGGTGCAAGGCCTCGTGTGAAGAGGGTTGCATGGCCTGGGCTGGAGACATGGGCACCCAGCGCGGTTTCAAAAATCCCTCATCCAGCAGAGTCTCAGTTAACACTGGGGAGGAAGCAGAGCAGGGTCACCTGCTTGAGGAATATATGCGAGGCACTGACAAAAATGTCCCACTGGTCAAGATCTGGCGCTCTGTCCACCTGGTGTGGAAAGGGGTGTCAAATGCTCCCCGGGGTGAGATGTTGTTTGGAGTCTCAGCTCAATCTAAGCCTTCTTCCATGTTTCGGATGTCTGCAAATGAGAACTGGAGTTGGCTGAAGCAGACAAACTGTGCTGGGTCAGGATCCCAACCAACTTTGAGGTAGGATGAGCAGAAAACCCTCGTCTTCCTCGTGGATACCATTCTTTGCTCTGGAATGTGCTTGTGATCGAGGGAGGACAGAAGCCAGGGACTCCTCCACCTCACCTTCTCCCAGAGGAAGGACTGAAACTTGTGGCTTTTCTGGCAGATGTCCAGTGTGTGTGCACCATCCTGAGAATGGCAGTAGCGTTGAGGAGCACCACAGATTTGCAGCTTTGATGCACTTGAAGTGGAAGTATGTGATAAGCTTGTCAACATCTTCAAAAGAAAGCTCAGTGTTGATGGCAAGGTCCTCAGTGTTGCCCAAATCCTTGTTAACTCTCCCCAGGTAATTCAACACCTTGGCCAATGACTTGCATCTCCAGATGTGGGTATGTGGTTTAAATAAATACTGGGCATTGAGGGTGTGCTCCATGGATGTGAGAGAAAATGGTTATGGCTTCTCCCCTGTATGGATTTTTTTATGGGAAGTGAGATTGTCCTTTCGACTGAAGCTCTTTCCACACTCCAAGCACTGATATAGTTTCTCCCCTGTATGAATTCTTTGATGGGCTCTAAGTGTGGTCTTTTCACTAAATCTCTTTCCACATTCCAAGCACTTGTACGGTTTCTCCCCTGTATGAATTCTGGAATTCTGATGTTGGGAAAGATGGAGGGCAGAAGGAGAAGGGGATGACAGAGGACGAGATGGTTGGACAGTGTTCTCGAAGCTACAAACATGAGCCTGACCAAACTGCGGGAGGCAGTGGAAGACAGGAGGGCCTGGCGTGCTCTGGTCCAGGGGGTCATGAAGAGTCGGACATGACTAAACGACTAAACAACAACAACACTTAGAAGGTGTCTGGAACTGAATATAAAAAATTTCCTTCCAGTAGCACCTTGGAGACCAACTCAGTTAGTTAATGGTATGAGCTTCATGTGCATGCACACTTCTTCAGATACGAAAGCTCATACCAATAACTAACTGAGTTGGTCTCCAAGGTGCTACTGGAAGGAATTTTTTAATTTTGTTTTGACTACGGCAGTCCAACACGGCTACCTACCTGTAACTGGAACTGAATGTAACAGGGATGAATGATGGACTCATGTTACTGTGCACGATCCCCTCCTTCTTGGTGACACATTGGTGATGTATCTGGAAATGTAGCATGGGGACAGGGGGGAGGGGTGTCTTTAAAGTCCATGTAATCCCATGCTCATGGTCCCTACTCCATGAGTATTTGAACCTTGTTGCAACAATAAAGATCAGCTCTACTGACTGCTGATTTGCTTCTTTTCTTGGCTGGAGATTCCTTCTTTTGCTGACCAGGAGAGACCCACAGGGAGTGGCAATCCAATGAGCTGGGCAATGAAGTAAAGCAGCACCCAGAATGCTTCTGTAACAGCTTCCCACAGGCATCTGTTCGGTCCCTGTGAGAAGACAATGCTGGACTAGATGGGCCTTTGGCCGGATCCAGCAGCCAAGCTCTTGCATGAGTGGAAGAGAAGAGAATTAAAGCGAAGAGACACATATATAAAATGACTGATGCATGAAATAGCTAAAGCGGAAGGTGATAGGAGAGAAGCAATGAATTCTACGGGCAAAACATAATCTTCTGGGAACTGCAAGGAGATTCACTCTGGGGAGAGATCCTTGTAGCAGCTCCACTCTGGCCAAGGAGGGTCTACAGAACTCATGGCCGTATCAAGGCAGACCCTCAACCTCTACCCTGCGGGAGGGACTTGCTGCCACAGGGAGAGTTCCAACCTCCAAACTTCTGGGTCCTAAGGGAATTAGGACTGACTGACCGTCCACCTGCCCCCCGATATTCCCACAGACAGCCCACCCAGAGCATCCACAAATTCACCTGGCGAGCCTCCCTCAGGTGGGCAGGTAGAAAGAAGGCAGATCCCCTAGCAGGACAGGTACTGGACTTCCTGCCCTTCCTGAAGGATGCCCTGGATCAAAGGCTCCCCTGCAACACCCTCCACACACACGTGGCAGCCTTGGGCTCAGGTGAGCAGGAGTCCCTTTGGGTTCCCACTGCCTGGTCCAACGCTTCTTGCAAGGAGGCAGCACAACTAAAACCGCCCACAGGGCACAGGTTTCCCTCCACACAGTACTGAAGGTCCCACAGGTCCCCCCTTGGAGCCCCTGCAGAAGGTCCCCCTGAAGCTTCTGAGCTGGAAGGCTCTTTCATGGGTGACCATTAACCTGCAAGGAGATAGGTATCATTCAGAGGGATCCTGTCATGCTGTGATGAGACCCCATCTTCACCCTGAAGGATAATTCCATCTTCTACAGGGCTCAGGTGGTGGTCCTCCCTCCTTTTCTCTAAGCCAAAGTCAGAGATGGAGGAAGAAGGGCACTCTCTAGAGGGGTGCACACCCTCAGGGTCAGAATTCAAGATAACAGATCCGAGAACTGGACCCAAACTAACCAAATGAATTGCAGTAGGGACAAATGTGAGGTTCTGCACTTAGACAGGAAGAACCAAATGCATCAGTATGAGATGGGGGGCACCTTACTTATTAGTAGCACATGTGAAAAGGATCTAGGGGTCTTTAGTAGACCAAAAGCTTAATATTAGTCAACAGTGTGATACAGCAGCAGCAGCAGCAAAAAAGCAAGCTAATGCTATTCTAGGCTTAATCAACAGAAGTGTAGTGTCCAGGTCAAGGGAAGTCACAATACCCCTCTATTCTGCCTTCATCAGACCACATCTCAAGTTCTGTGTTCATTGATGGGCACCACAATTTAAGGAGGATATTGAGAATCTGAAGGCTGTGCAGAGGAGGGCGACCAAGGGGATCAAGGGTCTTGAATTATTGTATTTTAATTATTGTATTATTGTATTTTAATATTTTGTTGGAAGCCGCCCAGAGTGGCTGGGAAACCCAGCCAGATGGGGTGTTTATCATGGAAAAGGAGACTAAGAGGAGATATGAGAGCCATCTTATTCTTTTTTTAAATCATTTTTATTTATTTTCCAATAGAAAACATCCAAATAAACATCTGATCATAATACTTCAATTAAAAACTAAAAAACTAAAATAAAAAGATCAAATTTTAGTCCAAATTGTATTTATTAATTTCTTGGGGCTCCCCATGGTCTGGATCTCTGGAGCAGATCTCTGCATCTTAGTCCTGCTTCTCCTTGTTGTTTCTATATTTTCCACATCTCGATATTAACGCTTGGTATTTTTTTGTTCCTGGGCCCAGGATTCTCATTCATGTCAAACACCATATACAGTGGTACCTCGGGTTACATACGCTTCAGGTTACAGACTCTGCTAACCCAGAAATAGTACCTCGGGTTAAGAAGTTTGCTTCAGGATGAGAACAGAAATCGTGCTCCGGCGGCAGCAGGAGGCCCCATTAGCTAAAGTGGTGCTTCAGGTTAAGAACAGTTTCAGGTTAAGTACGGACCTCCGGACTGAATTAAGTACTTAACCCGAGGTACCACTGTACTTTCATCATCCGAATAAAACTTTGTTAATATAAAATTTTTCCAACTGCCTTTTTCTCAGCTCAGCTTCGTCTGATTCCGTTCCAATTCCGGGATGTTGTCCAAGTCTGTTATCTTTGATGGGGCAGCAACTCCTTAATTGTCCAACCTTCCTTTTGAACTTTGTTAAACCAGTACCTTCCAAATTAAGTTATTAGGCAAAACTGTTTGCAATATTAAACTGTGTTCCACAGTATCAGTCATTTGGCGATCGATCGGCCTTTGGAAACCGCACTGTCCCCACTCTGGGCCCTGGGGGGGGGGGGCTGCTAGACATTCCTTAGCCTTTTCTTTCGCTCATAATGAATATAAAAAGCTTCTGCAAACAGCTGCACTGTGTATTGTTCAAAGTAGTTATCTTGATTCATCACACAGTCAGTCAGCACACAGCTCCTCTTATCTCAAAGAAAGGAAGAGATATAAAAATTCATGCTGTGTCACTAGTAGAAACTAGTGGAAACCATCGTGTCTCTTCCTGCATCTCTGTCAGATCTCTCAAATCCGAAATGAAGCTGAGCGGTTAAATGCCTAATTATAAATAAAAGTCCATCTGTACTTGTTTTTTTAAAGTTTAAATTCTTAATGAGGCTTCAATTGCTAGACGAGCATGGAGCCGAGCCATTTCCTACACCCTCCACCTATTAGCATCGGATGCTCGAATTAGAGGTGGCTTTTCCAATCTGATCCTAAGAGATATTCATAATTCCCCTTGGAAAACTACAATTAACCTCAAATTCCGCTCTCTTCTCAATTTGAATTGTAAAACTGTTCTTAACTTAGAGTGTATTAGCCCGGTGGCCCTACCCCTAATTAAAAGAAACTACAGCAACTTGACTTCTCCAACACAGCTTCTTGTGCAAGAGGACCGTGTTCAGGCCTAGCCCTAGCTATTCCACCCCCTGAAGGGATCCTCTATACTGCTTCACAATTTCTTCGGAGACTAAGCGAAGGGCTTTTACCTGTGCCCGTCTCAACTGTTTTCCTACAGCAGTTCTGTCGGGTCGTTATTCCAGAGTTCCCATCGCAAACAGAACATGCTCCTGTAATGACACGGCCCTGGAGACTATGGAACATGTAATGCTCTTCTGTCCCAACTGGACAGATGAAAGATCTCGGTTTTTAACTCCCCTCATGAATAAGTTCCATCTCCCAATCCAGCCTTGGATAGTGTCCCTCTTTTTGCAGGATTCTGATTGTTGGATTACTGAGATGACAGCTAATTTCCTGCTTAGTGTGATGAAGAGGAAAGCGGCACTAACTTCTTCCTTAACACCACAGATGCAGTCGATACGCCGCACAACCGAACGAAGTTCCAAGTAGCCTTATTGTACAAGGACAATCGAGTTAGGACTAATCTGAGGAGCTGAAGGACCCTTTAAGGGTCCTCCTCCAGCCTCAGCAGCTTTTGTTTTTTTTTTTTTCCCCACTTTCTTTAAGTATTCGCCCAGGACGATGTCTACCTCTACCTCCCCACCCCCATTTTATGTTGTTATTTCAATGTATATCATGCTATGGCCACTCGGCTAATGCAATAAATAAATCTATCTATCTAATGAGGCTTGGCATAAAAGACCAATTATAATTGTTGAGTAGAGAGAGGGGGGAAAACATAGCAAACGTGATCCAAACACCATGATGAGAATCTCTTTGAAGTCCGAACTTAACCCCCAGGAACTGTACACTTCTGCAGGTTTTTCCTCACGCTCCTTCAATCCAGCTGTGTCTGTTTATCGTCAAAATCTATTAATATTCCCAAACAGATGCTCCCGGCTATGAGAATGACATCGAAGGAGTGCCATTCGTTCTGTGCTCGTTGACCCAGTGTCCTGCCAGCTGCACTTTAGTGCACGCCGGCAATCTTGGACAATCCGCAGGTCTTTGAGACAATCCTCCCCTACCCTGCGGAGGCTGCCAGGGCTAATTACCCCCATATCAGCCCTGAATTATTGGAACGGCTGGGGTCCGATCTTGTGGGAGTCCGCCATTTCCCACCGCCAGAAACAGGAAGCCTTGAGAGGCGTCTTCTAATAACTAAAGGGCTGTGCCATGGAAGATGGAGCAAAATGGTTTTCTCCTGCCACAGAGGTTAGGACTGAGGCCATTGACTTCAAGTTACAGGAAAGGAGATTCCAGCTAAATAGCAGGCATAACTTTCTAACAGAAAGAGTGATATAACTGTAGAACAGACTTCAGCAGAAAGTGCTGGACTGTTCTTGATTGGAGAGGCTGAATGACGATTTGTCACAGACAATGCTATTTTTCTAGAAAAAGAGGTGCCAGAACACACCATGAACTTCTCCCTTGTTTTCCTAGAATGGCAATGGCACCCACCTGAGAGGAGCCAGAGCAGAGCTCTGGTGAGCTCCAGCTGAAAAATATCAGCCCTGGTCATGGATGCTTTAGTTGAGCTTCCTGCAATGCATGGGGTTAGATTAGATGACCCTCAGAGTCCCTTCCAACACTGTTTTGGTTGTTAGTCGTGTCCGACTCTTCGTGACCCCCTGGACCAGAGCACGCCAGGCACTCCTGTCTTCCACTGCCTCCCCCAGTTGGGTCAAACTCATGCTGGTAGCTTCGAAAACACTTTCCCACCATCTCGTCCTCTGTCGTCCCCTTCTCCTTGTGCCCTCCATCTTTCCCAACATCAGGGTCTTTTCCAGGGAGTATTCTCTTCTCATGAAGTGGCCAAAGTATTGGAGCCTCAGCTTCAGGATCTGTCCTTCCAGTGAGCACTCAGGGCTGATTTCCTTAAGAATGGATACGTTCGATCTTCTTGCAGTCCATGGGACTCTCAAGAGTCTCCTCCAGCACCATAACTGAAAAGCATCCATTCTTCGGCAATCAGCCTTCTTTATGGTCCAGCTCTCACTTCTATACATCACTACTGGGAAAACCATAGCTTTAGCTTTACGGACCTTTGTCAGCAAGGTGATGTCTCTGCTTTTTAAGATGCTGTCTCCGTCTTCCAACACTATGACCCTACAATTCAACTATTCTCCCTGCTGAGAGTTCTTGGATGGAAAGTGAGGTTGGCCCTCTGAAGCTCTTTCCACATTCCAATCACTGTTATGGTTTCTCCCCATATGGATTCTTTGATGGGAAATGAGATTGTCCTTCCGACTGAAGCACTTTCCACATTCCAGACACTTATAGGGTTTCTCCCCTGCATGGATTCTTTGATGGGAGGTGAGATTGGAGCTATGATTGAAGTTCTTTCCACATTCCAAACATTGATATGGTTTCTCCCCTGTATGAATTCTTTGATGGGAATTGAGACTTTCCTTCCAACTGAAGCTCTTTCCACACTCTTGACACTGAAATGGTTTCTCCAGTGTATGAATTCTCTGATGGGCAGTGAGACTTTGCTTCTGGGTGAAGCTCTTTCCACATTCCAAGCACTGATATGATTTCTCCCCTGTATGAGTTATTTGATGGTTGGTGAGAGTAGAGCTCCGATCGAATCTCTTTCCACATTTTAAGCACAGATATGGCTTTTGCCCTGTATGAATTCTTTGATGTAAACTGAGAGAGCCACTGTGACTAAAGATCTTTCCACATTCCAGACACTGATAGGGTTTCTCCCCTGTATGGATTCTTTGATGGGAAGTGAGACTGACCTTGTGAATGAAGCTCTTTCCACATTCAAAGCATTGATAGGGTTTCTCCCCTGTATGAATTCTTTGATGGATAGTCAGATGATTCTTTGTACCGAAGCTCTTTCCACATTCCAAGCACTGATATGGTTTCTGCCCTGAATGAATTCTTAGATGGACCGTGAGATGGATGCTTTTTCTGAAGCTATTTCCACATTCGAAGCATTGATAAGGTTTCTCCCCTGTATGAATTCTTTGATGGGAAGTGAGAATGGCCATGTGACTAAAGCTCTTTCCACATTCGAAGCACTGATAGGGTTTCTCCCCTGTATGAATTCTTTGATGGGAAGTGAGACTGGAGCTTTGACTGAATCTCTTTCCACATTCCAAACATTGATAGGGTTTCTCCCCGGTATGAATTCTTTGATGGGAAGTGAGACCGGAGCTATGACTGAATCTCTTTCCACATTCCAAACATTGATAGGGTTTGTCCCCGGTATGAATTCTTTGGTGGGAAGTGAGATTGGAGCTCTGACTGAATCTCTTTCCACATTCCAAGCACTGATATGGTTTCTCCCCAGTATGAATTCTTTGGTGGGAAGTGAGATTGGAGCTCTGACTGAATTTCTTTCCACATTCCAAACACTGATATGGTTTCATCCCAATAGGATTTATTTGATAGGGAGTGGAAAGGGAGATGGAGTTCTCTCCACACTCCAAATATTCATACGGTTTCTCTACTGTGTGAATTTTATCATGTTCTCCCTTGTTCTTCATTTCCAATTCAACACCACCTGTGATGAAGAGAGAAATGGATTAGAACCTCAGAAATAAATGGAGCTCCAAATGATTGGACAATGAAAATTAACTCTTGTGATAGTGGAAGAACAAAAGAGGGTTAGGCATGAGGTCTTACTACAGGGTTCACTGCCTTTGTTGACTGGTATTCATGGACGTATTTGTGGAAACCTGAGATGTTCAAAACCTGGCTCTTTTCTTGAATGGATTTTTTTTGGCCGAATCATGGAATTTTCTGCATCTCTATTGTCAGTCACCTGTTTGTTGCTCCATTTCCAAGGTCCATAGTCTCTTTGGTCAACCAAAAACAGACAGAAGCAAAAACAAAAACTCAAATCCTGACAGAATCTACTTTCACTTCCCTAAAAATTCTGAAAACTACCGTATTTTTCGCTCCATAGGACGCACTTTTTCCCCTCCAAAAATGAAGGGGAAATGTGTGTGCGTCCTATGGAGCGAATGCAGGCTTTCGCTGAAGCCTGGAGAGCGAGAGGCATCGGTGCGCACCGACCCCTCTCGCTCTCCAGGCTTCAGGAAGCTATCCGCAAGCCTTGCAAGCCCGGTGGGAGTTCCCGCGGGCTCACAAGGCTTGCAGGCAGCAGCCTGCAGCCCCGGCGAGTGTCCGCAAGCCTTGCGCGCCCGGCAGGAGGTCCCGCCGAGCGCGCGAGGCTTGGGGCAGCAGCCTGTCGCCCGAGCACGGGGAGTCCTCCGGAGGGCTCCCGTGCTTCGGGCAGTGTCTGCAAGCCTTGCGCGCCCGGCAGGAGGTCCCGCCGAGCGCGCAAGGCTTGGGGCGGCAGCCTGTCGCCCGGAGCATGGGGAGCCCTCCGGAGGGCTCCCCGTGCTTCGGGCGAGTGTCTGCAAGCCTTGCGCGCCGGGCAGGAGGTCCCGCCCAGCGCGCAAGGCTTGGGGCTGCAGCTTGTCGTCCGGAGCACGGGAGCCCTCCGGAGGGCTCCCGTGCTCGGGCGAGTGTCTGCAAGCCTTGCGCGCCCGGCAGGAGGTCCCGCCCGGCGCGCAAGGCTTGGGGCTGCAGCTTGTCGCCCGAAGCACGGGGAGCCCTCCGGAGGGCTCCCGTGCTTCGGGCGAGTGTCTGCAAGCCTTGCGCGCCCGGCAGGAGGTCCCGCCCGGCGCGCAAGGCTTGGGGCTGCAGCTTGTCGCCCGAAGCACGGGAGCCCTCCGGAGGGCTCCCGTGCTTCGGCGACTGTCTGCAAGCCTTGCGCGCCCGGCAGGAGGTCCCGCCCGGCGCGCAAGGCTTGGGGAGGTAGCCTGCAGCCCGAAGCACGCGAGGCTTGGGGCGGCAGCCTGGGGGGGGGATAATTTTTTTTATTCATTTCCCCCCCCCCAAAACGAGGTGCGTCCTATGGACCGGTGCGTCCTATAGAACGAAAAATACGGTAAATTTATGAAGGCCTGGGCACTTCAGAGCAGGCTGATCAGGATTTTAAAAAGTCGTAACTGGAGGAGGAATTTTCACAGATGAAACAATCCATACCCCTCCAGTTATGGTGACCTGTGAAGTGTTAGAATCCCAGGTGCTGTAGGTGGTGCTGTTGAGCTCCAAAAACATCTGGCAGGTTTCTCATTTTGATATAGATAGAGATAGATAGATAGATAGATAGATAGATAGATAGATAGATAGATATAGACAGATAGATGATACATAGATCGAGCTATGGAATTTCAAAGCAGATATTATCATCCAACTGGGAGCCTTACCGAGGGAGGCCATGATCCCACGATTCTCCTCCATGACTTCCTTATGCAAAGCTCTCTGGTCAGGATCCAACAACGCCCACTCCTCCTCCGTGAAATACACAGCTACATCTTCAAAGCACAGAGGACCCTGAAAGGAAAAAGACAAGGGTCCTCCTCTAAGGCAGCCTAAAGATTATCTACTACACTTTGCGGTGGTGTTTCCTGCCTGTTCATTTCTGTGTTGTGTTATTTGCAATGGGGATACTCAAAAATGCTGAGCAAAGGTCCACTAGGCTGTACCACTTGGTCCCTGCAGGGATGGCGCTCTGAGGGTTGGCCACCACTGGGTGTTTTTGGACCACAAACTGGTACACAAGTCTTAAATCTTGGACCAGCCAAAAAGGATCTGGGGTAGAATTCAAGGCTTGTGAATAGGTATTACTGACATGGCTTGCAGTTTTTGGGACAGAAAGTATCGGTCTAATATGCCGAGATCTTTCCTATTCTATTCATTCAAGAAGGTTCTGGAAACTTGTCTGGGTCTCACAAGCTACAAGCTGCTACAAGCTGCAAGCGTCTAGTCTCTAGATGATCAGCAATTATTTCCATTCTGCCTGGAAACGAGCAGAAGGTTCCTGCTGTTTGGGTTATTCCTTCAGAGAAGCGGAGTACAGCTGGTTGAAGCTGGCCCAGTTAATTTTCTATCCCAAGGCCATGCTGCCTATAAACATAGGCCATAATTCCTCTGTCGTGGATGTGAGTCCAATTATGGCTTCCTTTGGAAAAGGATACTGTTTGGTAAAAGGAAAGGGCAGGTCTTTGCTGTATTTTAGTTTGACTGCTGTGGCAGACTTCAAGAGTTGCACAGGATTAGATTCCAGCCCCCACAACCAAGGGGGTATCTTGTTCTTCAGCTCAAGGGGGAGGCCTCTAAACTCTCTTTCCTGCTTAGCCTCCTGCACTATCCCTTCAAGCTTAAGCATTTAATAATTATGGGCTAATACTTGCCTGGATCTGCCTGGGGTCTCCTTTGACTTCTCTCATCTAAGGTGTTGAACACTGATTTGGCTATTGAAAATAACTTGCTAATGCTTTCCCCATCATAACCAATATGCGGGTTTAGGGCATTCCTGATGTCAAACACGGATTTGTCCTTAAAGAACCCATTTATAACACCCTTCATGTTGGGAGGTTTTCCAGATAAATCCCTGCCTATGTTTTATGGCGGCTACCAGACGGACGTAGTATTCAGATGGATGTATATCTGTGTAGTCCTTGTATGACGGTTTACGACATTACACTGTTTGCTGACTGGCAGGTTTGATGGCATCTACGATGGTTTTCTTAAAAATCTTCAGGCACTAGGATCCATGATCAGTGTTATGGCCCCAGTTGGGCTTGTTGGCTATGGGGTTCCCCATTGACAAAATGGAGGTAAGTCAAGGTCCCTGTCTCCGAAATGGCACTGGGACCCTGTTTTGGCCTGGTTTAAAGGTGGGGAAAGGCTGGGGATGAGGATCCACTCTGTACTTTCCCCATGCTCTGTTTTGGGGTGGGGGAACCTCACAATGACCAAAAGTCAACTTAACGGGTCATATGGAGGCAAAAATGAAAGGACGTCCTCTCTCTTCACCCCATGGTCTGTTTTTTTTTTGGGGGGGGTGTTGGGGAATCTTGGCCACTGTTTCTATGATATGTCAACTGCTTAGAAGCCCATCGGAGCACTCAATCATAAATATATAATGTCAGGGGTTCAGGAGCAGAGGCAAGGGCAAGGGAGGAAACAGAGAGCGAGGGGGAGGAGGCAGAAGAAAAGATGAGTGATGACGACGACCCGAGATCTCCGAGTCTTTCCAGTGAATCAGAAGATTCACAGAAAGGAGCACCAGTGGCCAGGGCAAGGGGGAGCCTAGGGGACGCCCCAGGAAGATAGAGCCAGAGGGGACTCAGAGGGGAGCAGTTGGAAATCGGGACCAGCGTCACCGCCAGAGAGCAGGGAAGAGGAAGGGAGCCAGGGATCAAGCGCTGGCAGCTCACAACAGGGGGGAGGGCACGAGTCAGGAGTGGCCACACCTCCATCGGGGAGCGAAGAAACGGTCAGACGGAAGGTGGAAGGTTGGGCGCGCGCGCATGGTTCAAATGCACAGGAAGGTGGCACAGTAGGCAGCCCGGAAAGGGAGCCAGGTCCTAAAGCCCGCCGAAAGGAGGGAGAAGAGTCAGGGGGGTCAGCGTCAGCGTCAGAGGAATCCCGGAAAGAAGAGACCCCAGGGGGCAGAGGGACCCAGAGAAGAACAGTCAGGCGGAAAAGGTGGAGCAGGGCTAGGATATTAAGTTGGTGTACAAGGGTCGGAGACTCAGACGGAGCTTCGCCGGTCTAACCATGAGACGTAGAGTTGCACGCAGCAGTTTGAGAATGGAAACTGTAACTCAATAAAGACTTTTGTTTAATGATCGCTGGCTAGCGTGATCCTCTGTGAGCTAGGATCTGGAAGCAGCTCTGACAGTAAGCTCCGTCTCCATAAATTGTGGGCATCTACAGCCTCGCGGAGAGGAGAGAAAGCGGGTGCCTACTAGCGAGCTCACGAAAGGCAGACAATATGACGGCCGAACAGCAGATAGCGGAACTCAGAGAAGCAGTGTCACGACTGAATGCCGAGGCTCTTGCATCCAGGAAGAGAGAGGAGGACGCAGCTGCCGCCTACAGGGATCTCCAGGTCAGGTTGGAAGTGCTTACGAAGCAAGGGCAACTGACACCCAAACCGGAGGGATTGGGTTGGGGAGACGAACAGGCGGTCTGGTCTCTCACTTCGATGGGAATTTGCAACAGTACCCCAACTTTAGAGCAGATGTAATGTGTGCACTGCAACTGCTGGACAAAGACTTTAGAGATGAGCAAGAGAAGGTGGGATTCATCATGTCCCATTTGCATGGAGATGCTAAAGCATGGCTGCGCAATTTGTGGAGAGATAAGGATCCGGCGCTCCAAAATGCGGATGCCTTTATTAAAGCGATGGATGGGTGCTTTTTATCAAGCATTGACGTGGATCTTGCTCGGCAGCAGATACATGGACTGAAGCAAGGGAGGGCCAGCGTAAGGCAGTACCATGCCCGCTTTTCGCTTTGGTCAGTGCTCTGGAATGGGACAGAGATTCGGCTCCTGTAAGAGACCTGTTTTGGGAGGGATTGCACGGCTCGGTTAAAGATGAAATTGCGAGGGGAGAGACCCGGACCACGCAGGAGATCGTTCAGAGGGCGCTGGCGGTGGGGGTGCGGCTGGAAGAACGTCCGTGGAGCAGGGACGAAGGGCGTGGAAGGCGCGAACCAGCCAGGGGCTCCTCCTTCCTTCCCAGAGAAGCAGCGCGTGCGCAATCCACGCCTCCGCCAGGAGGAGGAGCGGAACCTATGGAGGTTGGAGGTGCAAGGGCTCAGTCAGCAGCCAGAGCCCTAGCACCGGCAGCAGTGAGCGAAGCCTCCTAGAGGGAACAGGAAGTGTTACATCTGCGATGCTCCACAGCATATGGCGAAAGAGTGTCCCCAGAGGCTCCACAAGCACACTGCAGCTTCAGCAATGGTAACTGCAGCAACGCAGCAAGGAGAACCACAGCAGGGAAACGACGGAGTCTGGTTGGAGGAAGAGGCACTGGGGCCCAGCCAGACGTGTCAGTGAAGCAGTCCCCAGAGATTTTACAGCCCATGGACCCCCTCCCGCCCAAACCAGTAGTGAGGCTCACCGCGTCGCTCCAGCTGCCCAATGGAATCACCATGGACGTGCCAATCACCATTGACTCCGGAAGCAATGCGGACTTTATAGGGCAGGACTTTGTCGACCGGCACGCTATACAGTTGCTGCCTGCCACGCTGCCCCTGCAGGTTGTCACGGTGGATGGCAGGGAGCTGCTAGGGGGGCAAGTGGTGAAGCAGACGCCACCAATGGTGATGCGGCTTGGGAATCACAGGGAAATCATCAGCTTCAATGTCACTCAACTATCGGACACGCCCATTGTATTGGGCATGAGTTGGCTGGACAAGCACAGCCCGACGCTGGCTTGGTACCAGAGGCAGCTGACCTTCGGCTCTTCCTTTTGCGCTGAACACTGCATCGTGCCCCGGCAGGAAGGAGAGGAAGAGGAGTCACAGCTGCAGCTAGGCACGCTGCAAGCGGTTCCCCACAAGTACGCAGAATTTTTGGAGGTTTTCTGCGAGAAGGAGGCAGACAGGCTACCCCCACAGACCATATGACTGCAAAATTGACCTGCTGCCGGGGGCGGCGCTGCCCAAAGGGAAGCTGTATTCCATGTCTGAGGACGAACTGCAGGAACTCAAAGAGTTCATAGATCATAATTTGGAGCGCGGTTTCATCCGAGAGTCCAAGGCAGCGGGGGCAGTCCGGTATTCTTTGTTAAGAAGCGGGACACGCCCCAGAAAAGACTTGTAGTGGACTATCGCATTTTGAACAGCGTGACCAAGCCATCGGACTTCCCCATGCCCCGAATCGACGACCTCCTCGCAAAGGTACGGAAGGGCAGCGTGTTCACTAAGTTGGACCAGCGCAGGGCGACCCACCTCAATCGCATCCGGGAAGGAGATGAGTGGAAGACAGCCATGTTCACGCCCCTGGGCACCTACGAATATAGAGTTATGCGTTCATGCATCACGTGTTGGCGGGGCTCCTCTACAAGACGTGCGTCTGTTTCTTGGATGACATCCTGATCTTTTCGGAATCGCAGCAGGAGCATGACAGACACGTCAAGGAAGTGCTGAGCAGGCTACAGCAACATAGGCTTTACGCCAAGCTGGAGAAGTGCCAATTCGACGTGACGGAGGTGGATTTCCTGGGCTACAAGTTGTCTGATAAAGGGCTCGCCATGGACAGCGCCAAGGTCCGAGCAGTGTTGGATTGGAAAAGCCCACGCAACCGGAAGGAGGTCCAACGGTTTGTCGGCTTTGCGAACTTCTATCGCAAGTTTATCAAAGGCTTTGCCATGCAGACAGCGGCCATCACGGACACGCTCAGCTCCAAGAAAAGAAGTTCATCTGGACAGAGCAGGCGGAGCAGTCCTTTCCAGGCACTCAAGCGTCTCTTCGCGTCGGAAGGGCAACTGCTTCATGTCAACCCCAGCAAGCCGATGAGGGTGGAGACAGACGCTTCGGACAGAGCCGTGGGAGCAGTCCTGCTGCAGAAGGACCCGCAGGGGGTTTGGAGGCCGGGAGCGTTTTACTCAAGGAAGCTCAGCAAGTCCGAACAGAACTACACCATCTGGGACAGGGAGTTGCTGGCCATTCATGCAGCGTTCAAAGCGTGGAGGCACTTCCTGATCGGCGCCAAGCACACGGTGCAGGTCTGCACGGACCACAAGAATCTAGAGCACTGGCGCACGGCACAGTTCCTGAACCAGAGGCAGATACGTTGGGCTGAGTTCTTTGCGAATTTCGACTTCCGAATAGAGTATGTCCCGGGGACACCAACATCATGGCGGATGCTCTCTCCCGTAAGCCGCAGTATCTGGAGGAGGCAACGCCAGCGGCCGCCATGCACATCTTCGCACCGACAGTGTGGGCGTGCACGGCGGCAACAGTTGACCTGGAGGCGGTGCGACGAGCGTTGCAGGATGACTCCTTCGCGCAAGCAAAGATGGCAGAGGCGCACAGGGGCACGGCAGCGACCGACGAGTTCCAGCTGCGAGATGGTTTGCTCATCCGTAAAGGGGCCATCTACGTGCCGGGAGACGAACTTCGCGCCAAGGTACTGCAGCAGCTGCACGACGCGCCCACTGCCGGGCACTTTGGCAAGGAGAAGACGGTGGAATTAGTAGCCAGAGACTTCTGGTGGCCAGGAATGAGAGGGAAGTCGCGGACTACGTGGCGAGGTGTGACACCTGCCAGAGGGCCAAACCAGTGCACAGACCGCCGGCCGGATTGCTGGAACCGCTGCAAACTCCGTTCGAACCATGGGAGAGAGTGGCCCTGGACTTTGTCACGGATCTGCCCAGCTCGAGGGGCAAGACGGCTGTGCTGGTGGTGGTGGACTTGTTCTCCAAGATGGCACATTTCATTCCGTGTGCGAAGGTGGCCACGGCGGAACAAACCGCCAAACTGTTCATAGACCACGTGTTCAAGGTTCACGGTCTGCCGCGGTCTATTCTGTCCGACCGAGGGCGACAGTTCATCTCGAACTTCTGGCAGAGGCTGATGGGCTTCCTGAACGTCAAGATCAACCTGGCGTCGGCTAGACACCCGCAGACCAATGGGCAAGCGGAGCGGAGTCAATGCCATCATGCAGCAGTACCTGAGATGTTATGCGAATCAACAGCCTGCGACGTGGGTGGATTACCTGCCTCTCGCCGAGTTCGCCTACAACAACACGAAGCACGTGTCCACGGGAGTCACGCCGTTCTTCGCCAACAACGGGAGGCACCCCAGAACCTTCCCGGGACTGGAAAGAATGGGGGAGGGGAGCCGCAGACAGCAGATGCATTCGCGTCGGAGTTGCAGGAGGTCCACGATCAGCTGCGGCGGCACCTGGAGCTGGCTAAACACGCATACAAGGTACAAGCGGACAAACACAGAAGGGTTGGCGAAGAGATCCATGTGGGAGACTGGGTCTGGTTAGCAGCCCACGCAGTGACTGCCAGGACGTTGCCGAAGAAGAAACTAGGGCATAAACAACTGGGGCCCTACCAATTCGAAGAACAGGTCAACCCGGTGGCTTTCAGGCTGGCTCTTCCGGAGGGTTCCAGGATGCATCCGGTGTTCCACAGATCGGTGCTCACTCCATACAAGGCACCTCACAGGTTTCAGGAACCAGGAACGGCACCGGGTCCGCTCCGAGAGAGAACCGGGCAGGGGGGAGTGGCACGGGAGGAGCGCATCAACGAAGCCACGGAGATTTTGGACTCCAGATGGGGGAAGAAGGGGTAGAATACCTTCTCGCCAAGGAGGGCACCCCGGCCAGTGCCAACAGCTGGGTGCCGGGCTACGCTTTAGACGAACCTCTGCTCAAAGAAGAGTTTCATGCCCTCTTCCCACATAGGCCAATGCCAGCAGACTTTTCGACGACTGGCTTTTCACGCCCACGCTTTCAGCCAGCACGTTCCGGGGGTTCGACTCGGACGAGGAACCGACACGAGACGCCCGTTCCCCGGAAGGGTCACCCTCGGGATCTGCTTCAGAACCCTCGTATTGGTGGGATGATCGACCAGAGGAGCAGTTCCGCAGAAGGTGGCTGGAGGGTCCAGGACGAGCAACGTCTCCAGAAGGTAACGAGGGAGAGACGGACATGGACGTTTTCGGGGACGACCCGGGTTTCGAGCACGGCGGCACAGAGATGGAAGCGGAGGTGACCGTCGTCACCGAGAGCAGGGAGGAAGAACCGGAAGACTTCAGATGGCGGCCCGCCACGGGAAGCGAACTGTATCCGACATTCGTCCCCTGACACGGCAGCACCCAGATCCCGCACCGGAAGGAGGGGAGGGGAAGAGGGGGCTTCGAGGGGGATGGATGTCAGGGGTTCAGGAGCAGAGGCAAGGGCAAGGGAGGAAACAGAGAGCGAGGGGAGGAGGCAGAAGAAAAGATGAGTGATGACGACGACCCGAGATCTCCGAGTCTTTCCAGTGAATCAGAAGATTCACAGAAAGGAGCACCAGTGGCCAGGGCATAGAGCCAGAGGGGACTCAGAGGGGAGCAGTTGGAAATCGGGACCAGCGTCACCGCCAGAGAGCAGGGAAGAGGAAGGGAGCCAGGGATCAAGCGCTGGCAGCTCACAACAGGGGAGGGCACGAGTCAGGAGTGGCCACACCTCCATCGGGGAGCGAAGAAACGGTCAGACGGAAGGTGGAAGGTTGGGCGCGCGCATGAGTTCAAATGCACAGGAAGGTGGCACAGTAGGCAGCCCGGAAGGGAGCCAGGTCCTAAAGCCCGCCGAAAGGAGGGAGAAGAGTCAGGGGGGTCAGCGTCAGCGTCAGAGGAATCCCGGAAAGAAGAGACCCCAGGGGGCAGAGGGACCCAGAGAAGAACAGTCAGGCGGAAAAGGTGGAGCAGGGCTAGGATATTAAGTTGGTGTACAAGGGCGGAGACTCAGACGGAGCTTCGCCGGTCTAACCATGAGACGTAGAGTTGCACGCAGCAGTTTGAGAATGGAAACTGTAACTCAATAAAGACTTTTGTTTAATGATCGCTGGCTAGCGTGATCCTCTGTGAGCTAGGATCTGGAAGCAGCTCTGACATATAAATAAAACTGCAAGTATTGATAAATAATACTAGCAACATACAGAAGGCTAGTTAAGGAGGGGAAGCTGTTCCTGATTTTCAGCAGATAGACCTCCTTGAATGGCACTTTCAGCCTTTGTTTGGAACAGCTTTGACGAAACCAAAGAGGAAGAGAGGGATTTCTTCATTCCCAGAGAAATCCTGGCTGCCCCACTCCTGAGCCTCTTTCCCCACTAGGCTCCTCCCTCCTACCTGATCTGCTTCTACAGCTGCTGCTTCCTCTCCACCACCAGGAAAAGACGGGTGAGGAGGTCTTGTTGGCATTCTTCTTTCACCTGAGAGACAAAGATTAGTTGGAAGCCAGGAGTGCATGCTTCTCTGAGATGTACATTTTGACGGTTGTACAAATTTCATAGTTTTGTTGTGCTCTTCTGGGCTCTTGGGCCCAAATGTCTTCCCCCCCAAAATCAAAAGAACTCACAGATTACTTTCAAAAGCAACAGAAAGACCAAACAGAGAAGAAACTCCTTCCTCCTTACCTAGTGAACTATCTGTGGTGTCCAATGGAGTCCTCTCTGCCTCAGAGTAATTGGAGCCCATTTCTGCAACCAGATCCTTTTCCTGAAAGAGCAACAAGGATTCAAAACTGGAGAGAATGATGGAGGCATATAATCTGGACAAAAAAGTTGGTTTCCAGGTGGAAAAATCAAAATTGGAAACAGAATTGTTAGATCCAAAAATTAAGAATTTGTCAAGAATGTATAACTTGCTGTTGAAATGGAACACTCAGGATGAAATGGTGAAATCAGCTATTATTAAATGGGCACAAGATGTTGGACATAACATAATGATGGCTGACTGGGAACAGTTATGGACCACAGGTATAAAATTCACGGCATGTAATGTCCTAAGAGAAAATTTAATGAAAATGATTTATAGGTGGTATATGACACCAGTCATGCTTGCAAAAATTTATCATTTGCCCGACAATAAGTGTTGGAAATGTAATGAGACTGAAGGTACATTCTTTCACCTTTGGTGGACATGCCCAAAGATTAAGACATTCTGGGAGATGATCTATAACGAAATGAAACAGGTATTTAAATATACCTTTCTGAAGAAACCAGAGGCCTTTCTCCTGGGCATGGTTGGCCAATTGGTGTCAAAGAAGGATAGAACTTTTTTTATGTATGCAACAACAGCAGCAAGAATACTCATCGCGAAGTATTGGAAGACACAAGATTTACCCACTCGGGAAGAATGGCAGATGAAGTTGATGGACTATATGGAATTGGCGGAAATGACTGGCAGAATCCGAGACCAGGGAGAAGAGTCGGTGGAAGAAGACTGGAAAAAGTTTAAAGACTATTTACAGAAATACTGTAAAATTAATGAATGTTAGAAAAATGTTGGAATGAAGTTATATGGCTTTAGTAGAAATGTTATAAGGAATTAAGTATAAATAGATCAATAGAGTATTAAAGGGGAAAATATGGTTAGAATCTGTTAAGATAATTAAAGGATAGAAAGCAGAGGAAGATGGAAAGGAATTGCTGAAACAATCAACAGAAGTGGAATACAAAAAGGGAGGTGTGAGGAGGTCACTGAAATAAGTGAATGAAAGATAAGATATTGAAATTGTTTGATGTCTTTTAAATTGTTTTTGTTTTGTTTTGTTAGTTTAAGGTGTTATGTAGTGTTTTTGTGATGTATTGTTCTTTTTTCTTTTTCTTTTTTTTGTGTGTGTTTAAATTGTTGGAAAAGTAATAAATATTATTTTAAAAAAAACTGGAGAGAATGGAGAGAAAGGCTAGAGAAGGAACGGGAGAGGCAAAATCTTTAGGGGTATCTCATGTCATTTCTTGGATGCTCCCCCCCCAAAAGGATGAGCAATTAGTATAGGTTTTTAGTATGTGCTCCCTCCTGTTTGGAGCCCCTTGGGAGCATCCAGAGGAAAGTCTCTCTCACCTGCTTCTCCGCCTGCTTCCTCTCCTCCGCCTGACTCAGGAGGAATCCTTCGGCCAGGGCCACTGCCTGGGAACTGGTCTCTGCTCCGCATTCCCTCACCCAGCTCTCCATCTCCGGCGGAAGGACAGCCAGGAACTGCTCCAAGATCACCAGGTCCAGCATCTCAGCTTTCGTGTGCCTTTCTGGCTTCAGCCACTGGTGGCAAAAGTGGTGGAGTTGGCTGCAAACTTCTCGGGGTCCTTTGGCCTCCTGGGAGCAGAACCACCTGAACTGCTGGCTCTGCGCCTCTGAGCGAAGGGTGTCCTCCTCTCCCAGGAGCTTCTGCACTGAGTTTTCCCATAATCCCCCACTGCTCCCAGTTTCCATGGCATGGCCTCTTCCTCCTTCAGGGCCAGTTGAGTCTCTCTCATCCATCTGACCTCTCAGGAAGCCTGCAAGAGATCAGAAGAAAACTCTTTTTACAAAAGAAATCCAAAAATCCAAATTAACATCCAACATTCAAAAGCAATTTAAAATAAACCCTCTCCCAAATAAAACAGCACCCACCCGAGTTAAAACTCCATCACTGCTACAACAATAACTGGAATTTCTAGGCACCTATTCATTATATAAAGCAACGTATGAGTGGACTAAAACCATGTACATTTACAAAATACACATTCAGGGACCAAACAGTTCAGCCAGATGCCTGAAGCAGGAGTAGTAATAATCACAATAACAATAATATTATCATTTCCCATTACAAATATTTTCCCACCAGAGAAAAACACACACTTTCTACATTCAGCTACCTTCCAAAATTCTGTTCCTGCTTCAGAAACTCGGCTATGATCTTTTCATCAGGTCAGTGCCTAGAATCCATCCAGTTAATCCATTTCGGGAAGCCCCCCCCAATCCATCCAGTTAATCCATTTCGGGAAGCCCCCCCCCCAATAAACCAGCACTGCTGCTGCCAACGTCCAGGCCAAGCTGCGCTTGATTTCAGGAGCAGGTAGAGGAAAGAAAGTCGGCTCCGTGGAGGGAGGGGTTGCCCAGGTGGATCAGCTGAACACGGCGCCCTCCGGGAGGGCTCAGCTGCCCGGCACCGGAAAACGAGGGGATGCTTGCAATGCCTTCTCTGCGGAGATGCCCTGGAAGACGGGCTGGAAACGGGCCCACCATCCCGCGGCCACATTATGGGCTGGGATCCCTCTCTTGAGTCACGGCATAGTTCTACCTTTTCTCCAGTGAGCTCAAGGGGGCATCCATGGGTCTGTGTCTGCACACCTCCTGAGAAGGAGCCCCCGCCCTGGCTTTGCAGAGATGGAGGGGGAGGACCCTCGGCTGCCTGATTTGGGGTTCGGTGGGGGTGGGCAGGGGACCCCTCTTCTCCCCAATGCCCCCTCCGGGGGAAGAGAGAGGAGACTCACCAGGGCGCAGAAGGCGCCGCCGAGGCAGCATTTGCAAAGGAGTCGACAGCCCCCTCCCCCTCTTGCAGGAAGGGGGGAGGAAAGCGAGGACCTGCCCCCCCGCGACACTTTTATATCCCGTCCTCTCTAGGAATCCAGCTCAGCTCCTTTTAACCCTTGGCAGGCCGTGCGCACCCATTTCACCCCTCTCCCTCTCTGCCTTTTCGCCTCCAGAGCAGGAGACCAGCAAAAGCCATGTGCGCTGCGCAGTCAGATAAGTTTTCTGGGGGGCGGTTCTAATCTGCTCCCTCCCTTGTGTTACGGAAATGAAGGGGGGGCACATCTTAGAGAGCAGTTTTCCGCCTCCTTCCCAAACCCCTGGACGATGAGCCCAGCCACCTTCGTTCATAGTCGCAGAAGCACTGCATTAACCATGGCCGTAAAGCAGCACGTTCAATCGATCAATATTGTCGGAATGTTCAGGGAGGCAGAAGAGCATATATTGTTTAATAATATCCTTCCTAACTTGCCTTAGCAAGTTCAATAACTTAGCAGAGTTTAAACATTCCCCCTTTAAACGCACAGCGGTTAACTTGTTGCCAGCTCGTTTGAGCTTCTAAATATAGGATTTCTGGTAATTCCCTTTTGTCCCTCTTAAAAAGAATAGACACGACAATCTTATTTAAAGTCAGTAAAAACAAGTTTACTCACAGTATCATCAGTTCACAATTGCATCTCTGAAGGTTACAAAATATATACAAGAGGAACTATCCCATACGGGGTGCTCTGTGGGCTGGAAGGAAACAGGGCGTTTCTAGCTGAAGAGCTGTTGCTTCTTCGATAAAAGCAAGATGGAGAAGACAGTCCAAGAGAGGAAGTGTGCTCCCTGCCTAGCCCTTTTGTTACCTGGGCAGGTAAGGCCACGCCCACCTCTAGTCACATGCAGAGGAAGTTTGTACAAAACATCCCCTTGCATGTCCACTCTAGGAATGTTGTGCATGACTGCTATGTCTTTCACATCCCACAAATATATAACACTGAACTTATGTTACTGCTTGATGAATGAACCCTGTGTTTTATGAATCGAGTCTGTATTTTGAGAATTACCAAAGATCGACCAGCGGGGAGCTCTGAAATCCGACAGCTAACCAATCGGGTATTACCAAACAGCGCCCCTATTGTGCGAAGTAGGTAACTACCAGGGAGCCGCGCAAAGCCTTCAGCCCAGCAGCTCAGCCTTTGCACGGTTGACTGAGCACCAGCTTCTGTGTAAATAATGGCGAAAGCTGGCAAATTGTATCTCTTCTGGTTTCGAACCTCTTACATTGTTGCAAGAAAGCGTCAAATTGTATTCCTTTGTCTTTGACAGTGCTGATGGAGTACTAACCTTTGAAAAAGCATATAAAATCAATGCCTTGACCAATTCTTCCCATTTCAATGACAGTTTGCTTCAAAAGGGAAGGCAGACTTGGACACCGCCCTCCTCCATAATCCCTGAGACATAAAGTCATGTACACAGCACCCCTCCCTTGAGGGAAACAATGGACATCTGCTGATGGGTTTGCTCAGGCCAGGTGTTCCCAAAGCCCATCCTCCCATCCTTGAGAAGGCCAGAAGACAAGGATATGCATTGATAGTTTTATTGTTCTTTAGGTGGCGGCTACTTAAGGTGTCAGTAGGGACGCGTGTGGCGCTGTGGGTTAAACCACAGAGCCTAGGACTAGCCAATCAGAAGGTCGGCGGTTTGAATCCCTGCGATGGGGTGAGCTCCCGTTGCTTGGTCCCTGCTCCTGCCAACCTAGCAGTTTGAAAGCAGTCAAAGTGCAAGTAGATGAATAGGTACTGCTCCGGCAGGAAGGTAAACGGTGTTTCCATGCGCTGCTCTGGTTCGCCAGAAGCAGCTTAGTCATGCTGGCCACATGACCCGGGAGCTGGACGCCGACTCCCTCCGCCAATAAAGTGAGATGAGTGCCGCAACCCCAGAGTGGGTCACGACTGGACCTAATGATCAGGGGTCCCTTTACCTTTACTTAAAGTGTCTGGAACTTAATCTGATAAGCGGGGCAACTTGACAAACTTGGGTATCCTCACAACTCTCCTCCCTCCTTGTATACCAGTATACCCGAAGGATACCTGAAGGAGCCCAGTATACCTGAAGGAGCGTTGCCACCCCCATCGTTCAGACCGGACACTGAGGTCCAGCTCTGAGGGCCTTCTGGTGGTTCCCTCCCTGCGAGAAGTGAGGTTACAGGGAACCTGATCAAATTTGCAGATGACACCAAACTGGGGGGGGTGGCTAACACCCCAGAGGACAGGATCACACTTCAAAACGACCTTGACAGATTAGAGAACTGGGCCAAAACAAACAAGATGAATTTTAACAGGGAGAAATGTAAAGTATTGCACTTGGGCAAATAAAATGAGAGGCACAAATACAAGATGGTGACACCTGGCTTGAAAGCAGTACATGTGAAAAGGATCTAGGAGTCTTGGTTGACCACAAACTTGACATGAGCCAACAGTGTGACGCGGCAGCTAAAAAAGCCAATGCAATTCTGGGCTGCATCAATAGGAGTATAGCATCTAGATCAAGGGAAGTAATAGTGCCACTGTATTCTGCCCTGGTCAGACCTCACCTGGAGTACTGTGTCCAGTTCTGGGCACCACAGTTCAAGAAGGACACTGACAAACTGGAACGTGTCCAGAGGAGGGCAACCAAAATGGTCCAAGGCCTGGAAACGATGCCTTATGAGGAACGGCTAAGGGAGCTGGGCATGTTTAGCCTGGAGAAGAGGAGGTTAAGGGGTGATATGATAGCCATGTTCAAATATATAAAAGGATGTCACATAGAGGAGGGAGAAAGGTTGTTTTCTGCTGCTCCAGAGAAGCGGACACGGAGCAATGGATCCAAACTACAAGAAAGAAGATTCCACCTAAACATTAGGAAGAACTTCCTGACAGTAAGAGCTGTTCGACAGTTGAATTTGCTGCCAAGGAGTGTGGTGGAGTCTCCTTCTTTGGAGGTCTTTAAGCAGAGGCTTGACAACCATATGTCAGGAGTGCTCTGATGGTGTTTCCGGCAGGGGGTTGGACTCGATGGCCCTTGTGGTCTCTTCCAGCTCTATGATTCTATGATTCTATGATTCTATGAACCAGGAAGAGGGCCTTCTCGGTAGTGGCACCCGCCCTGTGGAACACTCTCCCATCAGATGTTAAAGAAATAAACAACCATCTGACCTTTAGAAGACATATAGAGGCAGCGCTGTTTAGGGAAGTTTTTAATGATGATGTTTTAATGTATTTTTAATCTTTTGTTGGAAGCTGCCCAGAGTGGCTGGGGAAAACCAGCCAGATGGGTGGGGTATAAATAAATGATGATGATGATGATGATGATGATGATGATGATGTATCAGTGATGTATGAATGATGCTTCTGGAAATGCATTCTGGGTAGTAACCTGTGTTCAGGGTTCTTACTCCTTGCTGGGACCTATTGCGCAACAATAATGGTTGTGGTCTACGGACTGCTGTTTTGCTTTGTTACTTGGTTAGAACGTCCTTCTTTTGCTGACCGCAGAGACCTGCGGGAGACTTGCACCCCAACAAGCTGGTCTGCTGAGTATCCTTGCACCCCGGAATTTCCCCTAACATTTGAAAACAGAAACAGGAGGAACAGCTTGTAGGAGAAATTGGAGCATGGAAAATGGAGCAAGCTGGTTTTCTCCTGCTGCAGAAGTTAGGACTGAGGCCATTGATTCAAGTAACAGGAAAGGAGATTCCAGCTAAACAGTAGGCATAACTTTCTGTCAGTAAGAGCGATATCACTGTAGCACATACTCCACCAGAAGTTGCTGGCCTGTTCTTGATTGGAGGTTTTTCAGCAGAGGCTGAATGGCCATCTGTCACAGACAGTGCTATTTTTCTAGAAAAATGGTGCCAGAACACACCACGAACTTCTCCCTTGTTCTTTGAGAATGGCAATGGCACCCACCTGAGAGGTGCCAGAGCAAAGCTCTGGTGAACTCCAGTTGAAAAAACCCAAACACCTTTAGTTGAGCTTCCTGCATTGCAGGGAGTTAATCTAGATGACCCTCAGAGTCCCTTCCAACACTATGATTCTGCAATTCAACTATTCTCCCTGCTGTGAGTTCTGGGATGGAAAGTGGGCTTGGTCCTCTGAAGCTCTTTCCACATTCCAAGCGCTGTTATGGTTTCTCCCCATATGAATTCTTTGATGGGAAGTGAGATGGTCCTTTCTGCTGAAGCTCTTTCCACAATCCAAGCACTGATACAATTTCTCCCCTGTATGGATTCTTTGATGGGAAGTGAGATTGTCCTTTCTACTGAAGCTCTTTCCACAATCCAAGCAGTGATATGGTTTTTCCCCTGTATGAATTCTTTTATGGAAAGTCAGATGGACACTTTTTCTGAAGTTCTTTCCACATTCGAAGCATTGATATGGTTTCTCCCCTGTATGAATTCTTTGATGGGAAGTGAGACTAGCCTTGTGAATGAAGCTCTTTCCACATTTGAAGCACTGAAAACATTTCTCCCCTGTATGAATTCTTTGATGGGATGTGAGACCAGAGCTCTGATTGAAGCTCTTTCCACATTCCAAACACTGATATGGTTTCTCCCCTGTATGAAGTCTTTGATGGGAAGTGAGATAGGATCTCTGACCGAATCGCTTTCCACATTCTAGGCACTGATACGGCTTGTGCCCCGTATGAATACTTTGATGGGAATTGAGACTTTGCTTGTGGGTGAAGCTCTTTCCACATTCCAAACATTGATAGGGTTTCTCCCCTGTATGGATTCTTTGATGGAACGTGAGATTGCCCCTTTGACTGAAGCTCTTTCCACATTCCAAACATTGATAGGGTTTCTCCCCTGTATGAATTATTAGATGGAAAATGAGACTTTCCTTGCGGGAGAAGTTCTTTCCACATTCCAAGCACTGATGTGGTTTCTCCCCTGTATGTATTCTTTGATGGGAAGTGAGATTTGTCTTCCAACTGAAGCTCTTTCCACACTCTTGACATTGAAATGGTTTCTCCAGTGTATGAATTCTCTGATGGGCAGTGAGACTTCCCTTCCGGTTGAAGCTCTTTTCACATTTCAAGCACTGATATGGTTTCTCCCCTATATGAATTATTTGATGAGAAGTGGAAAGGGTGATAGAGCTCTCTCCACACTCCACATATTTATGTGGTTTCTGCACTGTGTTGATTTTTTCATGTTCTCCCCTGTTATTCATTCCCAATTCATCACCACCTGCGATGAAGAAACAAATGGATTAGAACCTCAGAAATAAATGGAATTTCAAAGCAGATATTATTATTCAACCCTGAGCCTTACCGAGGGAGGATATGTTCCTAAGATTCTCCTCCATGACTTCCTTATGCAAAGCTCTCTGGTCAGGATCCAGCAACGCCCACTCCTCCTCCGTGAAACGCACAGCTACATCTTCAAAGCACAGAGGACCCTGAAAGGAAAAAGACAAGGGTCCTCCTCTAAGGCAGCCTTAAGATTATCTACTACACTTTGCGGTGTGGTTTCCTGCCTGTTCATTTCTGTGTTGTGTTATTTGCAATGGGGATACTCAAAAATGCTGAGCAAAGGTCCACTAGGCTGTACCACTTGGTCCCTGCAGGGATGGCGCTCTGAGGGTTGGCCACCACTGGGTGTTTTTGGACCACAAACTGGTACACAAGTCTTAAATCTTGGACCAGCCAAAAAGGATCTGGGGTAAAATTCAAGGCTTCTGAATAGGTAAGAGGGAGGTGGTATCACTGACATGGCTTGCAATTTTTGGTATAGAAAGTATTGGTGTCATATGCAGAGATCGTTCCTATTCTATTGATTCAAGAAGGTTCTGGAAACTTGTCTGGGTCTCACAGGCTAGAAGCTACTACAAGCTGCAAGTGGCAAGTGACTAGCTGGTCAGCAATTTTTCCATTCTGCCTGGAAACAAGCAGAAGGTTCCTGATTTTTGGGTTATTCCTTCAGAGAAGCTGAGTACAGCTGGTTGAAGCCGGCCCTGTTATTTTTCTATCCCAAGGCCATGCTGCCTATAAACAGAGGCCAGAGGAAACCTGGGCTTCATCTTTCTCTATCTTTCTTCCTGGTGGGGTGATCTGTACATAGTATGTCTGATTGCCAAGTTCTTAGTCTTATTTTAAGTTTAAGATTATCATTTTTATTTTGCGACTGGATTCTTAAGTACTATGCAAATCCGAAAGAGTTGAATTCGTGAATAGTTATGCTCATTTGCCTTCAGTAAATAATACTGAATGAAGCTCCTGCGCCTGGTCCATTTTTTGGGACCCTGCATTGTGTTTACTCTGCCAACAATTCGTTGAAGTCTAGTCTGGATCTTAGTCTGGATCTTTATGGGGCACATCCTTGACAATTACAAGGTGACTGGAAGGGTCACAAATGGAAGGATCTCCTCTCTCCTCACCCCATCTGCTATTTTTTTGGGGGGGTGGAGGGGTGGATTATAAGTTCTTTGTGGTGTAAGTGGGCATTATTGTCTTGGAAGATGTTTACTAAGGCCAATTCATGCAGAAGCCTAGTTAAGGTGAGTTGGCTGTTCCTTATTTTCAGCAGATAGACTTTACTGAATCACACTTTCAGCCTTTGTTTGGGACAGCTTTGAGGAAAGCAAAGAGGAAGAGAGGGATTTCTTCATTCCCAGAGAAATCCTGGCTGTCCCACTGCTGAGCCTCTTTCCCCACAAGGCTCCTCCCTCCTACCTTATCTGCTTCTACAGCTGCTGCTTCCTCTCCACCACCAGGAAAAGACGGGTGAGGAGGTCTTGCCGGCATTCTCCTTTCACCTGAGAGACAAAGGTTAGTTGGAAGCCAGGAGTGCATGCTTCTCTGAGATGTACATTTTGATGGTTGTACCAATCATAGTTTTATTGTGCTCTTCTGTGCCCTTGGGCCCAAATGTTTTTCTCCCCCAAATTGAAAGAACGCAGAGATTACTTTCAAAAGCAACAGAATGACCAAACGGGGAAGAAACTCCTTCCTCCTTACCTAGTGAACTCTCTCTGATGTCCAATGGAGTCCTCTCTGCCTCTGAGTAATTGGAGCCCATTTCTGCAACCAGATCCTTTTCCTGAAAGAGCAACAAGAATTCAAAACTGGAGAGAATGTAGAGAAAGGCTAGAGAAGTAGCAGCAGAGGCAAAATCTTTAGGTGTATCAGATATCTTTCCTTGGATGCTTTCCAAAAAAGAAGGGCCATTAGTAGAGCATTTGGGGATGTTCTCCGTCCTCTTTGGAGCTCCTTGGGAGAATTAAGAGGAAAGTCTCTCTCACCTGCTTCTTCTCCGCCTGCTTCCTCTCCTCTGCCCGACTCAGGAGGAAACCTTCGGCCAGGGCCACTGCCTGGGAACTGGTCTCTGCTCCGCATTCCCTCACCCAGCTCTCCATCTCCGCTGGAAGGACAGCCAGGAACTGCTCCAAGATCACCAGGTCCAGCATCTCAGCTTTCGTGTGCCTTTCTGGCTTCAGCCATTGACGGCAAAGGTGGTAGAGTTGGCTGCAAACCTCTCGGGGTTCTTTGGCCTCCTGGGAGCAGAACTGCCTGAACTGCTGGCTCTGCGCCTCTGAGCGAAGGGCGTCCACCTCACCCAAGAGCTTCTGCACTGAGTTTTCCCAGAATACCCCAGTACTCCCAGTTTCCATGGCATGGCCTCTTCCTCCTTCAGGGCCAGCTGAGCCTTGCTCAGCCATCTCAGGAACCCTGCAAGAGATCAGAAGAAAACTCTCTTTTTTCTGCCATTTTCTATCCATCCAAATTAGAGGTGCTAGCAAATCCTACAAAGCAAATACATTTTTTTGCTATAAAACTGACACATTGTCAGTAGAAGAGAAATGTTCTCTGAGCAATTGTGGATGAGTCTTGCTAGGAACCAGGGCTGGACTGTACCAGAACCCAGGGTGTGAGTACCACAAGGTTCAGGTTCCAGAATGACAACATAGCGCTTGGCTCCAGGCTCCTTCTACAGCTCAGGAGCAAGGGGTCTACTCATGAGTATGCAGTCCTTGAAACAACTCTGATGACGACGACTTTGGCTAGTTTCTGGTCTGGAAGGCCATATTGTATGAGATTATATGGAAATAGCACAGCTTTCTGGCTCCATGTTCCTGATATTACCTATGGAAACACAGGAGGGCCTTTTCTGGCTCGCCCCCCCCCACCAGCAAGTAGTGAAGTCAGAGGCAGAGGGCCTTCTCGGTAGTGGCACCCTCCCTGTTAAACTTCTTTCCCATTGCATTCTGGAGGTCCTTTCTTAACCTGAAACTGTTCTTAACCTGAAGCACCACTTTAGCTAATGGGGGCTGCTGTTGCGCCGCTGGAGCACGATTTCTGTTCTCATCCTGAAGCAAAGCTCTTAGCCCGAGGTATTATTTCTGGGTTAGCGGAGTCTGTAACCTGAAGCGTATGTAACCCGAGGTACCACTGTATTTTCCTACCTGAGAAAAATTGCAAAATTTCTACATTCAGCTACCTTCCAAAATTCTGTTCCTGCTTCAGAAACTCGGCTATGATCTTTTCATCAGGTCAGTGCCTAGAATCCATCCAGTTAATCCATTTCGGGAAGCCCCCCCCCCCATAAACCAGCACTGCTGCTGCCAACGTCCAGGCCAAGCTGCGCTTGATTTAAGGAGCAGGTAGAGGAAAGAAAGTCGGCTCCGTGGAGGGAGGAGTTGCCCAGGTGGATCAGCTGAACACGGCACCCTCCCGGGGGGGAGGGCTCAGCTCCCCGGCTCTGGACCCGAGGGGATCCTTGCAATGCCCTCTCTGCGGAGATGCCCTGGAAGACGGGCTGGAAACGGGCCCACCATCCCGCGGCCACATTATGGGCTGGGATCCCTCTCTTGAATCATGGCATAGTTATACTCCCCTTTATTTCTTCTGTGAGCTCAAGGGGGCATCCATGGGTCTATGTCTGCACACCTCCTGAGAAGGAGCCCCCGCCCTGGCTTTGCAGAGATGGAGGGGGAGGACCCTCGGCTGCCTGATTTGGGGTTCGGTGGGGGTGGGCAGGGGACCCCTCTTCTCCCCAATGCCCCCTCCGGGGGAAGAGAGAGGAGACTCACCAGCGCGCAGAAGGCGCCGCCGAGGCAGCATTTGCAAAGGAGACGACAGCCCCCTCCCGCTCTTGCAGGAAGGGGGGAGGAAAGCGAGGACCTGCCCCCCCGCGACACTTTTATATCCCGTCCTCTCTAGGAATCCAGCTCAGCTCCTTTTAACCCTTGGCAACCCGTGCGCAACCATCTATTGAGCCCAGCCACCTTTGTTCATAGTCGCAGAAGCACTACATTACACCATGGCCATAAACCCGTACGTTAAATCGGTCAAATATACGCTCAATATATAACTTTGAAATTATGTCACTGGTTTATGTATGAACCCTGTGTTTTATGAATGGATCGGTATTTTGGGAATTACCAAATATCGACTAGCGGGCAGACCCTCAACCTCTACCCTACGGGAGGGACCTGCTGCCACAGGGAGAGTTCCAACCTCCAGACTCCTGGGTCCTAAGGGAATTAGGACTGACTGACCGTCCACCTGCCCCCCGATATTTTCACAGACAGCCCACCCAGAGCATCCACAAATTCACCTGGCGAGCCTCCCTCAGGTGGGCAGGTAGAAAGAAGGCAGATCCCCTAGCAGGACAGGTACTGGACTTCCTGCCCTTCCTGAAGGATGCCCTGGATCAAAGGCTCCCCTGCAACACCCTCCACACACACGTGGCAGCCTTGGGCTCAGGTGAGCAGGAGTCCCTTTGGGTTCCCACTGCCTGGTCCAACGCTTCTTGCAAGGAGGCAGCACAACTAAAACCGCCCACAGGGCACAGGTTTCCCTCGACACAGTACTGAAGGTCCCACAGGTCCCCCCCTTGGAGCCCCTGCAGAAGGTCCCCCTGAAGCTTCTGAGCTGGAAGGCTCTTTCATGGGTAACCATTAACCTGCAAGGAGTTGGGTATCATTCAGAGGGATCCTGTCATGCTGTGATGAGACCCCCCCTTCACCCTGAAGGCTAATTTCATCTTCCATAGGGCTCAGGAGGTGGTCCCTGCTTTTCTCTAAGGCAAAGTCAGCCAAAGTCAGAGATGGAGGAGGAAGGGCTCTCTCTAGAGGGGTGCAAGCCCTCAGGCTCCACCTCAAGTGTGTTATGAATAAATGATCAAAGATAAGTGCATTCACACATACACGGGTGCAGAAAGACCCACACACAGACTTTGGCTACCCCAATATCCATTGTAACACAAACTCTGCCAAGAATGTAAGGTGTGACATTTTCCTCCATGTCTTGATGACAATTTCAGTTCCCAGAAGGTGGAAGAAGCAACAAGGGGACCATCTATTATTTATTAATATTTATTGTTTATTGAATTTATGTAGCACCCTATACCCAGAGGTCTCAGGGCGGTTCATAAACAAGATCACAATATATAAAATCAAATTAAAAACCACAGCGTCTTGAAGCTACCAGCATGAGTTTGACCAAACTGCGGGAAGCAGTGGAAGACATACCTACTCCACATACTCCACATATACTCCACATACCTACGGGACCGCCTCTCCTGGTATGCCCCACAGAGAAACTTACGGTCTTCAAATAAAAACATCTTGAAGGTCCCAGGCCACAGATAAGTTAGGCTGGCCTCAACTAGAGCCAGGGCCTTTTCGGCTGTGGCTCCGATCTGGTGGAACACTCTGTCACAAGAGACCAGGGCCCTGCGGGACTTGACATCTTTCCGCAGGGCCTGCAAGACAGAGCTGTTCCACCAGGCCTTTGGCCAGGGCACAGCCTGACTCCCTCCCTCGGCAATCTTCGCGGAGCTCTGGCCCAATGGTTGCCAGTGGCCTGAATTAATTAATTTTATAATGAATGATTTTAGAGTGTTGTTTATGCTATACTTTTATACTGTTTTATTGTTGTTAGCCGCCCTGAGCCCGGCTTTGGCTGGGGAGGGCGGGATATAAATAAAATTTATTATTATTATTATTATTATTATTATTAAGATCAACCAAAGGCCTGGTTAAAAAGGAATGTTTTTGCCTGGCACCCAAAGGCGTATAATCTGTCTTGACCCGGCCCTCACTAACAGGGAGGAACTGATCAACAAAGTGGAAGTATTCAGACACTTGGGAGGAAGTGAGCATGTTCTCCTGGGTTTCATGATACAGAGGAAAGAGAAATCTGAGTGTAGTCTGGACTTTAAGGAGGCCAGTTTCAAAGAGGAATAAGTACGGGAGAGATCCCATGGTCAGGAATGCTGAAAAAGAAGGAAGTCCAAGATGGAGGGGAGTTTCTTGAAGGAGAAATACTGAAGGCCCACATGCAGACAATTCCAGCAAGAAAGAAAAGAGGGAGGCATAAAAGGAAACCAGTGTGGCTGCAGAAGAAGCTGACAGATGAGCTCAGATTTAAGAAGGGCATTTATAAGAAATGGAAGAAAGGACGTACAAGTAGCTAGCAGGGCGAATGTCAGGTGGACTAAAGCTCAGAGTGAGCTCAGCTTGCAAGACAAGTTAAAAAAATGTCCAAAGTAAGAGGAAGAACAAGCAAGTGGTAGGTCCTCTGGGTGGAGAAAACAGAGAAATGCTCTTGGGTGACAGAGAAAAGGCAGAACGACCCAACACCTACTTTGCCTCTGTCTTCACCCAAAAGGAAAGTGGTTCCCAGCCTGGTGATGACAGAATAAACGATGCTCCTAGCTATTTGAAATGAATTCAGAACTCCCGGGCCTGAGGGGCTGCATCCAACGGTAGTAAAGGAGCTTCCTGATATAATTTCAGTTTCTGTCTATGATCTTTGAGAAATCTTGGAGAACAGGTGAGGTCCTGCAGACTGGAGGTGGGCTAATGTCCCCGTTCTCAAAAAGGGGTAAAAAGAAGACCCAGGTAACTACCAACCAGGGAAGGTCCTAGAGCAGATAATTCAACAGTCAGTCTATGAACTATTAGAAAAGGATGCTGTGACTATTAAGACCCAGCATAGGTTTCTGAAGAACAAGTCATGCCAGACGAAGTTCATTTCTTTCTTTTTTTATGGAGTTACAAGTTTGGTGGATCAGGGGAATGCTATGTACCCTGACTTCAGTAAGGCCTTTGGCCATGTCCAGTGTGATATTCTTGCAGAAAAGCTGGTAAAATGTGGTCTGAACAAGGAAACTCTCAGGTGGATGGACTGAACAAACCCGAAGAGTAGTCATTCATCGTTCCTTGTCATCCTGCAAAAAGGGACATGGGGGGGGCACAGTGTACTGTCTGGGGTCTGCTGTTGTTCAGCATCTTTATACATGACTTGGGCGGAGGAATTGAGGGGGGATGCTGACCAAATGGGATGGGTAGTTAATGCCACGGAAGACAGAATCAGAATTCAAAATGACCTTAACAGACTGGAGAACTGGTCCCAAACAAAAAATGAATTGCAATAGGGACAAATGTGAGGTTCTGCACTTAGGCAGGAAGAAACAAATGCACCAGTAAAAGATGGGGGACATGAACAGAAGTATGGTGTCCAGGTAAAGTCACATTACCCCTCTATTCTGCCTTCATCAGACCACACCTGGAGTTCTGTGTTCATTTATGGGCACCTCGATTTAAGGAGGATATTGAGAAGCTGGAAGGTGTGCAGAGAAGGGTGAGCAAGACGATCAAGGGTCTTGAAACCAAGTCTCATGAGGAAAAGTTGAAGAGTTGGGGGTGTTTATCATGGAAAAGGAGACTAAGAGGAGATACGAGAGCCATCTTCTAATAGCTAAAGGGCTATGCCATGGAAGATGGAGCAAACTGATTTTTTCCTGCCGCAGATGTTAGGACTGTTTGAAGTCATTCTCGAAAGAAACAGAAAAGATGATTGTAACTTTAAGAACCTTTTCTGTGAGTTCTGGGTTTGGTTTTCTGGGCTGATTAGACACAGCTGGTGATGTGTATAAAAGAAAAGAAGTCACAGTTTGAATTTCACCAGCGGAGAAAGAACAGCCACATGCTTTGTGTTTGTTGTTTTTGTATAGCTGCAATAAAACCTTTGACTGTTTTACACCGGTCTCATGGTCTCGTGGTTCTGTTGTCTGCCACCAGAAGAAACGCCCCCTCCCTAACAAGGACTGAAGCAATTGACTTCAAGTTACAGGAAAGGAGATTCCAGCTAAACAGGAGGCATAACTTTCTGTCAGTAAGAGCGATATCACTGTAGCACATACTCCACCAGAAAGTGCTGGACTGTTATTGATTGGAGGTTTTTCAGCAGAGGCTGAATGGCCACCTGTCATACACAGTGCTATTTTTCTAGGAAAAAAGTGCCAGAACACAGCACGAACTTCTCCCTCGCTCTGGTGAGCTCCAGTTGAAAAAACTCTCTTAATTGAGCTTCCTGCATTGCAGGGAGTTAGATGACCCTCAGAGTCCCTTCCAACACTATGATTCTGCAATTCAACTATTCTCCCTGCTGTGAGTTCTTGGATGGAAAGTGGGCTTGCCCATCTGAAGCGCTTTCCACATTCCAAGCGCTGTTATGGTTTCTCCCCATATGGATTCTTTGATGGGAAGTGAGAGTCTTGCTGTGTCTGAAGCTTTTTCCACATTTGAAACACTGATAGGGTTTCTCCCCTGTATGAATTCTTTGATGGGAAATGAGATGGTCCTTTCTACTGAAGCTCTTTCCACATTTAGAGCATTGATATGGTTTCTCCCCTGTATGAATTCTTTGATGGGAAGTGAGACTGGAGCTCTGATTGAAGCTCTTTCCACAACCCAAGCATTGATATGGTTTCTCCCCTGTATGGATTATTTGATGTGAAGTGAGACTGGCCTTGTGGGTGAAGCTCTTTCCACATTTGAAGCATTGAAAAGGTTTCTCCCCTGTATGAATTCTTTGATGGGAAGTGAGACTGGCTTTGTGAATGAAGCTCTTTCCACATTCAAAGCATTGATATGGTTTGTCCCCTGTATGAATTATTTGATGGGAAGCGAGGTAGGATCTCCGACCGAATCTCTTTCCACATTCTAGGCACTGATATGGCTTGTGCCCTGTATGAATACTTTGATGGGAATTGAGACTTTGCTTGTGGGTGAAGTTCTTTCCACATTCCAAACATTGATAGGGTTTCTCCCCTGTATGGATTCTTTGATGAAACATGAGAATGACCCTTTGACTGAAGCGCTTTCCACATTCCAAACATTGATAGGGTTTCTCCCCTGTATGAATTATTAGATGGAAAATGAGACTTTCCTTGCGGGAGAAGTTCTTTCCACATTCCAAGCACTGATGCGGTTTCTCCCCTGTATGTATTCTTTGATGGGAAGTGAGATTTGTCTTCCAACTGAAGCTCTTTCCACACTCTTGACATTGAAATGGTTTCTCCAGTGTATGAATTCTCTGATGGGCAGTGAGACTTCCCTTCCGGTTGAAGCTCTTTTCACATTTCAAGCACTGATATGGTTTCTCTCCTGTATGGATTCTTTGATGGGAAGTGAGATGGCCCCTCTGAGTGAAGCTCTTTCCACATTCTAAGCACTGATGTGGTTTCTCCCCTGTATGAATTCTTTGATGGGCTCTAAGTGTGTCCTTTTCACTAAACCTCCTTCCACATTCCAAACACTGATAAGGTTTCTCCCCTGTATGAATTCTTTGATGGGAAGTGAGACTTTCCTTCCAACTGAAACGCTTTCCACACTCTTGACATTGAAATGGTTTCTCCCCTGTGTGAATACTCTGATGGGTTGTGAGGCTTTCCTTCTGGGTGAACCTCTTTCCGCATTCCAAGCACTGATATCGTTTCTCCCCGGTATGAATTCTTTGGTGGGAAGTGAGACTATACTTCCTGTTGAAGCACTTTCCACATTCCAAGCACTGATAGGGTTTCTCTAATGTATGAATTCTCTGATGGACAGTGAGACTTTCCTTCCGGGTGAATCTCTTTCTACATTCTAAACACTGATATGGTTTCCTCCCAATAAGATTTATTTGATAGGAAGTGGAAAGGGAGATGGAGCTCTCTCCATACTCCAAATTTTTATATGGTTTCTCCACTGTGTGGATTTTGTTGTGGTCTCCCCAGTTCTGCATTTCCAATTGATCACCACCTGCGATGAAGGGAGAAATGGGTTAGAACCTCAGAAATAAATGGAACCCTAAATGATTGGACAATGCTGATTTACTCTTGTGATAGTGGAAGAATGGGAGGGGGTTAGACATGAAGTGTTACTACAGGGTTCACTGCCTGTGTTGACTGGTATTCATGGACATATTTGTGGAAACCTGATACGTGTAAAGCCTGGCTCTTTTCTTGAATGGATTTCGTAGGGCCCAGTCATGGAATTTTCTGCATCTCTATTGTCACTCACCTGTTTGTTGCTCCATTTCCAAGGCCCATGGTCTCTTTGGTCAACCAAAAACAGACAGAAGCAAAAACAAAAACTCAAATCCTGACAGAATCTACTTTCACTTCCCTAAAAATTATGAAAACTACAGTGGTACCTTGGGTTAAGTACTTAATTCGTTCCGGAGGTCCGTTCTTAACCTGAAACTGTTCTTAACCTGAAGCACCACTTTAGCTAATGGGGCCTCCCGCTGCTGCCGCGCTGCTGGAGAACGATTTCTGTTCTCATCCTGAAGGAAAGTTCTTAACCCGATATACTATTTCTGGGTTAGCGGAGTCTGTAACCTGAAGCGTATGTAACCTGAAGCATCTGTAACCCAAGGTACCTCTGTACATTTATAAAGGCCTGGGCAGTTGGTTTTAAAGCAGCCTGATCATGGTTTTAAAAAGCATAACTGGAAGAGGAATTGTCACAGATGAAACAATCCATACCCTTCCATTTAAGGTGACCTGTGCTCTGCTAGGATACCAAGTGCAGTAGGTGGTTCTGTTGAGCTTCATCCGAATCTGGCAGGCTTTCAGTTTGCTATCTCTCTCTCTCTCTCTCTGGAATTTCAAAGCAGATATTATCATCCAACTGGGAGCCTTACCGAGGGAGGCCATGATCCCACGATTCTCCTCCATGACTTCCTTATGCAAAGCTCTCTGGTCAGGATCCAACAACGCCCACTCCTCCTCCGTGAAATGCACAGCTACATCTTCAAAGCACGGAGGACCCTGAAAGGAAAAAGACAAGGGTCCTCCTCTAAGGCAGCCTAAAGATTATCTACTACACTTTGCGGTGGTGTTTCCTGCCTGTTCATTTCTGTGTTGTGTTATTTCATAGAATCATAGAATCATAGAGTTGGAAGAGACCACAAGGGCCATCGAGTCCAACCCCCTGCCAAGCAGGAAACACCATCAGAGCACTCCTGACATATGGTTGTCAAGCCTCTGCTTGCAATGGGGATACTCAAAATGATGAGCAAAGGTCCACTAGGCTGTACCACTTGGTCCCTGCAGGGATGGCGCTCTGAGGATTGGCCACCACTGGGTGTTTTTGGACTACAAACTGGTACACAAGTCTTAAATCTTGGACCAGCAAAAAGGATCTGGGGTAAAATTCAAGGCTTGTGGATATGTAAGAGGGAGGTTGTATTACTGACATGGCTTGCAATTTTTGTTATAGAAAGTATTGCTCTAATATGCGGAGATCTTTCCTATTCTATTCATTCAAGAAGGCTCTGGAAACTTGTCTGGGTCTCACAGCGTAGAAGCTACTACAAGCTGCAAGCGGCAAGTGACTAGCTGTTCATCAGTTTTTCCATTCTGCCTAGAAACAAGCAGAAGGTTCCTGATGTTTGGGTTAATCCTTCAGAGAAGCTGAGTACAGCTGGTTGAAGCTGGCCCTGTTATTTTTCTATCTCAAGGCCATGCTGCCTATAAACAGAGGCCATAATTCCTCCGTCATGGATGTGAGTTTTTTATATATATATTGCAAGTGGATTGTTAAGTACTATGTAAATCCCTAAGAGTTGAATTCGTGAATAGTTATGCTCATTTCCCTTCAGTAAATAATACTGGATGAAGCTCCTGCGCCTGGTCTATTTTTGGAGATCCTGCATTGTGTTTAATCTGCCAACAATTCGTTGAAGTCTAGTCTGGATCGGTATGGAAGGGTCACAAATGGAAGGATCTCCTCTCCGCACCCCGTCTGCTTTTTTTTGGAGGGGGGTGCACTGGGGAATCTTGGGCACTGTTTTTATGATATGTCAACTGCTTAGAAGCCCATCGTTGCACTCAATTATAAATATATAAATAAAACTGCAAATACTGATAAATAATAAAAGCAACATTCAGAAGATTACTTAAGGTGAGGAGGCTGTTCTTTATTTTCAGCAGATAGACCTCCTTGAATGGCACTTTCAGCCTTTGTTTGGGACAGCTTTGACGAAACCAAAGAGGAAGAGAGGGATTTCTTCATTCCCAGAGGAACCCTGGCTGCCCCACTCCTGAGCCTCTTTCCCCACTAGGCTCCTCCCTCCTACCTTATCTGCTTCTACAGCTGCTGCTTCCTCTCCACCACCAGGAAAAGACGGGTGAGGAGGTCTTGCCGGCATTCTTCTTTCACCTGAGAGACAAAGGTTAGTTGGAAGCCAGGAGTGCATGCTTCTCTGAGATGTATATTTTGATGGTTGTACCAATCATAGTTTTATTGTGCTCTTCTGTGCCCTTGGGCCCAAATGTTTTCCTCCCCCAAATTGAAAGAACGCAGAGATTACTTTCAAAAGCAACAGAATGACCAAACGGAGAAGAAACTCCTTCCTCCTTACCTAGTGAACTCTCTCTGGTGTCCAACGGAGTCCGCTCTGCCTCAGAGTAATTTGAGCCCATTTCTGCAACCAGATCCTTTTCCTGAAAGAGCAACAAAAATGGTAGAGGCAAAATGCCTTGGATACTTCCTAAAAAAGGATGATCAATTCGTACAGTATTTTAGGATCTTCTCCCTCCTGTTCAGAGCTCCTTGGGAGCATCCAGAGGAAAGTCTCTCTCACCTGCTTCTTCTCCACCTGCTTCCTCTCCTCCGCCTGACTCAGGAGGAAACCTTCGGCCAGGGCCACTGCCTGGGAACTGGTCTCTGCTCCGCATTCCCTCACCCAGCTCTCCATCTCCGGGGGAAGGACAGCCAGGAACTGCTCCAAGATCACCAGGTCCAGCATCTCAGCTTTCGTGTGCCTTTCTGGCTTCAGCCACTGATGGTCAAAGTGGTAAAACAGGCTGCAAACCTCTCGGGGTCCTTTGGCCTCCTGGGAGCAGAACTGCCTCAACTGCTGGCTCTGCCCATCTGAGCGAAGAGTGTACACCTCATGCAAGAGCTTCTGCACAGAGTTTTCCCAGAATCCCCCACTGTTTCCAGTTTCCATGGCCTGGCCTCTTTCTGCTTCAGGGCCAGTTGAGTCTTGCTCATCCATCTGTGCTCTCAGGAATCCTGCAAGAGATCGGAAAGAACCTTTTTTTCTGTCATTTTCTGTAGGTTTGAATTAGAGGTGCTAGCAAATCCTACAAAGCAAACACACTTTATTGCTATAAAATTGACACATTGTAAGGAGAAGAGAAATGTTCTCTGAGCAAGTGTGGATAAGTCTTGCTAGGAACCAGGGCTGGACTGTACCACAGCCCAAGCTGTCAGCACCACAATCTCCAGGTCCCAGAATGACAACATAGCCCTTGGCTTCAGGCTCCAGAGTCCTTCAGCAGATCAGGAGCAAAGGGTCTACTCATGAGTATGCAGTCCTTGAAACTCCTCTGATGACGACGACTTTGGCTAGTTTGTGGTCTGGAAGGCCATAATGTATGAGATTATATGGAAATAGCACCGCTTTCTGGCTCCATGTTCCTGATATTACTTCCCCCGTCTTGCTGTGTTGTACTTAGTTTGAACCCCCAGTGGAATGACGCTTGCATTATTTTCTGACCTTGCTTTCAGTCAGGATGGGATCCAGATTGCCTGTGCTTGACCTGGTTGTGGAGTTTTGTTTTGTTTTTGGACTCTGCTGCAAAGGCAACTCTGCTCGCACAGGTGGGAGGCTGAGATGCCCCAAAATGCCCACGGAAGCAGGCCTTCTTGGTAGTGGCACCCTGCCTGGGGAACTTCCTTCCAAGCAGATGTCAAGGAGATAAAGAACTACACAACTTTTAGAAGATATCTGAAGGCAGCCCTGTATCGGGAAGTTTTCAATGGCTGCTGTTTTATTGTGTTTATAATATTGTGTGGGGAGGCACCCAGAGTGGTTGGGGCAATTCAGTCAGATGGTTGCGGTACAAATATTATAACCACCACAACAGCATTGTTTTATTAATATACTGAGTGCAGTGTGCATATATCCTGGGTTTCTGATGAAAATATATTTTCCCTTATTTAAGCATAATTTAATTATGTAATTTAAAACAAAGTAACATTTATTTGTGGCATCTGATGTCTGGTAGACTATTTCTATATATGGAGGAGAGTCCATATCACACATTGAGATCTCCTTGTTCCAATATTTCACCAGTTTTCTTTTTTTAAATTCATTTAGAAATATTTCTATTGTTATTATTATTTATTATATCTGTATACCACCCTACACCTGTAGGTCTTAGGGTGGTTCACAACACACAGTTACAATATAAAAGGCACAAAATACAGATTAAAAATAATTTTAAAAAATTATGTATACAAACTTGGGGTGGGGAATACACTCCCCAACAAAAGCCACAAATAGAAAAGAAATCTAAGATTCCAAATTAACACCCAACATTCAAAAACAATTGAAAACAAACCCACCCCCAAATAAAACAGAACCCTCCCAAGTTAAAACATTCATCACCACTATAACAACCTGAATTTCTATACCTATATTCATCATGTAAAGCAACCTAGGAGTGGACTACAACCATGTGTAGTCACAAGCAACACATTCAGGGGCCAAACAGTTCAGCCAGATTCCTGGATCAGGAGTAGGAGTAGTAGCAGCAGTAATAATAATATTTTCCTTTCTTATTACAAACATTTTCCCACAAGAGAAAAACGCACACTTTCTACATTCAGCTACCTTCCAAAATTCTGTTCCTGCGTCAGAAACTCGGCTATGATCTTTTCATCAGGTCAGTGCCTAGAATCCCTCCAGTTAATCCATTTCGGGAAGCCCCCCCCCCCCCCAATAAACCAGCACTGCTGCTGCCAACGTCCAGGCCAAGCTGCGCTTGATTTAAGGAGCAGGTAGAGGAAAGAAAGTCGGCTCCGTGGAGGGAGGGGTTGCCCAGGTGGATCAGCTGAACACGGCGCCCTCCGGGGGGGGGGGGGGCTCAGCTGCCCGGCACCGGAAAACGAGGGGATCCTTGCAATGCCTTCTCTGCGGAGATGCCCTGGAAGACGGGCTGGAAACGGGCCCACCATCCCGCGGCCACATTATGGGCTGGGATCCCTCTCTTGAGTCACGGCATAGTTCTACCTTTTCTCCAGTGAGCTCAAGGGGGCATCCATGGGTCTGTGTCTGCACACCTCCTGAGAAGGAGCCCCCGCCCTGGCTTTGCAGAGATGGAGGGGGAGGACCCTCGGCTGCCTGATTTGGGGTTCGGTGGGGGTGGGCAGGGGACCCCTCTTCTCCCCAATGCCCCCTCCGGGGGAAGAGAGGAGACTCACCAGCGCGCAGAAGGCGCCGCCGAGGCAGCATTTGCAAAGGAGACGACAGCCCCCTCCCCCTCTTGCAGGAAGGGGGGAGGAAAGCGAGGACCTGCCCCCCCCCCCGCGACACTTTTATATCCTGTCCTCTCTAGGAATCCAGCTCCTTTTAACCCTTGGCAAGCCGTGCGCACCCTGTTGGGTTGAAATAAAGCAATTCTTTAGCATGCTCTTTCTGGAATTTAGTCAGTTCCCCTCCCATACTCACGAAGTAGCGCGCTCAGACTTTTCCAGTCGGGTGAAGTATGAGGGCTGGCTGCGTAAGGGATCTGGCACGTCGGGGTCACCAGATGTTGGGTTGAAAATCACGACAGACGAGTGGCAGGTGTCATATGAGAGGCGTCTGCCGGAGCAAGCCCCGGGAACTCTCTTTTATTGAATATTACAAACATTGCCACAGGTGTGCTTGTGACTGATTGGTTGATACAAACACAAAGCATCTTGTTGCTGATTGGTTAACATAGGTACAAGGCGGGAATTACATATAACCATTTATCACTGATGGATCAAAGGCTGAGAAACGGAGCTGGAACTAGACAGGCATGAAACCTCCTAATTAAATTATAACTAAAGATTAATATTGAGAGAACATAACATGAAAGAATACAACAATCACGTTCCGTAGATGTGGTCAGCAAGGCATTAAGAACAGGTCAGGGTACACTGTTTCATGAACTCAATGGGAACTGTTCAGAACATTCTCAGACTCATGTGCAGAGGCAAAAACTTCCCAGCAGCACCCAGCTCACACTTCTCTTCAGAGCAGGAGCCCAGCAGGAGGCACGTCCGTTGCGCACAGTCAGAGAAGTTTTCTTGAGGGGGGGCCCCTCTTGGCTGACGTGCTAAGCTGCTCCCTCCCTTGTGTTACGGAAATGAAGGGGGGGCACATCTTAGACATCAGTTTTCCGCCTCCCTTCCAAACCCCTGGACGATGAGCCCAGCCACCTTTGTCCATAGTCGCAGAAGCACCACATTACACCTTGGCCATAAATCCGTACGTTCAATCGATCAAATATACGCTCAATATATAATATTGAAATTATGTTACTGCTTTATGAATGAACCCTGTGTTATATGAATGAACTGCATATTTGTGAATTACCGAAGATCAATCAATCAGGAGCTCTAAAATCAGAAAGCTAGCCAATCGGGTATTACCAAACAGTCACCCCTAGGGTGGAAAGTAGGTCAGCAGCAGGGGACGCGGCAAAACCTTCAGCTAAACAGCTCAGCCTTTGCACGGTCTTCTTTGTAAAGCTGGTAAATTGTATCTCTTCTGGTTTCGATTGCCAAAACCTCTTACATTGTTGCTAGAAAGTGTCAAATTGTATCTCTTTGTATTTAACAGTGCTTTGAAAAAGCATATAAAATCCATGCCTTAACCAATTCTCCCCATTTCAATTACATTTTGCTCCAAAAGGGCAGGCGGACTTCGCCATCACCTTCCTCCATAATCCTCTAAGCGAGAGGTCACATACGCAACTCAGTAATGCTTCTGGAAATGTATTCTGGGTAGGGAAGAAAGGTCTTATAAGAGCGTGTAACCTATGTTCGGGGTTCTTACTCCTTGTGGGGATCTCTTGCACAACAATAAAGGCCGTGGTCTACGGATCGCTGTTTTGCTCCATTCCTTGGCTGGAACTTCCTTCTTTTACTGACAGCAGAGACCTGCGGGGGACTTGCACCCCGACAAGCTGGGCTGCTGAGTATCCTCACACCCCGTTTGGAAACAGAAACAGGAGCAGCAGCTTGCAGGGGAAAAGGTGGATCAGACCAGTGACTCATACCCGCCAACATTAATCCCATGATGATAATTTTACTATTTATACCCCACACATCTAACTGGGTTGTCCCTGCCACTATGGGCTGCCTCCAACATAACAAAATATTAAACATAAAAAACCATTTCCCTATGCCGTCTGATTGTGTGAGGGTGCTGATAAGCTAGTAAAGCAACACTCCCGGCTTCGCCCCATCTCTTCACAAGATTTATTGTTCAGCTTCAAAGCCGTTTACGAGAGATTAAACACATACATCCATACTCAGCTATCCAGATGAGTCATCTGACTTTCGTCTGTGACACTGCCAACATGCCCATTCCCGGAAATGACGCTTCCTTTTCGTTTTGCCCTGTGAATGGCTGGGTCCTGCTTTAGGCTCCCCCCTGCCAGTCTCCCCCTCTGACGAGGAAGAGACACTGCTGAATACCGCCTTGGGCTCTCTCTATATTTGTCTCCCTCCCTCGTGGTTTCCCCTGCAGCCTCCAATTCCCTGACAGATTGCCTTCACGTGGCTCGGGGGTAGGATAACTCCATACCCTCCAACATTTCTCCAATGAAAATAGGGACACCCTAAGGGAAAGCGGGATATTCCAGAATCAAATCAGAAACCAAGATGGCTTCTCTAAATCAGGGACGTCCCTGGAAAAGAGGGGCACTTGGAGGGTCTGGTGACTTCCTTGCAAGCTTTGTGCAAACAAATCCAGAAAAATACTCTACACGCAATCCTCAACCTCCTCAGTTGAAGGCAGTGATGCTTCTGAATACGAGTTTATGGAAGCTGTGGGAGAAGAGAGGACTCTTGCGCTTGGGTCCTCCTAGTGTTCTTTCCCACAGGCATGAGTGGAAGAGAAGAGAATGAAAGCGAAGAGACACATATATGAAACGATTAATGCGTGAAATAGCTAAAGCAGAAGGAGATAGGAGAAAAGCAATGAATTCTATGGGCGAAGCATAATCTTCTGGGAACTGCAAGGAGATTCACTCTGGGGAGAGATCATTGTAGCAGCTCCACTCTGGCCAAGGAGGGTCTGCAGAACTCATGGCCCTATCTGGGGCAGACCCTTGACCTCTGCCCTACAGGAGGGACCTGTTGCCACAGGGAGAGTTCCAACCTCCAGACTCCTGGGTCCTAAGGGAATTAGGACTGACTGACCGTCCACCTGCCCCCCAATATTCCCACAGACAGCCCACCCAGCACATCCACCAATTCACCTGGCGAGCCTCCCTCAGGTGGGTAGGTAGAAAGAAGGCAGATCCCCTAGCAGGACAGGTACTGGACTTCCTGCCCTTCCTGAAGGATGCCCTGGATCAAAGGCTCCCCTGCAACACCCTCCACACACACGTGGCAGCCTTGGGCTCAGGTGAGCAGGAGTCCCTCTGGATTCCCTCTGCCTGGTCCAACGCTTCTTGCAAGAAGGTAGTGCAGCTACAACCTGTCATTGAAATGCTAAACATTAGTGATCCAGAGTAGATTCCGATGTATAGGTAGCAGAGTAAAAACTTAAATGTTGCAAAATTCCAAAAAAAATTGACCAGAGGCAATTAATATTTCATTCAACAGAGCTTTACTGCTACTGAAGGCAAATGAGCATAATGGTCACAAATCCAATACATTCAGAAATCCAGTTACAGCACACTTAACTTAAACTTCAATAAAACAAGAAGATTATACTTTAACACAATATACAGAACACCACACCAGAAGCGAGAGAAAGAGAAAGTGAAACTCGGGCTCCTTCTGGCCTTCCTTTTTTAGTCAGCATGACCTTGACAGAAAGAGATAAGAGAAATGGTTTAAACCAGCTGTACTCAGCTTCTCAGAAGGTATAACTCAAACATCATGAACCTTCTAGAAGCTTCCAGAACCCTCTAAAATTAAGTAGAATAGGAAAGAAAAGGAGAGATCTCTACACTTCAGATCAATACTTTCTGCACTAAAAAATGCAAGCTGACACACCCACCCACAGGGCATAGGCTCCCCCCCATACAGTACTGAAGGCACTCACAAGTCCCCCCCCCCCCGGAGGGGGAAGGTCTGGCTGGATCGCTGTCAGTAGTGTCTGGGATTGGCATGTGTGTGTGTCCTTCTGCACCCACATACATGTGAATGTACCCTCAAAGTCCCTTCCAATACTATGATTCTACAATTCAACTATTCTCCCTGCTGTGAGTTCTTGGATGGAAAGTGAGCTTGCCCATCTGAAGCTCTTTCCACATTCGAAGCACTGCTATGGTTTCTCCCCTGTATGGATTCTTTGATGGGAAGTGAGATGGTCCTTTCTACTGAAGCTCTTTCCACAATCCAAGCACTGATAGGATTTTTGCCCTGTATGAATTCTTTCATGGAAAATGAGATGGTCCTTTCTAATGAAGCTCTTTCCACATTCCAAGCATTGATATGGTTTCTCCGTTGTATGAATTTTTTTATGGCAAGTGAGATGGTCCTTTCTACTGAAGCTCTTTCCACATTCCATGCACTGATATGGTTTCTGTCCTGTATGAATTCTTTGATGGAAAGTGAGATGAACGCTTTTTCTGAAGCTCTTTCCACATTCAAGACATTGATAGGGTTTCTCCCCTGTATGAATTCTTTGATGGGAAGTGAGATGGTTGCTGTGACTGAAGCTCTTTCCACATTCCAAGCACTGATACAATTTCTCCCCTGTATGGATTCTTTGATGGGAAGTGAGATTGTCCTTTCGACTGAAGCTCTTTCCACATTCCAAGCACTGATATGGTTTCTCCGCTGCATGGATTCTTTGATGGGAAGTGAGTTGGGAGCTCTGACTGAAGCTCTTTCCACATTCCAAACATTGATATGGTTTCTCCCCTGTATGAATTCTTTGATGGGAAGCAAGATGGGAGCTATGACTGAAGTTCTTTCCACATTCCAAACATTGATATGGTTTCTCCCCTGTATGAATTCTTTCATGGGCAGTGAGACTTGCCTTCCAACTGAAGTTCCTTCCACACTCTTTACATTGAAATGGTTTCTCCAGTGTATGAATTCTCTGATGGGCAGTGAGACTTTCCTTCTGGGTGAAGCTCTTTCCACATTTCAAGCACTGATAGGGTTTCTCCCCTGTATGGGTTATTTGATGGTTGGCGAGTGTGGAGCTCCGACCGAATCTCTTTCCACATTTTAAGCACTGATATGGCTTCTGCCCTGTATGAATTCTTCGATGTAAATTGAGAGAGGCGCTGTGACTAAAGCTATTTCCACATTCCAAACACTGATAGGGCTTCTCCCCTGTATGTACTCTTAGATGGGAAATGAGAATTTTCTTGTGGGTAAAGCTCTTCCTACAATCCAAACACTGAAATGGTTTCTCCCCCATATGAATTCTTTGATGGGAAGTGAGATTTGACTTCCATCTGAAGCTCTTTCCACACTCTTGACAGTGAAATGGTTTCTCCAGTGTATGAATTCTCTGATGGGCAGTGAGACTTTCCTTCCGGGTGAAACACTTTCCACATTCCAAACACTGATATGGTTTCATCCCAATAGGATTTATTTGATAGGAAGTGGAAAGGGAGATGGAGCTCTCTGCACACTTCAAATATTCATATGGTTTCTCTACTGTGTGGATTTTGTCATTATCTCCCTTGTTCTTCATTGCCAATTCAACCACACCTGCAATGGGGAGAGAAATGGATTAGAACCTCAGAAATAAATGGAGCCCCAAATGATTGGACAATGAAAATTAACTCTTGTGATAGTGGAAGAAGGGAGGAGGGTTAGGCATGAGGTCTTACTACAGGGTTCACTGCCTTTGCTGACTGGTATTCATGGACGAATTTGTGGGAACCTGAGATGTGCAAAGCCTGGCTCTTTTCTTGAATGGATTTTTTTTGGCCGAATCATGGAATTATCTGCATCTCTATTGTCAGTCACCTGTTTGTTGCTCCATTTCCAAGGTCCATAGTCTCTTTGGTCAACCAAAAACAGAGAGAAGCAAATACAAACATACAAATCCTGACAGAATCTACTTTCACCTCCCTAAGAACTCTGAAAACTACATTTATGAAGGCCTGGGCAATTCAGAGCAGCCTGATCATGGTTTTAAAAATAATTGGAGGAGGAATTTTCAAAGACAAAACAATCCATACCCCTCCATTTAAGGTGCCCTGTGCCCTGTTAGAATCCCAGGTGCTGTAGGTGGTTCTATTGAGCTCCATCCATATATCATTTCCTTTTCAACACTGGCTCCGGCCTGGTGGAACGCTCTGCCTCATGAGACCAGGGCCCTGCAGGATCTGATTTCTTTCCGCAGGGCCTGTAAGACAGAGTTGTTCCACCTGGCCCTTGGCTTGGAGCCAATTTGATTCCCTTCTTCCCTCTCTTTCTTTTTTCATTTCCTTCTCCCCTGCGATGAGGCTATATTTTAATATTTTAATGTTCCATTATTTTAATGTTGTATTTTATTTTTGTTTTTAAGTTGTAATCATTCATCCTGTTTTTATTGTTGCTTGTAAGCCGCTCTGAGCCCGGCCTTGGCTGGGGAGGGCGGGGTATAAATAAAAAATTATTATTATTATTATTATTGTTATTATTATTATTATTATTATTATTATTATTATATATATCTATGGAATTTCAAAGCAGATATTATCATCCAACTGGGAGCCTTACCGAGTGAGGGCATGTTCCTAAGATTCTCCTCCATGACTTCCTTATGCAAAGCTCTCTGGTCAGGATCCAACAACGCCCACTCCTCCTCCGTGAAATGCACAGCTACATCTTCAAAGCACAGAGGACCCTGAAAGGAAAAAGACAAGGGTCCTCCTCTAAGGCAGCCTAAAGATTATCTACTACACTTTGCGGTGGTGTTTCCTGCCTGTTCATTGCTGTGTTGTGTTAATTGCAGTGAGAAGACTCAAAAATGCTGAGCAAAGGTCCACTAGGCTGTACCCAGTATACCTGAAGGAGCGTCTCCACCCCCATCGTTCTGCCCGGACGCTGAGGTGCAGCGCCGAGGGCCTTCTGGCGGTTCCCTCATTGCGGGAAGCAAAGCTACAGGGAACCAGGCAGAGGGCCTTCTCGGTAGTGGCGCCCGCCCTGTGGAACACCCTCCCATCAGATGTCAAAGCAATAAATAACTACCTGATGTTTAGAAGACATCTTAAGGCAGCCCTGTTCAGGGAAGTTTTTAATCTGTGATATTTTACTGTATTTTTTGTTTCTATGGAAGCCGCCCAGAGTGGCTGGGGAAACCCAGCCAGATGGGCGGGGTACAAATAATAAATTATTATTATTATTATTATTATTATTATTATTATTATTATTATACCACTTGGTCCCTGCAGGGATGGTGCTCTGAGGGTTGGCCCCACTGATGTTTTTGGATGACGAACTGGTACAGAAGTCTTAAATCTTGGACCAGCCAAAAAGGATCTGGGGTAGAATTCAAGGCTTGTGGATAGGTAAGAGGGAGGTGGTATCACTGATACGGCTTGCAATTTTTGCTATAGAAAGTATTTGTCTAATATGCAAAGATCTTTCCTATTCTATTGATTCAAGAAGGTTCTGGAAACTTGTTTGGGTCTCATGAGCTAGAAGCTACTACATGCTGCAAGTGGCAAGTGACTAGCTGGTCAGCAATTTTTCCATTCTGCCTGGAAATGAGCAGAATGTTCTTGATGTTTGGGTTATTCCCTCAGAGAAGCTGAGTACAGCTGGTTGAAGCTGGCCCTGTTATTTTTCTATCCCAAGGCCATGCTGCCTATAAACAGAGGCCAGAGGAAACCTGATTTTCACTTTCTCTCTCTCTCCATTTCTGGTGGGGTGATCTGTACCTAGTATGTCTAATTGTTTAGTTCTTAGTCTTAAGTTTTTTGTTTTTGTTTTTTTACTGCAACTGGATTCTTAAGAACTATGCCAGTCCTGAAGAGTGTCTGGCTTCAGGAAATCGGCTTCCTCCCCCCTTTGGCAGTAGATAAGCAGAATACATGGAAAGGAGACTTCCTACCAGTTAGAACAAAGAATCCATTTCCTAGGAATGAAGGTGCTCCCAATTAAGGGTTCCGCCCACTTCTGCCCTAGTCACCCACGTCACTACCACATCTTCTAACCTGATCTCCTAACCACTGTGCTCTCTGTGCTGCCACTTTATCTGCTCTTCTTGACCTTCGGCTGAGTAGATGAACACTTTCCAGTGACAGTGAGTCTGTTAACTCTCTCTCTCCAAGTGCTTCCTCTCCTAGCTGTTCCCCATCCAGTATTTCCCAATTTCTGCCTTCTGAACTATGTCCCTCTGCAAACCACTTTTCCAAATCTACCGTACTTTTTGCTCTATGACTCACTTTTTGCCTCCTAAAAAGTAAGGGGAAATGTGTGTGCGTCTTATGGCGCGCATGCAGGCTGCGCAACTATCCCAGAAGCCAGAACAGCAAGAGGGATTGCTGCTTTCACTGGACAGCGATCCCTCTTGCTGTTCTGGCTTCTGAGATTCAGAATATTTTTTTTCTTGTTTTCCTCCTCCAAAAACTAGGTGCGTTTTGTGGTCTGGTGCATCCTATGGAGCGAAAAATACAGTTATGGTGTCCCACTGCTCCTGGGAAGATTCCTGATCAGGAGGAGGGAGAGGGGGAGGCTCCCACCATTCCTCCTCAGTGCAGCCCATCTCAGCACGGTCCCTGACAGAGAGTTGGATTCATGAACTGTTATGCTCATTGGCCTTCAGCAAATAATACTGGATGAATCTGCTGCGCCTGCTTCATTTTTTGGGATGCTGCATTGTATTAGGTCAACTGCATAGAAGCCCAGGAGAGCACTCAATCATAAATTTATTAATATAACTGCAAATGCTGATAAATAATACTAGCAACATACAGAAGGCTAGTTAAGGAGGGGAGGCTGTTCCTGATTTTCAGCAGATAGACATCCTTGAATGGCAAGGGGATGAGGCTGGGGATGAGGATCCACTCTGTACTTTCCCCATGCTCTGTTTTGGGGTGGGGGAACCTCACAATGACCAAAAGTCAACTTAACGGGTCATATGGAGGCAAAAATGAAAGGACGTCCTCTCTCTTCACCCCATGGTCTGTTTTTTGGGGGGGAGGGGGCGTTGGGGAATCTTGGCCACTGTTTCTATGATATGTCAACTGCTTAGAAGCCCATCGGAGCACTCAATCATAAATATATAAATAAAACTGCAAGTATTGATAAATAATACTAGCAACATACAGAAGGCTAGTTAAGGAGGGGAGGCTGTTCCTGATTTTCAGCAGATAGACCTTATTGAATGGCACTTTCAGCCTTTGTTTGGGACAGCTTTGACGAAACCAAAGAGGAAGAGAGGGATTTCTTCATTCCCAGAGAAATCCTGGCTGCCCCACTCCTGAGCCTCTTTCCCCACTAGGCTCCTTCCTCCTACCTGATCTGCTTCTACAGCTGCTGCTTCCTCTCCACCACCAGGAAAAGACGGGTGAGGAGGTCTTGTTGGCATTCTTCTTTCACCTGAGAGACAAAGATTAGTTGGAAGCCAGGAGTGCATGCTTCTCTGAGATGTACATTTTGACGGTTGTACAAATTTCATAGTTTTGTTGTGCTCTTCTGGGCTCTTGGGCCCAAATGTCTTCCCCCCAAAAATCAAAATAACTCACAGATTACTTTCAAAAGCAACAGAAAGACCAAACGGAGAAGAAACTCCTTCCTCCTTACCTAGTGAACTATCTGTGGTGTCCAACGGATTCCTCTCTGCCTCAGAGTAATTTGAGCCCTTTTCCGCAACCAGATCCTTTTCCTGAAAAATGGTAGAGGCAAATATTTTATGGGTCCTGCCTTGGATGCTTCCTAAAAAGGATGAGCAATTAGTACAGTATTTTAGGATCTTCTCCCTCCTGTTCAGAGCTCCTTGGGAGAATTAAGAGGAAAGTCTCTCTCACCTGCTTCTCCACCTGCTTCCTCTCCTCTGCCTGACTCAGGAGGAAACCTTCAGCCAGGGCCACTGCCTGGGAACTGGTCTCCGCTCCGCATTCCCTCACCCAGCTCTCCATCTCCGCTGGAAGGACAGCCAGGAACTGCTCCAAGATCACCAGGTCCAACATCTTAGCTTTCGTGTGCCTTTCTGGCTTCAGCCACTGACGGTCAAGGTGGTAGAACCAGTTGCAAACCTCTCGGGGTCCTTTGGCCTCCTGGTAGCAGAACTGTCTCAACTGCTGGCTCTGCACATCTGAGCGAAGAGTGTCCACCTCACCCAACTGCACTGAGTTTTCCCAGAATCCCCCATGGCTTCCAGTTTCCATGGCATGGCCTCTTCCTGCTTCAGGGCCAGCTGGGTCTTGCTCATCCATCTGTGCTCTCAGGAGGCCTGCAAGAGATCAGAACACAACTTCTACAGCTCAGGAGCAAGGGGTCTACTCATGAGTATGCAGTCCTTGAAACTCCTCTGATGACGACGACTTTGGCTAGTTTGTGGTCTGGAAGGCCATAATGTATGAGATTATATGGAAATAGCACCGCTTTCTGGCTCCATGTTCCTGATATTACTTCCCCCGTCTTGCTGTGTTGTACTTAGTTTGAACCCCCAGTGGAATGACGCTTGCATTATTTTCTGACCTTGCTTTCAGTCAGGATGGGATCCAGATTGCCTGTGCTTGACCTGGTTGTGGAGTTTTGTTTTGTTTTTGGACTCTGCTGCAAAGGCAACTCTGCTCGCACAGGTGGGAGGCTGAGATGCCCCAAAATGCCCACGGAAGCAGGCCTTCTTGGTAGTGGCACCCTGCCTGGGGAACTTCCTTCCCAGCAGATGTCAAGGAGATAAAGAACTACACAACTTTTAGAAGATATCTGAAGGCAGCCCTGTATCGGGAAGTTTTCAATGGCTGCTGTTTTATTGTGTTTATAATATTGTGTGGGGAGGCACCCAGAGTGGTTGGGGCATTTCAGTCAGATGGGTGCGGTACAAATATTATAACCACCACAACAGCATTGTTTTATTAATATACTGAGTGCAGTGTGCATATATCCTGGGTTTCTGATGAAAATATATTTTTCCTTATTTAAGCATAATTTAATTATGTAATTTAAAACAAAGTAACATTTATTTGTGGCATCTGATGTCTGGTAGACTATTTCTATATATGGAGGAGAGTCCATATCACACATTGAGATCTCCTTGTTCCAATATTTCATAAATGAGCACTGCTGCTGCCAACGTCCAAGCCAAGCTGCGCTTGATTTCAGGAGCAGGTAGAGGAAAGAAAGTCGGCTCCGTGGAGGGAGGGGTTGCCCAGGTGGATCAGCTGAACACGGCGCCCTCCCGGGGGGGGGGGGGGGGCTCAGCTCCCCGGCTCTGCTTCTCCACGGATGGGATCCTTGCAATGCCGTCTCTGTGGAGATGCCCTTGAAGACGAGCTGGAAACGGGCCCACAATCACGCGGCCAGATTATGGGCTGGGATCCCTTTATGGCATAGTTCTACCCTCCTTTATTTATCCAGTGAGCTCAAGGGGGCACGCGTGGGTCTATGTCTGCACACCTCCTGAGAAGGAGCCCCCGCCCTGGCTTTGCAGAGACGGAGGGGGAGGACCCTCGGCTGCCTGATTTGGGGTTCGGTGGGGGTGGGCAGGGGACCCCTCTTCTCCCCAATGCCCCCTCCGGGGGAAGAGAGAGGAGACTCACCAGGGCGCAGAAGGCGCCGCCGAGGCAGCATTTGCAAAGGAGTCGACAGCCCCCTCCCCCTCTTGCAGGAAGGGGGGAGGAAAGCGAGGACCTGCCCCCCCCCCGCGACACTTTTATATCCTGTCCTCTCTAGGAATCCAGCTCCTTTTAACCCTTGGCAAGCCGTGCGCACTCATCTCACCCTTCTCTCCCTCTCTGCGTTTTCGCCTTCAGAGCAGGAGCCCAGCAGAAGCCGCTTGCGTTGCGCAGTCCGAGAAGTTATCTTGGGCGGCGGGCGGGGACCCTCTTGGCTGACGTGCCAAGCTGCTCCTTCCATTGGAAACAGAAAGAGGAGCAGCTTGCAGGGGGAAAGGTTCATCATACTCTCCAAAATTTCTCCGATAAATTTTACTGTTTATAACCTATACATCTTACTGAGTTGTCCCAACCGCTCTGGGTTGCTTCCAACATATATAAAAACATAATAAAACATTAAACATTAAAAAATACTTCCTTGTGCCATCTGATTGCCTTCAGACGGCTCGGGTGTCGGATAACTCCATACCCAACAACATTTCTCCAATGAAAATTGGGACATTCTAAGGAAAAGCAAGAAGTCCCATGGACTGCAAGAAGTCCGTGACTCCCAGCTTGGGGGTGTGTGTGTGTGAGAGAGACAACAAAATTCCACACCCGGGTACCACATGGCCTTGCTACACCTCTGAGTAAGGGAACTCCTAGCTATTTTAAATGAATTCAAATCTCCAGGGCCTGAGGAGCTGCATCCAAGGGTAGTAAAGGAGCTTGCTTATGTAACTTCAGAGTTTCTGTCTATGATCTTTGAGAAATCCTGGAGAACAGGTGACGTCCTGCAGACCAGCGTTCTCAAGGGGGGGAGGGGAATAAGACCCAGATATGTACCAACTGGTGAGCTTGACATTGATACCAGGGAAGGTCCTAGAACAGACAATTCCACAGTCAGTCTGTGAGGAGTTAGAAAAGGATGCTGAGACTACTAAGACCCAGCATGGGTTTCTGAAGAACAAGTCATGCCGGACGAATCTCATTTCATGGTCATTTGAGGCTCAGGTGGCCTCAGTGACTAGGAGTGCCCATTTCCAGCTCAGGTAGTTTGCCAGTCAGTCTGTCAGGCTTCAGGGAAACAGATCCCCCACCCTCACAGCAGGCTGCCAGTAATGGAAAAACAAGAAGCTCTTACCAAAGTCTTTTATGCAATGCTCACAGAGAGAGATGCAGGATGCTGTTTCTTGGATAATGGCGTTGCTCTGCGTAATCTCCTCCCTCCCCCACTTTCCTCTCAGTCGTCAGCAGCTCCACCCTTTTACAGTGGCTGCATAAGGCCCCTTGCCTATTCGCTTTCTGCTCTCCCACTTTCACTGCTCTCTGGGTCCTGGGGGAAGGGGGGTCTGGAATGCTTTCTAATGATAACATGTCAGCCAGCTGCTCCGGCTCTGCTGCTCCCCCCCCTTCTCCCATTATCTCCCAGCTTTGTCCCTCTTCTGTCTTAGAGTCATGACCTTCTGCAAACCACTGTTGTACATCTATACTATCCTCCTCTTCTAGGAAAGGTTCAGGAGAAGGGGGAGGACGGTCACCACCATTCCTCCTCTGATGTCCAGTCCCTGACACAGTCCATTTGGGACAGAGAGTACTTGACCATGGTATTCCATGCTCTGGATCGGATGGGATCATTGCAATGCCCTCTACATGGAGCTGCCCTTGAAGACAACTCAGAAACCGTTCCAAAATGCAGCAGCCAGATCATGGGTTGGGTTCCCTCTCTTGATTCACGGTATTTCTATCTCCCCCTTTTCTCCAGGTGGAGCTCCAGGTGGCATCCATGTGTCTCTCCCTCCTCACAGAATTCTCCAAACCCTTGAGAACATATCTAATTCCTGTCTTAAAACAGCTGCCACAGATGTCCATTCATTTCTGGGCACACAGGAGGGGTCCACTTAGGCCTCCCAATATCTGAACAACCGCCTCCTTCCCCACAGACCCTTTTGGGGGTTAAGGTTGGCAGAAGGGGCGCTCTTGGCAGTTTGGGGTGGCCCTAGAGCGGCTATCCTGGGGCCAGTACTTCAGTTGGGGAATTCCCTCCCCACAGAGGGGCGCCTGGCCCCTTCCCCTCTTGCCTTTTCAGGACCTACCTTCCTATGGCTGTCCTTCGTTCTAGCTCCTTTTAATATGGAATGTTAAAATGCTTGTAACCTGCTCTGGGTAATAAATGTATTGTCATTATTATTATTATTATTTATTTAATTTGTATTCCACCCTTCATCCGAAGATCACAGGGTAGTTCACAACATAAAAAAACAGAATGAAAACATAAAATGCAAAACAAAAGCAAAACAAAAACAAACCAAACCAATAACCGCCCTTCCCACAGACACATCTAAAAGGCCATTTGATGTGGATCAGGCAAATGTTGCCTGAAGATTTGTAACAAAGGCGCCAGGTGGGCCTCCCTGCGGAGGGCATTCCATAAAGGGTATCAGTAATAAGAGTAATAAGGATAACAACCAGAACAACAACAACATAAAGCCTCAAGCCTGAGGGTGGAAAATTAAGCCTCAAGATACACACGGAGCCTCAAGGAAGCCAAGCATCTTCAGTGCAGGATCAGACCACTTTAAAGAGCCATGGCTTCCTCCAAAGAATCCAGGGAACTGGGAAAGCTTTACTTCTAACTGAAGGGCAACAGAGGACTTGCATCTGGAGGAGCTCAGCATCAGAGCAGGAGAGGAGCCATGCAGGATCAGGCCATTGGGCCCCTCTGGAGTCTCCCCACCCCCGTTCCCACTGGGGCCTCCATGGGAAGCCCCCCAGCCGGACTGGGGCGCAAGAGCCCCTCTCTCCCCCTGCGCTTCCTTCCAGCAACTGGGATTCAGCAGCATCGCTGGGGAGACAAGAGCTCAGCCCTCGAGGATGAAGCCACCAGGAGCCTCTTCTCCTCCCTGCCCTGGTCCCAGCCTCGCCTCCTTTGGCAGGGAGTTCCAAAGGTTTAACTCTGCATTGCACCAAGAAGTGCTTTCTTTTCTCTGCCCTTCATCTTCCAATGGACTTTATTCACTAAATGTATAGGTCAGGTTTTCCTTTTTATTTCTTGCGTTTATTTTAAGTCCAAATGTTTCTGTTGGGCTACAGCCCCTGTTAATAAATGGGACTTATTCATTAATCTGAATTGAGTTTATTTGCATTACTGATATATCCACTGAGAGAGAGAGAAACTTTCTATCAATGTAACATTTTTATATGCAACTGTGTCTTTTTGAAATGTGTATTTGTTTACATTGTTGTTGCTGCCATTTCCTGTGCACCGTTTATATTTATAATATATTAAGTATATAATAATATATTATTATATAAATTAATATAATATAATATATTAATTTAATACTATACCAATACTGTACACAATCCCCCCTCTAAGCCAAAGACCCCTCCCCAAAATGTCAAGCAGCAAATGGATCCAAATGAAGTTGCAGATCTCCTGCGCAGGCAAAGGGCGGGAATTTCAGCTGCCTGACTTGGGGGTCCCCGCATGCACCTCGCCCCCCCCCCCGCGCATGCACCCTTTCCTGCAGCCTTGGGACGCCCTGCCTTCTCCCCAATGCACCCTGCGCTATCAGAGAAAGGAGACTCACCGGATTCCAGAAGGCGCCAGCAAGGCAGCTGGTGCAGAGAAGAGAGAAGAGAGACGAAAGCCCCCACTCCCCTTTGCAGGAAGGAGCTTCGGAGGAAGGACTCCCCCTCCCCTGGCCTCTCTAGGAATGCAGCTCTGCTCCCTTTCACCTTTGCAAGGCGACGCCCCCAGCTCAAGGTGCGTCTCCCTTGGCTTGCCTCTAAGCTAGAAAGAGGCAACCGCGGCAGCCTGTCTTCATAGGCAAGTCTAACACACACACACACACACACGGCCCTTTCCTAAGACTATTTCTGCTCTGAGGCGAGGGGACTAGAACTGGACACAGGATTCCCGGTGTGGACGCCCCCTCGATCCGTAGAAGGGCATTCTGGTACTGGAAATGTAATGTTCAGTTCCTTTCCTAATGTTACGGGCAAAGCGGAGAGGGGCGCATCCGCCCTCCTGATCGGATCAGCCTGACCGGCAGCGCGCAAAGGCCGAGGCGAAAAGGCTGCCCAGCACAGAACAAGACTTGCACAGGCACAAGCGCGTCAACTTTGGGGAGCAGGAGGGAAAGACCGCCTTTTCTTTATCTGGAGCGGTGGACCGACCAGGAGCCGTCCTGTTGAACAGCTGACCAATCACAGCCTGCAGAACAGACCTTGGAACCTTAATCCCACTTGCGAATCAGCAGCCCCATAGGGGAAAATGGGAGGCAGGCCGAAGAAAAGGCTGAATCGCCTCTGTCAAAGTCTGCAAGGAGCCGCCAAGGATCACCTCGCTCGCACTCAAAGGGCAGGAGGTCCCCAAGGGACGCGCGCCGAAGCGCCAGCCTTTCTCCTCTATATTTTGAATGGAAGAAACACAGAAACTCATTAGAAATAGCCGAATAAATGTTTTTACTTGGTTCCAAGGCAGAGGCAGAGGGGGGCTGAGTCATGAGATGAACTGGGCAGGCAGGCCCCAATCCTGGGAGCGTGGCCCAGGATTACACCTTACCAAGGGCTAGACAGGAGCCCGGCAGACTTTCAAGTGCAGGAAAACCCACCTCAGGGTGGAGATTCACGAGGTGCGGCAAACCTGGGTGTGCCAAGCGATACAAAATAACGAAAGGAAGTGTAAATACTTTCTCTGCTAGGTGAAATATATCTAATCCCTGCCTTGAGGGACAGGGGGGTGTCGGGGGCTCCCGTTTGTCACCACACCTTCCTTCCTTCTGACGGCTTTCATGATGCTTTTGCAGATGTATGCTGGGAAACTCTGGGGGTTTTTTTAAAAAAACGGAGGTAACCTTTGATCTTGGTTCTTCTTTGCTTTGCTTAAAGTTAGAAACTTTGTGGCAACAAAATAAACGATTTGGCGTGGCTGCCGCTGTTTTTCTTGGCTGTGGTCCCTTGCTTGAACATGACTGACTTGGGACCCACAGAGCCAGACCTATTGAGGTTGGGGAACTCCTCTCGCTGGGGCTCACAAGTTTTGTTGTTTCTTTTCCCCTTTACACAAACAATCCCTAACACTAACATGACACCTTAAAATGTACGTATTATGTCCTGATACCTAAGTACTTATATAGAAAACCCAAAAACTGATGTTGCAGCAATGGAGCATTTTTTTTTTTTACGTCAACAACTTCAAAGTAAATTCAAGTATGGGGTGTGGGGGGAGGGGGGAGGGGAAGAAAGGTGCTTTAAATGTATGGCGGACAAAGCCTCAATGGCTCTCCAGGTTCTCCAGCCTCAGATTTCTTGAGCTAAAGAACTGGAATGCCCATCTCTAATCAGGATAGGATTTCTGTGACCGGTTGTTTCACTGCGGTTTCGAAGCTGGGTGTCTTAGTTCAGGTTCAGGGACTCCTCTCTGGAAGCAGGAGAACCCGGCCCCCTCGCCTCTGTCTTTGGAGCAATGCTCCATCCTTGCAGGAACTTCTGAAACATTTCATTTTGATTTCATGTGGTTGTTTTGAAGACTGTGCTCTAGTTTGGTCTTGCATTCAAATGCAACCGTGGCCATTGCAAAAAGGAATCCTTGCGACTGTTAGTTTTGTGGCATAAACCATCATTTGTATTGATGCATTTATTTTAAAGATTTTGTGATTATGGGTCATATTAAGCAGAGAGGGAGCTGGGAGGGGGGGAAAGAGTGTGTCACCACTCAGCCACAAAGCTCAGTGTGCGACCTTGGAGCAGAAAGTCCCTGTCTCTCAGCCTAAAGTATCTCACAGGATTGCTTGTTTGTATGTTAATATTTATGGACAGCTGCATCAGAAAAATATGCCAGTGGTTTACAGCAATATAAAAACATAAAACCAAACAAAAACATCATTAAAACTTAACAACAGGTTAAAAGCAAAAGGAAATATCTAAAACACAAGCATCAATAGACTCTTGTGAGGGATGCTCTCTTAATGGCCTGCAGGTGTTTAAAAGCTGGCACAGAAGGCGCCCCCTGAATCTCTAGTGGCAGGGGGTTCCACAGGACTGGTCCATGACACCCAAGGCTTGAGATCAACACTGGTAAAAGGAGACCCATGAATACCTCTTTGAGCAACTTGCAGGAGAAGTGGAATAGGTATAACTGCAATGCAGCTAAAGAACCACAAAAATATAAGAAATGTGTCTCCAGCCCACATCCCTGATTCTGAAGTGTGTGTGTGTGGCCAAGAATGGACTCATGAAAAGCCCTCCCTAAAAACCAAGCAAAAAAGAACCTGGACAAGCCCAGGATATTCAGGGCTACAGACTTGGGACCTGGGAGAGGTCTGCCTGCCCATTCTTCATGGCAACTCCCTTTCCTCTGCTCCAGACTTAGAGCAAAGTCACAGCCACCTTTCCAGCTCAAGGCAGCATACATAGCTCAATGCCCCTTCCAAAACACCCCCACTTTGAAATCACAATTTAAGAAAGCAATAATTATGAAACCCTAAAACTGGTTCAGCCAGTGCCGGCTGTGTGTGTGTCCAATACAGATGTCAATAAGCAACACAATTCAGAGTGGATTTTGTGTGTGCAACTTGCAGAGAACAGAGTCTCTGATTCGAACCCATCTCCACTCTCCATCCCTTCTCTCAACTTCCTGCAATACTGGAGAAATGCTGCTGGTCCACCTTATAGGGATACTGTAAGAATGTCTTTATGAATAGCTTTGAATGCTTCAGAATGCCCTATGCAGAGGTCTAGTTTGTCTCCCAATGTTCTGCCGCCGCCGCCTTCTCAGAGAGGTGCTCTGGCACCATCCTGGCACCACCTTCCCACTGTATTCAAGAGGCACAGAGAAAGAAAGGAAATTCAAACATCAGGCAGAACTTTCTGGTGGTACGAGCTGTTCAACCGTGGGATGGACTCCATCAGAAGATGGTGGGACTTTGCTTCATTGGAGGTTTTAAGCAGAGGTTGGATAGTCATCTGTCATGGATGCTTTAGCTAAGATTCCTGCACTGCACAGGGTTCAGCTAGATGCCCCTCAGTGCCCCTTTCAACTCTACAATTTTATGCTTCTATGGTTTCTCCCCTGTATGAATTCTTTGATGGGAAGTGAGATGGGCGCTCCATCTGAAGCTCTTTCCACATTCCAAGCACTGAAAGGGTTTTTCCCCTCTATGAATTCTTTGATGATATGTGAGACTTTTTTTCCAACTGAAGTTTTTGCCACATTCGAGGCACTGATATGGTTTATCCCCTGTATGAATTATTTGATGGGAAATGAGACTGGCCCTCTGACTGAAGTTCTTTCCACATTCCAAGCATTGATAGGGTTTCTCCCCTGTGTGAATTCTTTGGTGGGAAGTGAGGTTGGCACTGTGACGGAAGCTCTTCCCACATTCCAAGCACAGATATGGTTTCTCCCCTGTATGAATTCTTTGGTGGGAAGTGAGATGGATGCTCTGTCTAAAGCTCTTGCCACATTCCAGGCACTTATATGGTTTATCCTCTGTATGAATTCTTTGATGGGCCCTGAGATGGGCTCTCTCACTGAAGCTCTTGCCACATTCAAGGCACTGATATGGTTTATCCCCTGTATGAATTGATATGGCTTCTCCAATGTGTGGATTTTGTTGTGGTCTCCCTCGTTCTTCTAATTCATCACCACCTGAAACAAAGACAGAAGCAGATTAGCGCCTCAGGAAGAAATGGACCACCAATTATTGAACAATGCTAAAGACCACTTGTGATAGAGGATGAACTAAGGGGAGTTAAATGTGAGCACTTACTACCTTCACAAACATATTTATGGGAACAGGAGATCCAAAAAAACCTGGCTCTTTTCTGGGATGAATATTGTTTGGGGCAATCATAGTATCTGCTCCACCTTGGTCAGTCACCTCCTTGGTCAACCAAAAACAGACAGAAGCAGAAACAAAAACACAAAACCTGACAGAATCTACATCCACTTCCCTAACAACTCTGAAGACTACATTTAAAAAGGCCTGGGAACTTCAGACCAGCCTGATCATAGTTTACAAAGGCATAACTGGAGGAAGAATCTTCACAGACCAAACAGTCAATACCGCTTGATTCAAGGTGAGCTTTAGGGGTGTTAGAATCCTAGGTGCTCTAGGTGGCGCTGTTGAGTGCCATCCAAATCTGGGACATTTGTCACATAGAGATACAGTATTATGGAATTTCAATACGTATATTATGGTCCCACAGGGAGCCTTACCAAGAGAGTCCATGATCCCATGATTCTCCTCCATGATGTCCTTATGCAGAGCTCTCTGGTCAGGATCCAGCAACGCTCACTCCTAATCCATGAAACGCACAGCTACAGCTTCAAAGCACACATTACCCTGAAAGAAAATGGGAAAGGTCCTCTTAGATAATATTACTGAAAACACATTGTTCTTTTCTTTTCTACCTATTAATTGCTGTGTCCCTTTAATGGGTTGTTTTGCTGGACATTTCAATTATGGATGCTTAACATCTTAATGGAATTCTTTTACTGTGTATTTTGATGAAGCCTATTTTAGTCTTCAACAATAAACATAGAAATAAAAATGCAATGACTGATTTAAAGAATCATAGAATTGTCGAGTTGGAAGGGGCCCTGAGTGTCATCTGGCCCAAGTCCCTGCAATATAGGAGTCTCATCTTTGGCAGATGGCCATCCAGCCTCTGCTTAAGAACCACCAATGAAGGAAAGTCCACCACATTCTGAGGGAGTCCCTTCCACTGTCAATCAGCTCTTAGCATCAGAACAATCTCCAAGATTCAGACTCTCCCTTCTTGCAACCAAGAACTTGAAGCCATTAGTTCGGATCCTCCCACTGAAAGCAAGAGGAAAAAAGCCTGCTTCGTCCTCCATGTGTAAGCGCTTTAGAAAGTGGCTCTTGGCTACAGCTGGGTTCCTCCTCCCGGGTCTTCAAGAGCTGCTCTCCTGCCAACCCAACTTCAGGGCACGTTTGTCTCATTTTCTAGCACCTAGACTCTCCAGCGCTCTCAATCCATACCCCTGAGGTGGGCCACTTTTTATTTGTTCTGAGGGCCAGATCCTGATCCCAACCCCCCTCCCCAGATGTAGGGCCAAGTGGGAGGGGCCAAAGTTCATGTGGGTAGGCTCAAAAGACAGCTATCAAAAGTAAGTAGGACTCACCTTCTTTTGTGATTGTTAGTTTTTAAAAGATGTTTTTAATGTTGTGTTTTTATGTCATCTGTCCTGGGAACTTAGGGTGAAGGCAGGTAAATAACAATAACAATAGCAATAATAATGTGACATTGTTTAACCCTCACACAGCCATATCTGCTTGCAGCTAGTCCTATGGGATTATTGCAATGCCCTCTATGTGGAGCTACCCTTGAATTTGACTTAGAAAGTGGTGCAAAATGCAACAGCCAGATTATGGGCTGGATTCCCTCTCTTTACTTATGGCATTTCTATTCCCCCCCTTTTCTCCAGGGATCTCAAGGTGGCATCCGTGGGTCTACCCCTCCTCACTGAATCCCCACAACGACCCTTGAGAACAAATTTAATTCCTGTTTCAAAACAGCTGCATTGGTTGTCCCTTCATTTCCGGTCCCAGTTCAAGGAGGTCTTCACTTAGGTCCCCCAACAAAAGAACCTGAGGAAAGCCGGGGGGGGGGGGACTGTTGAAGAAAAGAAGCCCCCAGAACACACACACCATCAGCATTTGGCTCAACCTGGTTGATCTAAATTTAAATTCACACATGAATTACTTTGTTCACTTTGAAGCTGACTCCCATGGTCATTAACAGACCAATACTTTATATGGTTTCATAGGTGACATAAGAGGAAAAATAACTATTGCACAACCACAAGGGCTGCTGACTTGGCTCTGCGGTGTTGGCTGTTCTCTGTTTACTCTGCTCTATCCTGCTCCCCCTTTTTCTCTTTAAACCAATTCATGAACCAAAAACCTACCGCATACACTGACCACTAAAAATGAACCACACAATGTAGATGTTCCTGAAAAATTGTTGTGATATTTTTCTAATATACAAAGGACATGAGAAGACTCCATCTATTTCTTTGTATCATGATCCTTGTTTATTTAATTCTGTAAAAAGTTATTCTAAAAACAAAAAAAAGGCAACACATGCACCCAGGCCCTGTCCACACTGTCCAGAACATTTTAAAGAGCCACGGCTTCGTCCATGTGATAGTGGGAACAGTAGTTTGTTAAGGATTCTGAGATTTGCTAGGACACACACACACACAGAGAGAGAGAGAGAGAGAGAGAGAGAGAGTTTAACAATCCTTCCTTCTTGCCAGGGAACTAGGACAGGTGCATAGGCTGTGGGGAGAGGGTCTCCCAGCAACTCTAACCACTGGGGGGGGGGCTGACTTTTTCACCCCCTCCCACAGCACAGATTTGCTTCCTTTTCACCAAGGCCTCTGCTGCCTCGGATGGGAAGACCTGCAGTGCTTTTCCACAGGGCTTCCTCTTCAGTCTCCAAAGATCCTCTGAAGGCAGGGTAGGCAAACTAAGGCCAGGGCCCAAATCTGGCCCAATCACCTTCTAAATCTGGCCTGCGGACATTCCAGAAATCATTGTGCTTTTACATGAGTAGAATATGTCCTTTTATTTAAAATGCATCTCTGGGTTATTTGTGGGGAATAGGAATTCGTTCATTTCCCGCCACCCCCCGAAAAAAATATAGTCTGGCCCCCCACAAGGTCTGAGGGAATGTGGACCGGCCCTCTGCTGAAAAAGTTTGCTGACCCCTGTCTGAAGGCTTGCATGCCTGAGCTGGAGCAGGTTTATCAGCCGGGAGTCTGAATAGCAACCTTGTCTGATTCATATGGGGCGGGGGGGGGGGGGAGCTTTACTTCCAAGTGAAAGACAACTGAGGAGTCTGTTGCATCTGGAGGAGCTCAGCACCAGAGCAGGAGAAGAGCCCTGCAGGATCAGGCCAGTGGGGCCTCCTCTGGAGTCTCTCCCCCCTCTCCCGTTCTCACAGGGCCATCAATGGGAAGCCCCCCAGCAGGACTGGGGCGCAAGAGCCCCTCTCTGCACCTGCACTTACCAGAAGATGGGAAACAAGTTAAATATGTATACAGCACCGTCCTTCATGGGAAGATGAAAAGAGCACTTTGAATTGGGCCTGGAAAGTAACTGGCAGCCGGTGAAGTCAGGCCAGGGCTGGTGTTAAATGCTTAAACCGTCTTACTCCTCCAACGGTGGGGTCAGAGCACAGCCCACGTGGCCAGGATCCACGCATCACCCTCTCCTCCTCCTCCTCTGTGCTTTGGCCTCATTCTCCCGTGAAAGGCTGGCGGCCTTCTTGCCTCCTGCGGGAGGGAGTTCCGGAGTTTTCTCTCTGCACTGCAGGAAGAAGCACGTTCTTTTCTCTGCCCCCCCCCCTTTCAACGCACTCTGTGCATTTACTGCGTAATCCAGGGTTTCGTTTTTATTTTAGGTCCAATTGCTTTGTACGGCTACAATCTCTGTTAATAAATGGGACTCGTTCCTCAGTCTGAATGGGGTTTATTGCCATTCCTCTTTTTTTTCTCCCGAAAGGGAGAGTCCAAAAGAGGACACAATTGCAGACCACCCACGAACTACCCCCTAGGTGGCTTAGCAGAGAGGAAGGGGGCAGGTCCCTTTGCTCCCTCACTTGGGGGTCGCCCCCATGCACGAGCTGAGCAGGACCCCCCTGCATCCTCCCATGCAGCCCCGGGACCCCCCCCCCTTCTCCCCAGCGCGCCCTAAGACTGAAGAGATGAGACTCACCGCATCCCAGAATGCAGCCTCTCTCCTCTGGCAGGAAGGGACGCAGGGGGGAGCTTTGGTTCTGGAGGACCTGATTCCCCCCCCCGCTCTTTTATTGCCTGTCCTCTCTAGGAACCCAGCTCTGTTCCGTTTAACCCTTGGCAAGCCCATTGCACCCAGCTCACGCCTCTCTCCCTTTCCAAACAGGAGCCCGGCAAGAGCCGTGTGCATTGCGCACCCCCAGAGAGGGTTTAATGGGGGGGGGCTCTTGGCAGACGTGCTGAGCTTCTCCCTCCCTCCAGAAACAGGAGGAGCAGCTTGGGGGGGGGGTGAAGGCTCTGCGGGAAGCAGGAAAGCCCATCGCAGAATACGAGAATCCTCCACGATTTGCGAGCATACCCAGAGCGCGCCTGCACCCGCGCCCATCCTCCTCCTCCTCTTAGCCCAGAGGATCGCGAGGCGAGGAGGAGGAAGGCAGGCAGCCCCCCCTCCCCCGGCTCCTTTCCCAGCCCCTCGCGCGCGCACCCGCCACTCACCCTCGCGACGAGCCCCGGCAATAGCCCCAGGCACGCGCTTTGAAGCACAATGGCTTAAGGTACTCTGGCATGGAAGTTATTCTACACTATTCCTGTATTGTACCGGGGAAGCATGGCCGGAGATTTCCATGGAAGCCGAAGAGCAGCCCAACAGGTTAATCCGGAGTGGGACTGTATCACGGGACTACGTTAAATGCAAACGAAGTATCCAGAGGCACCTACCTACCTATTTACAGAGGACGCTTTCACTTAGCTCCGTTATCCCGATGAAAAACACCTTCTTGGTGAAATATCACTTTAACCAGTAACACCTGCACGGAACAAGTCCTTTCCAAGTCCTTTGTATTCGTTTTGTAGCCCCTCCCCCCATGAGTAATTGGTCCTCAAACAGGTCCTAGGAATCCTCTCAAGGCCCAACATAGTCCCTTTCACTCTGTCGTCATATTGTGGGGGTTTCCAGTGAAAATCCCATATTTGGCAGCACTCCCTAAAATTGATTTCATGCAATGGAAACCCCAAAAAGCACAGGAAGTCCTCTGGGCTTTTAAAATATGGAATCTGTGGAAATAAAGCTTCCACCCCCCCCTATTCTGTTTTCATTCACTCATCGCACTACACTTCTGGAATTTGTGGAGGTCAGTTTTTGCTGTGCTGCCAAATGTTTCGAAAGCAGGGTTTGTGCTACAAAGCACCTCATAATAATTGCAAAAATTGCAAAACTGAAATTGGAACTGTAAAAGATAAAATTATTACTACAGTCAAACCCCGATTGTTGGCTGTTGGGTTGAAAATGAACGACAGACGAGCAGGTAGGTGTCATAAGGGAGGCGTCTCTCGAGCAAGCCTCGGAGACTCCCTTTTATTGAATATTACTGCTTTTGCCACGTGTGTGCTTGTTGCTGATTGGTTAACATAAGTACAAAGCAAGGGTTGCATATAAGACATTAATTATTGCATATAAGACATTAATCATAGACAGGTTAAAGGTTGGGAAAAGGAACGCGGAGTTTGCACAGGCATGGTTTTGGACTGCCCGTACCAGAGTGGTACGAAAAAGGAATGTACAAGGAGGAGTAAGTACAGATTGATATGGTGTGAACTCAAGGTGAACAGAACGTACCAGGGTGATGATGGAATGTCTTAGCATCAGCACGGTTTGTGCAGCGTGAGCAAAACAAAGCTTAGAAGCAAGACTTCCCATCATGCCACAGTTATGTGCAGAAGCAATGCTTCCCATCATGCCATAGTCATGTGCAAAAGCAATGCTTTCCTTCATCTCCTCCTTTCTTTTCTTATTTGCGAGGTGTTCTGGGTGAATAAGACAAAAATATTTTGGGATACATGGTATGCCAGCGCATGCCCGAAATAAGTTCGCCAGGGTTGATGGGACAAAAATATTTCGGGATACGTGGTATGCCAGCGCATGCCCGAAATAAGTCTGCCCACATCTCCCCTAATGTTTACTGCTGGTGCTGCAATTTCGCAAAGTAGGCAGCAATAATTTTATTGGGTGGTTGAGGGGGAGAGAGAAGGCGAGACAAAAGACTTATGAGTCCAGGAATGCATTGGAGGAAGCAACATAGCAAAATCAATATACATATTATAACAATGGAATATTGAAAGAGATTACGAAGCCAATTCAGGTTTGGCAACCAGTCAGTGAGCCACTGGGTGAATGAGTCCCACAGGCCAGAAAGTCCAACGTCCTGTTTAATGTGGTGTGTAAGATTTTGCAAATGAGAGATTTGCTTTTGGATGGCTTTGGAATTATCAGTAATATTAAAACAACACATGTCATCCACTTGTTCACAGCCGTAATGATGAAGCATCAATAGATAATCGATAGCAGCGCGGTTCTGCAGAAGACCATGCTGGAGTTCACTCTGCTCTTTATTTAGAAGATGAAGCGCTTGAGAAGTAAAATTCAGGGCTTTTGCTGCAGAACAAGCTAAAGAGTTAATGTTCCTACTATTGCGTACAGCCAATCCAGGGACTCCTAGGAGAGAAACAGCTAAAGAGATATATTCAGACCTACTGGGAAGAGAAATTGAATCGTCACAATCGTTAGTCAATGCAATAGAGCGGTGATATCGAGAGCGGGTCAAATGATGCTTTTTGGGTAATACGATGGACAAACGGCTTAAGCAACAGGGTGTGCCATGGCTGATGTTTGCTGGAATGTAATTAAATGTATAGCCAGGACACGTCCAGAACCAGCCAGCAGGTAGTTCTGTGTATTTATATACATAAGAAATATTTACATAATTAGAGCAGTGGAAATTATCCCTGCCCATTTTTACACAGTTGGTTTTTGTGCAATTTACCATACGGGCGCAAGTGACATTAAAAGAAGCCACGTATAGTGTCAATAAATCAATGGCCAGAGATGGGCGTCGGCGCACTTGGTTACCCCAGACATAGTAACCGGAATAACCAAGGGTGAAAAACCCAGGTATCATTTTGTATGTCAAAAGGGCCATGGCAAACAGGGATAAGGCAGGAGCCAAGGATTTCACCTATTGATACCTGTTGGGTTAGGCAAAAGGAAGAAATATTGAGGGTCTTGCAAAAGATTCCCACACATTTGTTGGTGTGGAGTTACCGCTATTAAGAGCGGAAGCAGAAAGAGGCAAAAACAAAACGCTGAAATTGAGCACTATCATGGAATTAATATGAAGGCAGGAGAGCTTCTCCTTCCTTAGCTGTTCAGCCTGAAATGAGAGTGATTTTATCTGGCCCCACGCCATACCGGGGTGGTTGATTTCCAGTGGAGGGGGAGTGCAAGCTTACTCATTAAACTGAATGGTAGCTTGTAATTGTTGTAGTAAGTCTCTGCCCCACAGATTGAGATGGATTTTTAACACACAGGGCTGGATATATGCAATGGTTTCAGAGCTATCAGGCAGAGAAACAGGCAGCCACTGTACGCTTTTGGAAGAGGTTTGAGGTCCGCCCACACCCCAAACCGCAGAGGCAGACTCAAGGGGCCACGTGGGGTCCCAGCAACTACTGGAAATTACAGAAATGTCCGCGCCTGTGTCAATCAAGCCTTCCAGAATCTTGCCATTTATCTTGTACTTACGAAGAAGTTTCTGATGACCAATCCGCTGGATTACAGCTAACAGCTGTGGAGAAAAAGGAGAGAGCTCGTGCAAATTACTATCCATAATAGAAGCAGTAGGGTGAGAAGGGAGCACCACCAAATGCGCCCAGGACTCACCCTTCTTTAACTGCATGGGCATATGGCTCCAAAGTTGAACCATTATTGTGCCCACATAGTCAGGATCCAGAACTCCTGGAATAACCTGGATTTCTTCTTTTGCCGCAGAAAATTTGGGTAAAATTAAAGCTGCGACTTTAGGAGGTAGTGGGCCTGCCAATTGGGTGGGCATAAGCACAATTTCGCCAGGTAAAACAGTGTCTTTGGTTTCTTTATTAATTAAGTCGATGGTAAAATCAGAGCGTGTATCCTTTGAGATGGTTTTAATAGTGGAGACTAACGGCGGAGGGCTCCCTATTTGTCCTGGCCCGGGAGTGGGGCCCCTAAGGAGTTTCCCGAACTCCTGCACTGATTTGCCCAATGATAGCCTTTACCGCACTTTGGGCATTTCTTGGAAGGCTTAGCCTTATTGGCATCACCATTCCTGTTTGCACCCCCGCCAGGGGCTCTGCATTGTTTAGCAAAATGACCTGGGCGCTTGCAGTTGAAGCAGTTCCCAGTGGGCTTGGTGCCAGCCTGGATGGCACCGGCAAGCAAGGACATCGCATGACTCTGGCTGCCAACATCTGCACAGGCTTGAATCATATCGGCCAGCTCATATTTAGGGCGATGTATGATCGACTGCAAAGCCTTTTTGCAGTCAGTACTTGCATTTTCAAAAGCCAATTTTTTCATCAATTCATTTTGAGCTGTAGTGTCATCAATCTGCCTAGTGACTGATTCTTTCAATCTATCTATAAATTGATGGTAGGGCTCCGAATGTTGTTGCTTAATATTAACAAAGGAGCTAAGTGGTTGCCCTGAGACAGGGACTTTGCGAAAGGCGCATTGCTATTCCCTCCAGCATTCCTGTCACATAAGTGGATTTTAGGCCAGAATCAGTAATGGCTTTCCTTAATTCTCTCAGAATAGAATAAGGAAGCGTCTCATACATAATTTGTTGTTGCGCAGTGCCAGGGTTAGTATAAGAAATAGGGAAGGCAGACGGCAGTTCCCCGGCCCACCCCGCCTCCTCCTCCAAGGAAAGAATTCCTTCCTGTCTAGCTTGAAAAAGTGCAGCACGCACAGCTCCTGTAGGAGCAGGCGAAGGAGGGAGGGAAGGGGGGATGGGGGGGTGGATGGGGGCTGAGGCGAAGGGGGGGTTAGAGAAAGTTGTGATGGAGGCAGAAGCTTTGGGTAAGGAGGTAGATTGTCTGTTGGGGCTAAAAGGGCAGGTGGCAGGGCAGTTGGTGGGGAATTGTCTGGTGGGGGTGCCGACGGAGACGCCTGGGGACCTAATCTAGCGACGGCATCCGCACACTTCTGCCAAGTGAGCAGACAATGAATCGGAGCCCTCGGTTCTGCGAAGAGGGTTTTTCCGATTTTTTGCCAAGTCTCCATCCCCAAGGACCCTATTTCAGGGTACCAGGGGCACTCACAAGCAATATGACATAACAATCGTTCAATTTCTTTCAATGAAATATGCGCACCTGCTACTCTCTGTCTGACTAAATGAAACAGTTCTTT